AATGTATGATACAGTATAAAAAAAACAGTTAATTTAGCATTATACGCTATATTAATATTCCAAGCTGTCGCCGTTTACCCTGATTTCACACATGTGAAAGTATATCAGGCAGCAAGCTGTTACAAATATTTCTTTTTTCTCTCGCTTCCGCCATTCAAATAGTAGAATGGAAAACAAAGTTATTTTTCTAAACAGGAAAGGTCCCTGGTTCGATACCAGGACTAGGCGGATTTTTTTTTTTCAGTCGCGCACCAGTCACCTAGCTGAGTTTGGAGATTTGTGTTTGCCCTTTGTCCCACTTCCCCAGGGATTATTATCGTTATCGTTGTCCAGCTCGCTGCACCTTTGCCGTAGTTGCATTAGCAACACTGCGTGTCAGTTCAGCCGAGATTCCATTCTTGACGTAGCTCGTGGGACCCATGGACATGCACTGGCCACGCGCGGCGGTGCAACAGGCCAAAGTCTCCCTCGCGTATGAACAAACCGGTCCCAGTTGGCCCTTTAAAATGGAGTGAATTCATTTATAACACCCAGACTTCCTAGGGGAGTCACCTTTCGTATGGAATAGAACACATGTTTACTCCTCAACTACTCCTATTTGCGCAAGATGGAAGAGAACTCAATACGCGTCAGTAATATTATTAAAAAAAAAAAAAAAGGTTCATCGCGTTTTTCCGTTTTGGGCATTTACTGCTGAATTACATTATCGTTTGAATTGTTTAACGGGATATTCGCTTGTGGTTTGTTGTGAAATTCTTGTTTTCGCCATTTCTCGTAAATAATGCAGCAATTTTTTTTTAAAGATATGTTTTTGTTTATTTGTGAGACGATCGAACACAAACATTAACTGTATTATGTCTGCGTTAATATATTTTCTCAACAAAATTTTAAACAAAGAAAATTCACGAACGCACACTAGGATTTTATGAATCCATTATCCAATCAGAGCACAACGAACGTAAGTATCCTAGAAGTTCCGATTATTCCCCACTAATGTTGGGACGAAATAAGTAGGCCAACCATTTCATCGGTGCGATAAATAAAAATGGGCGCCAGCTGGATTCCTGCTTCAAAGAAGCCAAAAAAGAAAACTTAAATCCGTGGCGTACAACTTACACCAAAATACCCCACGACAACAATATTATTGAGAGAGAGAGAGATGTTGTTCGTCGCATATACGGTCGAGGACAAAATGAACTAGAACGTGCTGGGGTTGCCACCTGGTGGGTATATGAGGAGCCGGACATCTTTTTAATAGACCTTTTCTGTGTACTCTCGTCCCCAGCTACCTAATACGCGTATCCGGTATGGGCGACGAAAAAATAATCCAACGTTTCAATCCGCAAATAGTAAAAAAATAAAGGGGAGGCAAAATGGGAAAGTGTGACGGTTACGCTTATATCCTCAATGCCTTCTATTGGCATGGCAAAGGCAAAACAATGTTTTCGCCCATACTGGAAGTGACGTCAATTCAAGATGGTGGCGCACTTGCAGAAAAGGTCTATAGGAGGTCGTGCCTTAGGACGGAGTCAAGTTCACGTTACACTCACTGGATCGGCTCGTGGCGTTCGCTACAGTACGCCGTAAGGTGGAGTTTACTCGCCTGTTCCATACTGCTCGCCCGGTGCTTAAAGTCTCCCGTAAGTTGCGGGAGGTCTCTACAAACTGGGGTAAAGGGAGGGAGGCGTCATATTAGAGGCGCTCAAAGCCAACTTGATTAAAGCATACGCGTAACCCGGCTTGTTCCTCAGGAAACAAAACCGACCAACAATTCTCTCGTCAAGAATTAACAGTGTTCCTGAAACATCCGCCATCATGCTGTTCCACACGAAATCGACATGCCTACTCACAAAAAAAGTTTTTTTTTTAGATTGTTACCTAACAACATTTGATTGGGGAAAATCCTAACACTTCTGATTACAAGATGGAGTACTTATGATTGTGCTTTCAGCAACGCCAGAGCTATGCCCGGGGGGTCTCAGACCATTCTTAAGAAAACCCCAAGTTCCCCCTCCTCCCTCCTCCTCCCCCCCCCCCTTCCCGGTCTTTAAGCACTGCTCGCCAAAGCGTACGGAAGCGTTCCCGCCTCCTTCGACGGCATCCCAAGCTTTGTCCAACTTCCGAGCGATTAATGGCAAGCGCGCGTCGCAGTAAGGAGGTAACCGGTTAGGCTTCCGCGTCCTCCCCAGCAAGGGCGTCGCAGCGACATCAACAAAACACAGATGAAATGCGAGCGCGGCCTTCTCTCGCGTTATCATCGCAGCAGAGCAGCAGCTTCCCCGCTGTTATCGACCGGGAGCCCGTCGTATGACGTCACGGAGTTCCGAACCGCGGCTCGTGAATGGAAAAGACCGGGCGGGCGCAATGAGAGAAAGAGAGAGAGGCGCTGCTGCGGCGAAACCCAACGAAAAAAAGAAAAAAGGACAACGCGCAAAATCGACTTTACTCCCTTCGGGAAAGAAAGGAGGGTAACTGCGCCTTTTTGCTCCTCCAAGGTCACCGGGAGCCGTGGCAGAACTCACCCCCCATCAGCAAAACGGGAATGTGTACTGCGTATTTTTGTTTTCGGCTCTTTCAGGGTCACACTGCGTCGGAATCGCTTGCGGCGGCGGTGGCAGCGGGCATACCAGCAGCATGCAGCAGCCCTCAAAATCGACACGCTCGCAAATTAGAGATCAAGTGCAGACCGCCGCAATTTCCACCGTGACAATCGGAACACAAAAGTAAACGTCTCGGGAAAGAGATAAAAAAAGAAAATTCTCGGGGCAACTTTTTTTTTTTTTTTTTTAGACCAAGGAAAGGAGTTTCGTTGGGGCAACCACACGTCGTCACTTCGACCGGGAGAGAAGGGAGGAATGGCTGCGCTCGGCTTGATCAAATGTAATTTACTGCCCCGCTTTTGTTTTCTTCTGCTTTTCTGTTTGTTTTCATTGTTGCTGTCTTCCTGCTTTCGGCCTCGCGCTCGGGTTACGCAAGGAAGGAAACCTTGCCTTGGTGCGCGGTTTCTGGCACGCCCTGATCTCTTATGACACGTGACGTTCGGTCAATGTCGGGACAGCCTGCGTCCGCCGGTGACAGGTACGTCTCGGAAAAGTGGTAGTTCTTGACAAGCGACGGCGCGCCCGTGTTCTCTCCCCATGAGATAAGCGCCAGCAGTTTTGCGAAAATGAGGTATGAAATAGCGCACGCGCCGTCATGATTTTCGAAACCAACTGAACTCGATCGTCGTAATTCCAAGGTGCAGTGTAAAGGACAAGTTAAAAAAAAAAAGCTAAATAAACAAATATAAAAAAATTGGCTTTTTCGTTTACTTTTTCACGAAAACGATAGCTGCCCATCGCACAAAACGGCTGCGAATTTGCGATCTTTAAATTCTGGACCCGTTGGGTGTGATGGGGGGCTTGCGTATAACACACACGTAAAGCTGGTTAAATTATAATCTCTATTTCGTAAAATAACCTTATCAACAAGGGCAAGGCACCCCATTTTGAACGTGGAGTCGACACTAAAACTTGGGCCGTTGCACCTCACGTCACTTTATCATCTTCAGAAGAGGCCTCTCATTACAGCCTAGCAGAACGTTGTCTTAAAAGCGAACTTACATACAAACCGAAACCGCTATAAAAAATCGCGGTGGCTTTGCTCGGCTATGCCAGGATATACCTAGCGTGAGCTTATGCGCACAAAATGAGAGGCGCTATCAAGCGGCTCCGGTGCAGCGTCAGACTTGGCTGCTGCGCAACGGAGGCGCACAGCTGGGCACGCGGCGGCGCCAGTGCGTTTGCCGCAGCTATGACGTCACTCCTCTGGAATGCGCAGACCGGCGAGGCGGGCGGCGGCGGAGAGCGCGGCGGCGGCGGCTCCGGCGCGCCAGCTGTGCGCCGCGTGACGTCACTGCTCCTCGCGCATGCGCAGCATAGAGCACGGCTCATGCGAGCCACGCGAAACTGCTCAACCTCGGCCAGAGTAGCTCACGCTACGAAACAAAACCGAAATTGCGACAGCCGCGTACATGACGCCATGGAGATCGTCCGCTTCGTAGTTGTACGGTTGTTTAACATGTAGTCGCGATACGTGAAACGTAACATGAACGTTTATAGACTACCATCATTAGGTTCAGTATGAAGGTCATCACATTTATAATGGGTCACGAGGGCACATAACTCGGAGCTGCGTACAAAGAAAGCAAGGTGATGTCCACCCCAGCGAAGACTGAGAAGTATGAGGACATAAGTTAGGTCGAGGGAGTTAGCTGCAACTTTGCACTGTTTTGCTAATGGCAAGCTTCCACAACGTCTTTGCAATGCATATTCCCCATCGCCGAGACTTTCGTTCTTAGGAAACTATGAATGAAGGCTCCCTTTGAGTGTGGAGTGTAAACGTCGCTCACTCAAATGTAGCATCCAGTGAGTATTTCCCTCTAAGCAAAAGCAGTCTCAATAAATGTCTCAAAACATCTAGAACGAGCCAACTCACGCATCACGCCGCTGCTGTTAGCACAGTGTGTGCACAGATGCTTCACCTCATTAGAAAATTGTTTCTGTGCACACACAGCGTTCCTACACTTTGTATGGGCAAATGCGGACTTGTTTGTAAACAGCATTTTAGTCCATATATATAGACCTCTTGGGCCATAAAGAATGTCTAGAAGACATCTTGGCTAGGAAAACATGCCTACAAGACATCTTTCCTAGGTGTCTCAAAGACATATAACTGGGGGTCTAGAAGACACCTTACAAAATATGTCTATAAGATGTCTACATGTCTTGGCAGGATGTTACAGAGCTCTAGATGCCTCGAGATGTCTTCTAGCCCAGTTAATGCACCATCATGTTGGGCTATGAGACATCTTGAAAGATGTCTTGTAGTGCGGTCCTTCTTGAGCACTCGAGCCTCCACATCTCTGGCTTCAAGAAAAAAAGAATGTGAGAGTATACTTACATGGGAGTCCAGCGATCCTGGGAGACGCTCACGTGTTGTTCCTCTTGCCGTCTCTTCAGGAACCCTTTCCTGGACCAGCTCAAGCTCTGGGGCGTCCAGCTGGGACAGCGACCGGTCCCCACCAAGGACGGGGACCCCATCCCCACCGGGTGGCTCCGGCAGCGGTGTCCCCGATGCCCGCACCTTCTGGCGCATGTCCCCAACACAGGACGAGGGCATCGACCTCTACGAAGCCACCGGCTTTTCTGCCGAGTCCTGCTGCCCAAAGAAAAAGGTGAGCCAATGCTGTCGGAGAAGCCGCACCCCCGGTGGCAACCTCTGCTGCCCACAGACATAAAGAGGACTAGCTTGCGAGGAAGCGCCCGTTTCGCTCGACACCGGGCACATATGTGGAGGCAGTGATCACGCAGCAAGTTGAGAAGCTTTCATTTGTGTCACCGCCTCTTCCAAAGTAATTTTTTTATGCGGAAATTTTTCGATTAGCGAGAACTCGGATGGCCTCTCTGCTGGTTACATTCTTTTAGCAGGCCATTGCTAAAAGAATGTTCCCCATAAAGAAACTGCAAACATTTTTTTAAGAATGAAGTAAACAGCGTGTTGGCTCATTGCAATCTCTAAATCCTCCTCCAAATCTGAAGAATCAACACTCCAAGGCACATTACATAGTAAACAATGTCTTGGCTCACACATCGATTCTTGGGTTTTGGAAAAAGCAGTTGAGGGTATGTGATGAGTCACATAACCTCAACTGTCATGACATGTCAAAGCACATTATTCAGTAACGTACAGAGCCCACTTTAGTGCCTGCCCTTGTGAAGTGGGTTAAGATGCAAATAAGAGAGTCCATGCTTTGGCATCATGCCTTGCTCAGAGCTACATTGGTGATTCCAATGGAAGGACACAGCGTCAGTGTTGCTGAGACCATTTAAAGCCCATAGTGAATAAAAAAAAACAGGTGATTAGTAGACTGTAAGTTTTTGCATCCACACTACGGTGTGAATGCAAAAGCTGTTACTTGAAAGTGCAGCAGAGAGTTCCTGTTGTCTAATAACTACAGAAATGCCCGGCAGAACCTTAAATGCGAGCATGGTGTTGCATTTTGCAGAGGGTGCTGTACAAGTGCATGTGGAAGGAGTGCGGTGCAAGGTTCACCACCTGCAAGGATGTCGAGAAGCACGTTCGAGTGAAACACCTTGGGTGAGCGTAATCACTATTCCTTTTTCGTTTTGGCAACTGTCCCTCATTGCGTCCAATGGAAGCAGCTGGGATGTTCAGGAGTATTGGGAGATGGCAACTGAAATTACGCTACTGGGACCTTGCACATCTTAAAAAAAATTGCCAGTTGTCATTGCAACTCTTTTTCAAGGTCCTCATCACGCTACACTTCCCCGCTCCTCGTTGCATTCCACCAAGCTCGTCGCACCTGTAACTCAATCAAGCCCACTGCCGGTGTCTCGGGACACCTCATACTTACAACGTTTCACCTTGCGGAATTGCAATTTAAGTAGCATTTCAATTTCCAGCTAAAAAAAAAAACAAAAAAAACATGCCTAAGACTACTTATATTAGAGAGCTAAATTCGAGGGACCATTCAAAATGCTCGATACAGACACAAATCGTGTGACCACATCTTTTCCAACAAATCATTCTCACCCCCCCCCCCCCCCCCAAAAAAAAAAAAAAAAGACACAAACACAATAAAAGTTTTTCAGCTCAGACACGCAAGCCGTCCAACCTGGGAATTCGTAATGGCAACTCGTTGGTTCAAAACAAGTCGGTAGCTCGAGAACAGCACCCAAAAACCCTAAAGCCCCAGTCGCACTGTCCGTACAACACGCAAAAGCCACAGTCTGCAGACGAGATGACAGAGTTATCTGCACACTTTTTCGTACGACATGTTGCTGTCGTGACCGCGGCCTAATGGCTCGCGCTCGTCTCTTTCCCAGGCGAGGCGATGAGAGTGAGGACTCGGCGTCGAGCGACCACGAGGAGGAGTTCTACTACACGGAGAGCGAGGAGGAGAACGTGGGCGAGGGAGAGGTGGAGGGCGACTCGTCCTCGGGAGGCACGCTGCTGGAGGAGAGCGGGGAGAGCCTTCCCAACATCTACACCTCCTCGGCGCCAACCCTGAGCCACCTGGACATGGCGAGGCCACCCCATGAGGACCCCCAGTACCATGTGCTCACACGGGTATGCCGCCGACGTTTGCACACTGCCCCGCGTCGACGTGGCACAAACGTAGCGGAAGATACAGGTGCACGGGCAGGCGCGATGCTTCGAGTGTGTCGTCACGCGCGTCTGTCGATAGAAGTGTCGTTTGACGTGTGCGCATTCAGCTTTTCGAGCGCCAGGCTTTTTTCCTTTCCTCGCATGCCGAATGCAAATTTTGGAATTGGTAATGCTGTAGCAATTGCTCCATGAAGAATATTTATATATGAAAGACGCTCTATTTTAGGGGCGAAGTCTGCGTGCATTCAACGTACGACACATTTCTCGTATTGTACTGTTCGAGACGCGGCACTAAGCAGTGGCGCCTGGACCTCGCACCCCGAGGTCACTTTTTGGAGTGGCCTTGCTCGGCCTTTGTTCACTCGGAACTCTAACTTCCTTGTTTTCATGGTCGTCGAATACCAAATTGGTTAGTCATTTCTAGATTTCAATGTTCAGCATGAAGCGCAAGGTTGAATGACAGATTTGCCATTCTGTAACAACGAAGTGGCATACCAAAACAGAAGTCTGCCAAAAAAAAAGTTACATGCCATTAAAAGGTGACACCTCAAGATCAAGCATCGCTTTCATTGCTCGCTCACACATGCCACTAAGCATTTAAAAAATAAATTACAGCCCAGTTTGGAAGGGCAGGGAGCAAACCGAAACTATGTGGGCCCCTTATGACGGACCGCAGCAAATGCTACGAGCCGTTCCAGTTAATCCAGCACTGCACACGTCACGTGACTTCATGCCTCGCACGTTGCTGCGTCCCTTCCAAAGGTCAAGCGACACTTGAACGGCATTGGATTTGCTCAGACGGCTTGTAACGTCCTTTGCGGTCTGTCGTTACGTGAAAGGGAGTGTTGTGTATAGGAAAGTGCACATCTAGGGCATAAATCTAGGTGGCGAAATTTGGTATATGCATCAATACCTCATCCAAGCATAAATCTAGTGGCAAAATTTGGTACAGTCTAAGCTCGTTACAACAGACCTGGTTACAACAGACATTTGGATATAACAAACTGATTTGTGAAGTTTGGTTGGTTTTCCTCTATGTACCATTGACTGAACTTCATTCATATCTGCATACAACACACTCCTTTTACAACAGACCGAAATCTTGGTCAAAATTAAGGTCTGTTATAACGAGATTCGACTGTATATGCATCATTACCTCATCCAAGCAAAACTCAGCAATGGTGCCCACGTTACATCTGTATTAACTGTATTGCTCGACCTATACATGGAGGGAGATCTTGTTTATAGAATCACGATTTTGATAGCACAGTCACGCTCATGCAAGCATCCTCATTTCGGTGCAGACCGTCCCAGTCCTGACGCCACCCGGCCTGACGACGGCGTCACCCATCAACATTCCCACGGTGCAGCGGTCCTTCTCTTGGCAGCCACACAACGGCGCAAGTGCACCCACAGCTATGGTGAGTCTTCAAATTTTGCCACATAAGAGCAGGAACCATTTATTGTGTCGCAACGTTAGGCACAGTGACTGTGTTCCCAAACTTACTTGAGTAGATCCCAGTCACTCTCGTGGGTCACATCACATGACAACACAGAGAGTGACGGTGGACACTAGTGGGTTCTTGAACACCAGGGTGCAAAACCTTAACTCTGGAGCAAGATAGGGTAAAGTTTGGAACAAGGCCAGTATGTCACGGCAACATTTTTCTTGATACCGAGCGACGAGCCTAGAACAGGGCAGGAATTATCCAACTTTCAGAACTTGTCGCAAGACTTCTTTGGGCAAACATGCAAATAAGAGTTTGCCGGTTCGGACATAGATACCGCATTTGCTTGAGTAACGGCTCCACTTCTTACGAACGAGGTCTTTGCATCTACTTTTCTGCAGAACACGCAAACAGCCAATCGTTGCATTCTGCATAAAAAATGGTAGTGATTAACTAGGGCCAAAAACGTGATTCTCCGTAAAAATGCGATCCAAGCAGATAGCACTTTCGCTGGAAGACGTCATCTCTGTCCTATAAGTCGCTGCCATCTTTCTGCCGGTTACGGCAATTCACCATCCTCGTGCTCTGTGGAAAAGCAGACCCAGAGGCCTTGTTCGTAAACAGCGCAGCTATTACTGGAGCAATATAGAGTAGGAACCAAGCGACATATATAGATTAACATGGGTCACATTCCGAGACTCATATGGTTCAACACGCAAATGGAGATATCCGGTTCCTTGCAAGTAGAATGGAAACTAAAGTTCCGTGCATCGCTCTAGGACAGATCACCGTGCACTGCATCGCTAATCCTCCCGTCTGCTTCCACAGGTCTCGCCTCAAAAGTTCATGCGCCTGAGCCCCAAGACGCTGTCGGCGTCCCCCAAGAGCTCCCCCTTGCACCGGCGCGTGCGCTCCGAGAGCCGCAAGTGCCGCAAGATTCACGGCATGGAGAACAAAGACATGTGGTGCACCCAGTGCAAGTGGAAGAAGGCCTGTAGCCGCTACGTCGACTGAGGCCCCCCGGGCAGCAACCGCTCAGCTTGCTCCGCAAGTTGCGCGACAACCCCTTTCACTCACACATACACACACACCTCTTTTGCTCATCCTCACATCTTTCTTTGTCTATACATTCGCTTGTTGTGTGGGCATGCCCCGTTTCCGTCTGCCGCGCGGGCTGCTCGCTGTCGATGCGGAATTTCGGGGGGAACCCCGCATGCCCTCGTAGGGACAGCGGTTGGGGCTTGTTTAGCAATGAGATAGCTTAAGTCTCCACTTCCGAAATATCCATTCGAATGAGACCCAGAACTTCCTTATTCCCCGGTACACACGATTGGTGCAATAAGTTGTCAAAGTGCAACGAAAGTCGAGCGGATTGCTGTTGCATTAATCCACCTTTGTCCCCCCCCCCAGGCTCCCAGGAGAGGGAGCTGCCGCACCACCTCCGAGCAGCCTGTATCGCTGTAAATAAGAGCGTTTTTAAGTTTATTTTTTGTCCTCCACGACATGTTATTTACACCCATTTTTCTCATTCGTCCGTCTTGCAGTTACTAGGGCTGCATTTTCTCCTCCATACACAATTACGTCTACATTTTATTCCGCCCGGCGGCATATTGAGTATATGTAACACCCGTATTTCTTACATTATTTTGTGGAACCATTCGCATTTCAACCAACCTTGCATGGTGAATTGTTTTCGGAGGTGCGTGCACACCCAAAACATTTTGAGTGCAAAAAACTATAGAATTTGAAAACGGGGACGTTGAAGACCTCCCAGGGGTTGAATTGAATATTCCTTTCTCAGAATCGTCTTCTCACGTACACGGCACATTCACTTTCGTGTCTGATCTCTTGCAATGTTCGGTACCCACGCACCTCCGGCCATTGTTCATGCTCAGCCCGTGCCACAGAAAAGCCATCCGTTATTTTATTTTTTCGGTCAGCATCGTTCCATCCCATGCCACTCTCAATTCTCATTCTGCCTCAAATAATAAGAGCAGAAACTTGCCATCATCACATCCTCTCCAGCAGCTTGGCTTGCTACAACCCACACTAATGTTTAAGAACAACAAAGAAGCCGCTCAATGCGCTGATCAACACGTCACGTCTGCCCTTTGCGAACAAGTTCTCGGAGTTCAAAGTCAAAGTCCTCTCTGGAACAAGTTCCGGAGAGGACTTCGACTGACGTGGAACAAGACTCGGAAAGAATCTGACCAAATACAAAATTAATCAATTTTATCTTGTCGCCTCACATTAATAACGCCAGTAGTTCACGTTTCAAAGGTGGGCAACGAACACTCCTCGAAGCAGACTAGGTGACAAAATTTATTAAAATATCTGCCATTCCTTGTTTTCGCTCGGTAATTTTCTCAAGCAGCTTGGAAGTATCTTAAGAGGCCTGCTGAACAATCAAAACGAATAAAAAACGTTAGCATGGTTTAGAATAATTATGATATCGGCAAAACAAGCCATGGGCTTGCTATTACACTAATCAGGATGCACTTGTGCATTAAACTACTCCCTGTCTAAGATTCTGTCCTCACACACAATGCCAAACGACTCTCGCGACAGACACCACGACAACACCCAAAAGCAACGGCAGAATCCAGCGGAGAACTTAGTTTCACACCATGGTTGGACGCTCGGCGAGAGAGTCTGCAACGTCACCAACCACTGCGACTCGCTAGCACCGCGCTGCGATTGGCCAACACCAAGGTCGAGCACGGTGCTAGCCAATCGCGGCGGTCGTCAATCTCGTCGACTTTCTCATCGAGTGTCGAACTTAGAGCCCCAGGAGTTATCCCCATCTTTTAATGAAAGATCATCCTGCACCTGCCATCTAACCAAAACAGATTTCAGCTGTTAACCAAATCGGAAACCAGATAGCAGCCAAGCTACGCTTCCGACGAAGCCGCTGCTCGTTAACCTTTCGTTCGAGTGGCTTTGCCCAAAGTCCAGGCAAACGACGAGGATAAAAGCTGGTGCTAACTAATGTGCTGACCAGTGTGACGAACAGTGTAACTCGCAACGGGTGTTGCGACGGGTGTGGGAGTAAGCCAAGCTCCGAGAGACAATGTACGTCGATTGTTTGTTGGTTGAATGACCACACGCTCTAGCGGACAAGCGCGGCTACCGTACTAAACGCAAGCGCTGTCTCATAGCCAGACAGCGGATTGAAGCCCGGCAGCTGTAGCCAATCTTCGGGCGAACAGAACGTGAATCTCCGGCGCGTTCGCGCGCCGCACTCTCACCAGTGGTCTCAAAGCTGAAGGATTTCCGCGTGCGTGTCATGTGTGTCCTGTGCCTCTGTTTGTACATAAAAGTGGAAAGCTGAAGCTCTTGAAAAGGATGAAATTAACCGGTGCCAGGTTTGTTGGGTTCAGAGGTGCCCTGAAGCGCGAGTTGGGAGACGGCGCACGAAAGAGGCTGGCGAAGACGGCACACTTCCCTACACCCCCCCCATAGAATGCAGTGCATCTGTGCTAACTTGACGAGCAGACGAGACATGCAGACGTAATGGTACGCTGTTCCGTTCTCCGATTGCAATATTCGAGTGTCTTAAATGCAAGTTAGTACTGCCTTTCTTTTCTTACTGTAGAGCATCCAAATGAATCCTACTATTCTTTCAAAAACAAGGAGCACAGTTTCTGAACCATAACTAAATTTATCAAGTTGTCGCCGATTAAACGCTGTTAATACGAGGCTGCAAAACCAAACTCGTGGGGCAGATCCAGATCACACACACACAACATTCGCCCTTTTCCGCTCACATACTAAAATTTCAAACTCATTCTTCTGTGAGTGAGTCTAAGAGTCCTTTAGCATAATAGTATATGCAAACAACCTAAAAAATATGCAATTGCTAAGACTAATTGCTACTTCAGCTAGCGTTTGCATGCATCCCAAACCATCAATTTTGCATCTTGCAACAGTAAAGGATTCAAGTTAAAAGTCAAGCATCCTGCTGAATAGCGGCACAACTCCAAACAAGCTCTTGCACAAATTTAAAAGGTAGCTGTGACAAAATCAAGCTGAGACGCCTTGTTGATCCAGACCAGTGTGCATTCTAGCCAAATCCGAAAGTTAAGGCAAATGCCCGCACGCTTGGCGTTTCACAGCACGTGCAAGCATGTTGTCGTGCTTCTCCGACTGTGGGTTATTTGTTGTGGCACTCCATTAAGAATAGGACAATCGCGACAATAGTTTTGGAGTGGGCACCGGGGGGCTAGAGCCATTAGCGAAGTACGGCAAGACAAAGAAAAGACAAAGATTCAGTTTACGCCGTTGTACTGCGTTGTCGCTTTCCAGTGGGAAGGAGGTTAAAGAAAGTTGGATGCCAGAACGGGTGAACGGGAAAAACTGAAAGTCAAAAAGGTAGCTTTCGCTCTGATGAGAGTAAGGGAGAAAAAAAAAAAAAAAACATGGTGCCTTGAAAAGGTTAAAGCAGGAAGTGGATTTGTTAACGGAATGGCACTGTGCTACATTTGTGTAAATAACGAGAATATTGATGTTGTTGGAGCGGATATTTTACGACATGCTGTATACATGGACGTTCAGTCATAATGAGTCTTTTATATATTTTCTTTGCGTACAGAGAGAGAAAGAGAGGAAAAAAATAACATTTTTTGTATCTCTATATTACATTATATCTATCTACAATGAATGTTCATAATGTAAATACACTGTTTTGCGTAGTATTCACGAAAACAGACAAATTGCGTGTAAATTATGTAAAAAAAGAAAGGGAGACGAGCCGTAAATTATTACCGAGGAGGACGAGAAACCAAAAGAATGATGCTAAAGTAGAAGACAAAGCCCAGTGGTACTTTGAGTCAATCCAGTCACAGCAGAGTTATGTACTTAGACTTGTACATAGTACTGTATGTACTCATCGCCGACTCCCTGCCCTGTACATATTATCAAAGGTTATATGCAGTCCCATGACACGTTTACCGGTTCAAGCAGCAATCTAAACAACAGTCTCAGAATTGTCTTAATAAAAAAATTTTAAAATGCATGCCAAATATATGCAATTTTTACAGTTTCAGTGCTCAAGCGTAGGTGGCGGCTTCAGGCCGAGATCCTAGTTCAAACCCCAGGTGACTGCGTCCCAAACCTTCGAAAGAAAAATCTTGGAATCGAAACACGCTCAATATCCTGGCGACCGACCTAAAAATTCTTCGCATTCTCATCATACCGGCACTGTCTGGCAGCGTTTCTTTCGCCTAAAATGGGCCAAACGAGTTGAAACGGAAACGAGACGTCTTGGAGGTCTCGCAACGGCCTTGCACATCGTTTCTCGGCGCGGCTGGGATCCTAGAAACAGCAGTCGCAAGGGGTTTGCGAACGAGGAACGGTCTGATAAGTTTGGTTGACGAGTGCATTAGGCCGGTTTAACCCTGGGCGCCTTATTTCCATGGGAAGAGAAGAAAATGAAGCGACAAAAGGTCAAGGCAAAGCACGGCTTGGCCGCTGAACGCGCCAGCCAAGCAACTTGCCGGCAGCAGATTTCGTGGAGGTGCCATTGCACCTCCGCTCGATGCAAGTGAATACTACCACACAGTGCGTGGTGTGAAAGAAAGAGAAAAAAAAGGTTTTTGCAAGGTTGTTTTTGTTTGTGCGGTACGTTTGTAGAGCCGTTATGCTTGAGCGTTTGTTGGTTACCCGTGTTCGTGGGACAAAGGCGGCGTTGTTTTGTTGTGCATCTTTTCGTTTCACCGTGCTTGCTCGCTAGATTTGCTCCCGCTGCTCTTTTTGCTCGAGATGTCTGTTGTCTGCCCGCTGTGCCACAGGTCTGAGAGACCGCGGCGCGCTCCCGCCCTCCCTTTGGTGTGTGCAAAACTGCGTGTCATACTCTTTCAATGTCTTTGGATCCAGACCATAACATGTGTGTAAACGACTGTACATACTACGGACACCGTCATGTTTATTTGATTTTGATCATCTGACCTTTTAAGACTCAGTGTTTAGAGTACACCACATTTATTTTGTTCTGAAAGTTTAAATAAATGTCTCCTTAGATATATTTACAAAACTTTGGTCTGCTTTTTCCTCTCTTTTTTTCAGCTTCTTGGTACGCCCCAGTCCGTTACAAACACGCCTAAGAGGGTGTCGATGTGATAGAATTTTAAATGGGAAACGGAATGTTTATTAGAAAAGTTCTGCTCAAATCTCACCAACCTCAAATAGCACTTGATCATTTTTCGTGTCCCTGAAACTACATCTGTTCCAAGGCAACAACCTTTAATAACTTACTGGACGCCACTGATAGCTAAGTGTCTAACATTTACACGGTGGTCTAGCCTGCACTCCAAAAAGACAAGAAAAGCCACCATATCTTTTTTTAGGACAAAACAAAAATTATAAAGGGGAGTATTTTAGTTTTGGGGTAAAATCCATTCTACCGTATTTACTCGCGTATAGGTCGACCTGTTTTTCAAAAATCGCCTCATCAAAACTGGGGGGTCGACCAATACGCGAATCCCGGTATTATATTTTTCAACTTTTTTTTTTTTTTCGGGGGTCCCGAAGTTAGGGGGTCGACCTATACGACGTATCGACCAATATGCGAGTAAATACGGTACTTACCTGGTACCCACACCACGCAACGTGTTTTCTCGGAACCGAACGTTAAAACTGACTGCTCTTCACAAAAGAAAACACGACGGTCTTAAAATGCTTTTTCAGAACTATTTTGAAGTACCATAAGAAAATTAGACGTTTACAATTCTCTGTAATGCCAAATTAGAGCGTCACTCTTGAGGAAGAGGAGGGGAATTTACTGGGAAATCGTGGGACAATTTCCCAGTAAATTCCCCGCTAAATTTAGTGGGGCAATTTTTCTGTCAAATTTATCTGAATTTTTTTCCTAAATTTAGCAAAGAAATTTTCCCGCCAAATTTAGCAAGCAATTTTTTTCGCTAGTGGGCAATTTTTTTCCACTAAATGTAGCAGGGAATTTTTCTGATAAATTTGGCGGGAAAATTTGCCCGCTAAATTTGGCGGGGAAATTTTCTCGCCAAATGTAGCAGAGATATTTTTTCGGCAAACTTTGCAAGGAAATATAGCGGGGAAATTTCCCCGCTAAGTGACGTTACTTGTGACCTTTGTGATGTCACACGTGACGTCTTATGTGACGTCCTTATGGGAAATGCCCCATAATGCAACGCGCGGTTACGCCGACGGTGACGCCGCTCAAGCCGGAAACGGGCGCCTAAGAGCTGCGCTCTAAAACTAGTGATGGACTGAATCTGCCGAACTTCATATTCGGCAAAGTTTGGCACATGCCGAACTTTTAAAGAAAAATTTGGCAAAGATTCGGCAAATGTCTGCGCACGTGCGAGAATGCAATGAGGCCAAGGATTGCAAATGGACGCCGATTGGTTGTCCGGTTACCATCGTAGAGTGCAGTACAACCAGCGGTTACGGTGAGGTGTGGAGTAGGCAACACGGTAACTGTACTTTTCTGAGCCTTTGTGAGTGTGGTTCTCTTCAATATTTTCTGCCTCAAGAACAGAAGATGAACTAGTAATTTGTGCAGTTCACTACACAAGTGACAAACGATGTGGAACATACTGGATGACGTGATTTTCATTTGGGTTTTCCAGTGACTCAACCAGGTAGTTGAAACATTGACTGAAAATTACTTTAGAGCACTCCTCGCATTAATAACAATCTTCTTTTCGGCTCGCAAGTAGTTTGTGTCAAAACAAAATATTAAGTTTTAATTTGCCAAAATAAAATATTGCGCTTTAATTAGCATTCTTTCGCGGTTTTCATGTATCTGCATAAAACTAAGCAAAGAACTATCAAGACATGACATAGCACATCCGACATTCCTAACTCTTCCCATCTTCCTAAATGTTTGTGCGTCTTCCTGACACCAGGAACCGGCATTTTAAAGGTTAAAGACGAGACGTTGCAAATATGGGACGCACACTTTCGTGCAAAAGCTGACGTGAAGTGACTAAAATTGAAAAACATGCATATTTACAATAACATTGTTATCTCCTCTGGTGAAGGCTCAACCGTCGCATTCGTTTTCATGCATGGAACGGCAACTCCCAGAGAAAATGAGAATGTAGTGTTACTGCCTTTATTTTAACAATGTACACACACTTGCAAGCTAGCAGTGATGAGGCCTCAAAACCGAAACTTTCGTAGCGCGATTCACGACTGCGTTTGCTACTACCCCATCTCATTGTCACGCTACTTCTGCAAGAGGTCACTGTAAAGGCCCGTTCACACGCTTGCGACCTCTTAAAACTGGGTGCCTTGGAACCTCTTAACGTCTCTTGCAACGAGAGGACACACTGGTGCCATCTATTGGGTAGCAGTGTAAACTTGGCAGTCCGGCATATTTTCTATTTCTCTCGCGCATTATCCTTTCTTTCTTAGCTCGTAAAACTTTTGTCAACGTTATAAACGAGCTTATCTTATAGGTATTACGCACATTTGACCTCGGAAATCCCGCAAAACCTTAGCTCTTGTGAAATGCAGTTCCAGAGTCATCACATAGATGGTGCCAGCGTGCCAGTGCGTCTTCTCGTCCTACGAAATTTTAAGAGGTTTCAACAGGTCTTGTCTCTCTCGGTCGTACTTGGTTGCAAAAGCGTGAACGGGCCTTAAAATTGCCAGTAAGCACAAAAAAACGCATTGCACCTTATTTAGTAATAACTGTTTGTGTCAATATGCATTACATGTTGCATTTAAGGAAAAAAAAAAAACTTTTTTCGCTAGAAAAATCTAAATTAACATTGTGGACAAAAATATGCTAAGAAAACACATATTTGAAATTGTGTTTTTTGAAGATTGGCAGGCACTTATCATCTTGTCCTGAAAGATTTTCTTTAAATAAATCTTTCATCTTGAAATGTATTGGAAACAAAGTAAAATGAGTCTGGGGATGCTTTTTTTTTATATTATTTCTGAGTGAACTATTTACACCCTTTACTATTTTATGGAATTCATATCTCCACTTGCACATGTATAATCTTCATATATTTTTTTCTTTCTCTGGTAGGTGTATGTGTGAAATGTGCAATAAGGGGAACAAATATATTAAATAGGGTATCAGGCTTTTTTAGGTGCCTTTTAGGCATCCTGCAATTAATCATTTTAAAACTGGAAAGTTAAAAGTGTCCTAAAAAGTTCATAAAGGATCCTAGAGCTCTAATTTATGCCTTATTGGATTCCACATACCTTTTAGTTCACTGAACCATGTTTATTTTTTTATTTTAGTATTTCCCCAATTTGTTTTAATCCTTCCCGTAATCTTTGAAAATGATATTTTCAATATTAACAAAACTAATTAGGTTACACCAAAACCAAGTACATATATATAATGATGAAAATAATCCCTGGAGAAGGGGAACAAGAGGGACAAGGGACAAACATAAATCTCCAAACACAGCTAGGTGACTGGTGAGCGACCGAAAAAATCCGCCTGGTCCGGGTATCGAACCCGGGACCTCTCCATTACAAGTGGAGCGCTCTACCAACTGAGCTAACCAGGGGTTAGACGTCAGTAGAGCAAACGGGTTTTATCAGCTGCCACTAGTCTAACACCAACAAGGGTGAAGCTTGCAATTTAATGTTATAATTATAATGCAATTAAATGCAAAGGGGCAAGCGAGCTGGACAATAATGATGAAAATAATCCCTGGAGAAGGGGAACAAGAGGGACAAGGGACAAACATTTCGGTCGCTCACCAGTCACCTAGCTGTGTTTGGAGATTTGTGTTTGTCCCTTGTCCCTCTTGTTCCCCTTCTCCAGGGATTATTTTCATCATTATTGTCCAACTCGCTTGCCCCTTTGCATTTAATTGCATTATAATTATAACATTAAATTGCAAGCTTCACCCTTGTTGGTGTTAGACTAGTGGCAGCTGATAAAACCCGTTTGCTCTACTGACGTCTAACCCCTGGTTAGCTCAGTTGGTAGAGCGCTCCACTTGTAATGGAGAGGTCCCGGGTTCGATACCCGGACCAGGCGGATTTTATCGGTCGCTCACCAGTCACCTAGCTGTGTTTGGAGATTTATGTTTGTCCCTTGTCCCTCTTGTTCCCCTTCTCCAGGGATTAGTTTCATCATTATTGTCCAGCTCGCTTGCCCCTTTGCATTTAATTGCATTATAATTACATATATATAGTCAGATTGTAATGGGAAATAAGCTATATAAATTTCATCTGAATTGAGTCACAAGTTATATAAAAAAAAGCTCTAGAAGCAGTGTTGCCCCTTAAATCTGGGAACGATGTATTTTTGCCGAATCTTTAGAAAAGTTTGGCAAGAGGTCGGCTTTCCCGAACTTCAAGATTCGAAGCCGAATTTTCGATTCGGCAAAAGTTTGGTCTATCACTAATAAAAACCAAGCCAGGCTAAAAATATAGAACAATTGTGGCAGGAGCCCAAGACTTCAAAGAAACTAGCTAAAAATCACCTGTGTAATTTCTGTATTTGCTTAAAATTTGTTTGAATACCATTATCTCTGCATGCATTTGAAGTACTTGTCTCTTTTCACCCGATATATATCTATTAGTCTATACATATGTGCGGACGGCAACAAGCGCATGCTAGAGGCCGGGCTTCTGAAAGAGACATCATGCCGTCCGCATTCTGCCGGTAACTAAAATAATGAGCAATGTACACTGAACATGTCAAAATGCGCTCTCTTATTGAAAAAAGAAAAAAAAAAAAAAGGCTGCAGATTAATTTTTATAGACACCAGAACAACACGACTTCATGGCTCCAAGCCACAGCTTTCATGGCCCCATGGCTTCAACTGGATGGCAGCAGCCGGCACGGGCGCACCAAAATAGTGTCTCGTACCTAAAGTCGGTCTTGTCCGACAAGAGCCAGTAGACCTTTCGGAAGGAAACATTCCAAAAGAGACCCGTTTGTTTTGTACAATGCCTTTTAATAAAATTGGTATCATACACTTTAGACTACCTCTCTCTCTCTAACCTCTTGTATGTACATGGGCTACAAAATCAAAGGAGCAGAACCAGCTTCTAGACAGAGGCTATAAAACGAGGAATCTAGTCACCTAAAATAGCGGAAAGTACACCCGTCACAACTTAAAAAAAGAGACCCTCGAAACCCAAACGACGACCTATGGCGCTGAAACTGGTGAATTTTACGACGGGCGAGTCGACAAAAACGTCGACAACTTTCGAGGGGGCTCGTGCGGCGTGGCCGAGTAGCAAGCGTTAGTCGAGCTTTCGTCATCGTTGCTGGCATCACTCATTTGTGTCCGTGGTTTGTGGTGGTATTGGCTGAAATGGACGTCACCTCGCACTCCACAGATCCCAACAACGCCGTCTGCTCCCGCCGGATGTCGGCGGAGGGGGGACGAAACTTCTGTGCTCGGTCACAAGCGCGCTTGGTGCAAGAACACCGTGGCTAAAACCGACAAATAAATCTGGGGGGTGCTCGTATTGTCTTTGAACATGCAGACGAAAACCGACCTTCCCAGTCTGGAGACGTTTGAACCTTGAGAGCCGTGAGTGACCACAACCACATTGTAGTCTACAATGAGCACCGAGGGACGTCGGAAGGATGAACGCGTCACGCAAAAAAAGGAGGTAAAGCCGTGAAAGCGCGGCGTTGTCTCCACGAAGCGTGCGCTCGAACCAAAAGGTGAAATCGGTGATTTGTCTTTCTTAAATGAGAAGCAACAGTCGCACAGATGACAAAATATTCTTTTTGCATCTCTCAACATGCAATCATAGTTTCTAACTTTTTCAACTCAAAAACGATACAGAAACACAATTTCTTTTTTCTTTGAAAAGCGTCGTAGAATTTAGCAGTCCTAGCAAGAGTCCATTAGGGTAACAATGAAAAGTTGCACAGACAACAATGTCCTTCAGATGTTTTTCCTTTTTTTTTTCTGCTTTCTTTAACACACAGTTATAGTTGCTCAGTTTTTCAACTCAAAGGCAAAACCAAGACATAAAAGTGTTGTCGGAGATGCTTTGCAACGTTCAACAGCCTTGGTCAGATGCTACGTCAAGCTTGCTGTGGAATTTCCATAACACCCTGTCAGGTTGCCATAAAAGGGAAAGCCCTGTCCAACACCAAATCTAAATTCTGGTACCTCCACACTGAATATTGCAAACACTGTCAAACAGCCTTAGCAAACACACCAGTAATCATAAGCTGCTGGTAACGGCCTGTTCCTATTTTAAATCCCGAAGTTTCAGTTCCACATTGCAAACGTTTGCTTTGGGTTACACAAAAATCATACAACTAAAAGGCTCACACCAAAGCACTCTTGTTGTATCCAGAAGCCGATAAAAAAACGTTAAAGGAGAGTGATTATTCAGAAGCCTAAGCTCCATTTAAAAAATCTCCAATCCCTCTGTCACATTTTAAAAACAGTGAACAATACCTGCAACCCATGCTTGCTCAAGATAAAAGAAAATCTTCCCACAATTCTAAAACTCCCGAACACTGCACTCTAGAGAGTAAAAAAAAAGTTACAAAAAAGCAGAGTGTTTTTAAAGCTTTCTTCATGAAGGGATCCTGCTTAAAAATCAAAGTCACTACCGCAAACACAACGTGAGATAGCAGAAATGATATAGAAACAAAGCCTTGATGGAGAATAAATATCTGGTAAGTGGGGCGGTACGAGAAATAAGAAATAAAAAAGACGCGAGATGCCTCGCCAAATTCTAGGCCATTTTCGGCCACAAACAACATCGATGTATAGACGTCGGTTCGAGCGAAGTTCCAAGCCCTAGCCCACCGCTCCGAGAAAAGGTTGAATCTAACGTCGGAAAACAGTTAACTGAAGTTGGTCTTACACCTGCCTGTCTGTCAACAACACTTTGCCAGCAACACGCACAAAGTGTCAACAGGACAGACACGATCAACAGCGAGAACACTCTCACAGAGGGCGTTAACAAACACAACGTCCCTGCGAGAGTTTAAAAGAAGTGTACTGCAGCCCCGGGCTGCAACACAAAGCGACGTCGTCACTCAAGTGCCATTAATGGAAACAATCGAAGCGAGTCAATGTGGCGGGCAAAGTCAAACCGGCGATCCTTAGAGGTGCCTCGGACTGCGCCCGCATGAAAACACTCGTAAAATAAAAACATTAACATGTAGAACATTCTTTCCGACGACGTCACAACTAAAACGGAAAGAGTAACAAAGACACACAACCACACTTTCACGCCTTAAGAACTTTCCCCAAACCACAGAGCAAGGGATCGTACGCCCAACGCCGGGATTCGGGTAACTGAAGACAAATTCACGGTGGCCTCTCTTTCGTCTCTGCTTCGTGAACGAGTAGCCACGATGCGAAAAAAAAACTCCCGAGGGGCACGTGGTTCGAGTCGGGTGGAACCAGGAGCGGTGTACAGTTTTGAAAGAGATGCGAGCGAGTGTGAAAACAGACAACAAAGGCATTGTGGTAGTGTGAGGCAGACGGGCGGCGACGACGGCTTCATCTGCGCTTGGAGCGTCTCCGCTTCTTCTTTTTGGCCATCACCTGTCCCGCTCCCTGGTCCGAGAGGGGAGAGGGAAGGTCCTGGTCCACAGCTCCGTCGCCACCGTGGTTCCCTGCCAAACGGAACGTTCTGTTGCAAGCTTGCCGTCTCAAAAAATGGCTGCCGCGAAATTGCTGACGACGGACAACGCTGCATCAAAGACGGTATGCAACAGGCCAAAGACTTCGAGAGTCTTTTCCAGCTTCGAACTGAGCTTAAATAAAAAAATGTTCGGCAGCTTTAAGAATGACTAGGTAAGCTTTTTTAACTTATCTTTTCATAGCAAATACCGGTGCCATGCACAATTTAGAAACATTGCCAGTGAGTAGTTTGGTCCACTTGTAAAACTGTGGACTGAAGGAACTTAAGAACATAAACACACTTCGTCCTCATCCTATGCAAATATGTGGTGGCAAAAGCACTAGTGAAAGCTGTAAAAGCCACTCTTACAAAATGTGACGATGCTCGTAGGGTCGCCAAGTGTTTAACATTGGACTTCAATGAGGCGTGATGACATTTGTTTTATAATGCCAATCACATGAACCTGTCACATGGAGTTATTAGGTTACAGGTACTGTTTTTTGGCCAAAATGAAATTAGGTTGGAAACACAGTTACTTCAGTTCTGTTCCTATTACTATTACTATTTTAAAAATATCCCACGACATTGGAATATGCTGCAATTGCTCACCAACGGCTCACTTTACAATACAGAAAAGATGCTGTCAAATTTCTGTTTTAATCCAGCCCTCAGTTCACAGCAGCATTTGCAGCAACGGCAACATACAGCCTCGATGTTGAGACTAAGATCCTTGTGAATTTCTGTTTGAGCTAGGCTTCAAGCTACGCCAAAAATGTGTCTAAGTTACAGTTACCTCAATCATCAAAATTTAACAGTAACTTCGAAGGTAGATTTACATACTCGAGTAATGATTATAAAATCTTTTTTCGATTAGACACTGTACAGCACTGGCACGCAAACGGAGAATATCCAACCTTGGACGCCGTTACAGCCACACTAGACAAAAGACAAATTTTATGACAACACGAGCACCAGCATCAACTGGGATCTCGATTTCTGCCGACTCACCTCATCAGCAGTAAGAGCTTGCGCCCGAGCGAGTCCGGGAGTTTGCGGTGCTAGCCGGCCACCGTGCTGAAGAGACCAAAAACCCAACCACCAATAGGAGCCACCGTCCACGTCCAAAACCACAAAAGGGGAAGCGTAAAAAAAAAAAGAAAAAGTGCAGGCATGGCGTTTGAGGAAGAAAGGTGAGCGTGCCACAGGGAGGGTGCAGCTACAAAAGGAGCAGCTACAGAAGAAGCAGCGACGGAAAATATCAGCATGCTGCAGTTTTGCTTGCGTGTTCAGAAATCTCGAGTTTATCCTATCTTTTATTGAGATCAACGGCGAGCTGACACTTTTTAACGGTGGCAAGGACGTGATACAATACACTTTCGCACCGTCGTCGTCATCATTCAGCAAAGATCAGCAACGTGTGTGGTTGTGCCAAGAGTTCAGCTGACATATCAACTCAAAAGACCACTTAATGAATGAAGCAGCAGTTGAGATCAAGTAATTTCATGCTTCCACTGCTTGCCTGTTCGTTGCCCACCTGAATTGATAGTGACTACATGCTGGTGTCGTGGCGCAGCAGGCCCATTAAATTAGTGAAATTTAGATTCCACCATGTCTAAATTCGTTAGGCACCTGAAGGCAACTATGAAACAGCATTCAATGCTCCCGTTATAGAAAGAAGCAAGACTGCCAAAGTCTTTCTAAAGATAAAGATCCGCATTGCTTTAGCCTATCTTTCAGTCATGGGATATCTAAGAAACCTTCCAGATTAGGCATGGCATTAACACCCGTGTTTGTTTACTCAGCTCTTAGACTGCTGACGAACTACTGGCAAAGCTGCGCACAACACCATTTACAAAATTCTTCAGCTACAACGTCCTCGTCCTTGCCCTCTCCTCCCCCCCTTTCCCCCCCAAAAAAAGGCTGACAGACCTGCTTGTTTCGAGTGTCAACAAAGCAGTGTTATAGGGGGCTGACAGGAAGTGCAGAACACAGCTGGGAGTGCAAGAACAGTCATTAACATTCAAGGAGAGTGCGGCGTGCGTAAAGCCTCGACCCAAAACCACATGCAGTGGGCATATCTCAGAAATGAGCAGGAGCCACCATACAAGAAAGCAAGCCGGGTCTGGGCAGGCACCGAAAAAGCCTCAAGTTCCAAACCGCGCGAGCAGACGAACTGGGAGGGTGGGGGACAGAACTCACCATTGTCGTTGGTTCCATCTCCCGGCCTGCCGTGGAGCTCGAGCGAGAGTATCTTCTCCGTCGTCGTTTCGATCTACGTGTGCAAACATAAACAGAAAGAGCAGAGGTACTTGTAAAGATTGTAAGGGAAAACCTGACATTCCGCAGTTTTTAAAAAGTCGGCCAAACGCGTGAACGCAGGTCCTCGAATCACTTCTTTGGGTTACTTGGGAGAGGTTAGCACGTGATACATGGGGTACACACTGAGTACACAACACGACTGGAAGGTGACGACCCAGAGAAAGACAAACAATAGCTGCAAGAAGCTTGTCCGTGCGACAAGCATAAGCTGCAATGAGTTCCCAGGAATGCAAGATTGGTTGTTACATATGACATTCATCTGCTTTGAAAGTATTTACAAAAAAAAGCAAAAAATTAAGAGGATAAAAATGTAATTTTTTATACAGAACTCTTCCAAGATAGCCAGAAGCTCTCCAACTCAAACTTTTTAATGTCTAGCTATGTTTGTTCTGCTTTCAGTGGCACTGCGGACACTATCTGCTAGCTTTGACAACGTGGTACGAGTTGACGTCGAGTACAGGCAGCTTCACGACCTGGACGCTCGACGCCATTTGTGTGGCCCGATGTGGGGATAGCCACCATGAATCTAGAACATACAAAAACCATCTTGCTTTGCTTTAATTTTTTTTTCTTTTTTCTGCTAAGTAATATATATAACAGTACGTAGAGCTAGCATAATCATAAAACGTAAATTGTACCACCTTTTTTTTTTAATTTTGCAGAATTAAGTTTTATTAAGTTTGGAACCAGACGCTCCTTTGGAAAAGCAACACATGGGAGCCAACTGAGACGGGCAAACCAACGAAACGTCACCAACGCCACCACCAATCGGTGCAGAATCGCACGGCGTCGCTTCCGCATGCTCGGAAAAGCTTACGCGACAAATCGTGTGTTTCCCCAAAAAGTGCACAGCCCGTCCCAAGGCCTAAAACTAGGTGCTCCCGAAATGCCTACGAGGTGCTACCGTACCCACACAAGACGCCCGACACCAGTCAACGAAAGAGCAATCAGGCACACAGCCGCAAATTGTCGTCTCCCTCCCAGGAGACAGCCCCCCAAAAGAATCTACCGGCAGCTGAAGACTAGTGCAAGACACAGGGACGTCGAGCGGTGTTCTTCGCACAGGAGACCGCGTTTCGTCCCGGTGCAAGTGCAGCCTTTCGACAAGCGGGGCATCCGAACGCTCGCAGAGTACCGAGCTTCTCTAGCTTCCGCTCGTTCACCGGCACGGGCACGGCCATCGAGCCATTAGAGTTGAGTTACCGTGTCTGGCTTCGTCGCAGAGCAAGTTTGTTATATAATTTTTTTTTTTTTTTTTTGTGCATTATGTACGCCTCTGCAAAAGGTCACTTAGAAAGGATTCGAAAGCTGGCGAGAAGGTCGGTGAAGCCAATGGTAAAAAGGATGCCAACTAAACTTGTCGTTGCCTGCTTTTTTGCCTGTGAACCCAGTGGCAGTTCATGCGATTGGTGTGGCTGGCATTATAATTAACGCAAAGCTTTTGTTCTGCACTGGAACAGATGGAATTAACAGCAAGTTCATTAAAAAAAGTGTGATGTGTATAGATCAATAATTCTCTCAAAACTTTATATGCAGTCTCTTATCCATAGCGTAGTCCAAAGCGATTGGAGGGTTGGGAAGGTGGTTCATGTACACAAATCTGGCAAAAAAAAAAAAAAAACTCACCTAATTATCGACCAACCTTTTAACAAGTGCGCCATGAAAGATATTTGAACGCATCATTTATTTGCAGTTGGCAAATTATCTTGAAACTAATGACTTTCCACAAGTTCACAACATGGCTTTAGAAAACATTTTTCATGCGAGACACAGCTACTATCCCTCTTGCATGATCTCCATCATTCCCTTGATAATCATTAGGAAACCGATGGTGTATTTTTAGATTTCTCAAAAGCCTTTATTAAAGTTTCCCACAAACTCCTTCTTCATAAATTACAATCACTTCATATTGACTCTTGTATATTAAACTGGATTCATGCCTTTTTAACTAACCGTTTACAATTCGTTACTGCTAATACAAATTCTTGTACTGTTCCAGTCACCTCGAGTGTCCCATAGGGCTCAATGCCCCCCCCCCCCCCCCCCCCCCCTTGGCCCGCTACTCTTTCTTATTTACGTTAATGACTTGGTGCAGAACTTGTCTTCTTCTATTTTCCTCTTTGCTGATGATTTCCTAATATACTGGAAAATAACCAACATATCTCACACTATTCTGCTACAATCTGACCTTAATCGTATATCACTGAGTTGTAACCAGAAGGCTAATGAAACTAAACACTGAAAAATGTAAATCAATGAGTGTATCACACGCTTAATCAGTGTGTCATACTTATCATCTTAACATGATTTTAACAGTGCTAACCGTATGTTAGGATACTTAAAAAGAAATTACTTTCTCGCTCCATCATCATTAAAACTAGCCAGATACATAACCCTAATCCGTCCAAAATTAGAATATGCTGCTGCTGTGTGGGACCCCGCTCACTCGTCACTAATTGCTCTTACTGAATCCATTAAAAACCGCTCAGCTCGTTTTATACTGACAAACTATCACCGCACTGCCAGCGTTTCTACCATAAAAAATACTTTAGGTCTGCCATTACTAATTCACTGCCGAAAAATCTCTCGTTCGTGTCTCTTTCACAAAATATTTATTCAAAATGTTACCCATCGTCATAAACTAATTACTCCACCTTACTACATATCTGCTGGCATCGATCATAGCCATAAGGTTGATATTGCAAATTTTAGAACTTCGTCATTTCAATATTTCTTTATGCTTTAAACGTCGATAGACTGGAACCACCTTCCCACCTCGATCGCTAACATCACTGATATTGTTTTGTTTAAACATGCTATTATTACTAATATGTGTAATCTATAGTTAATATTTTACAGCTCTCTCCGCTCGTCAATGTATTTACCGCGAAGGCATTTGAAATAAACAAATAAATAAATAAATGAATAATTAAAGAAACAGTGAGGTAAATATATAAGAAAAGAGGATCATATGTCGCACGTACAGGCAATCAGATATTCATGCTACATTTCCTCTGCGGTGCCATACCGCCCTAACCCACTGGCTCAGTCAATAGCACTAATGTTGGCCACAGCAACCAGCAAACTAGACATGAAATGTTTGGACAGCAAGTTGTTGGTATGCTTTTGAGGAATGGCAACACGGCTTCACGCTAGAAAGAAAATTGGCCATTGCAGTTTGACCCCCTAACCTGAAGTCCCTGACGTGCATCATGCAACAGCGATTACATGAACGCACGCCGGCAAAAAATTTGCCGGGAAGAATTGAAATGTGCGGGGCTGGAAACGAAAGGTTCGTTACGGCCGAACAAGTACTCTGCGAACATTTAGAGTCTCCCGCAGAACAAAGAGCAGTTCCGAAGCCAAAGGACGACCCAATGCGAGCGGTGCAAGCAAACAACCGGCCCGTGCGTGTTGTGTCTTGCCGTGCAGCCAGCGCAGCGGGTCCTACCGCAGCCTACGCACGCCAGGTGGAGCAGAGTGAGGTGAGGCGGAGGAGGGGTCCCGGTTACCTCTTTCTCGACCACCTTCTCAACAAATTCGAGCGTGCGGATGCGGGACTCCCCCGTCCGGGGGTCGATGACCCTCTCGGTGCGGCGGGACACCGTCTCATCCACGACGTGCTCCCGCTCCACGGTGCACGTCTGGCCGTCGCGCAGCATCAGCACCAGCCGGGGAAGCGCTTCCTCTTCTCCGGGGGAGGACTGGCACGTCGGACCCAACGCAACCACACCCCCCCGTTGTCCCTTCCGAAATTTGTTTCGAACTGGGGCCCCCTTTCCGAGCTACGCTCTATAGGCTCTCGAAACAGGGTTCCCCATAGTGTCCCTGGGGATTCCCCAAAAGTACCCAGGAATTTTTTTCCATTTTCCAATGCGTTTTTAAGAATTCCCCATTTCTTAAAGTGCCCCTGGAGGTTTTTCCCCGTTCTCCAGTGTCCCTAGGGATTTTCCACATTCTCCAAAGTGTCCCCAGGGATTTTCCTAATTCTACAAAGTGTGCACAGGGTTCCCTGGATTTTCCAGTGTCCCCAAGAGATTTTATCCGATTCTACAAAATGTCTGCGGGGTTTCCATTCCCCAAAGTGTCCCTATGGGTTTTCTCTGTTCGGCAAATTGCCCCCGATTTCCCCATTGTCCAATGTTCTTTCCATATTCTCCAAAGTGTCCCCAGGAATTTTCCCCATTCTACGGTGTTCACAGGGGATCCCCATTCTACAAAATGTCTGCAAAGGTTCCCATTTTCCAATGTGTCCCTAGGGGCTTTCCCTGTTTGGCTAATTTCCCTAAAGGTTTCCCCATTCTACAAAGTGTCCCCAGAAGTTCCTCCTACCCCAAAGTGTTTCCAGGAAATCCACAAAAGGCTACACAAAGAATTACGAGAGCAGAGGCTTATTTTCATTGTTTTCAAGATTCAGGGCATTGTGTGTTGTGTCAGGAGGATTATACAGAAAGGTTAACATTAAGACAGGGGGCTCAGGACCACAAACAATAGCACACAGACAGAGCAGCACTCACACAGGAATTTGGGATGACACACCCAGCCAACGTACGATACCCCGAGCCGACGAGCAAAAACATTACGCGGCAAGTAACACACAAGCAGCGGCACATTCAAAAGCACACGAGAACAAAAACATGTCAGAATCACGACGCTTCAAAAATACTAAACGGGTGCAAATGTCACCACTCTACATGCTCGTTAGTTTTCAAGCATCGACAGCTGCTGACGTCATGCAGCAAAGACTAACCTTATTGCTTTATTCCTCGCTGCTGACATAAATTGAAGCGCAATTAATAACCTCTGACCAATCAGCTTCAGTGTTTCAGTTTACCCGTACTGCAAACTGGTCACTGCATATGGCCTCCTCTAATGCAACGATGGCAAAATAGTAGTAAGAGTCAGATGACAAAACTGGCAATGGCACGCTGGGTAATGACACGAGCCTTGTTCTTAATTGGCTTGGCTTTGCCTACGACTTTCTGTAATCCGATGCCCAATGTGAATCTCAAAGTGTCCTGTGCTTACCTGATGGTCAGTGGCACCCTCATCGTCCGACTCGGCCTCCGGGCGGCCCAGGATGTTGCTGTTCTCTGCAAGCACCGCCAAGAGCCCCACCGTTCGAGTCACCGGAAATAAACAGATCTACTAACTCATGTCCTCGAAAATAGGCTAGCATTTTCTTTTGCAGCACTGAGTTTTATATCAAATGAATCTACCACCTCTGATTAAAAAAATATTAAACCTGGTTTTCCAGGTTGCATACGTCAGCATTGCACAAAGCTGAAACTCTGTGAAAATATGATGCCAGTGGTGGTGATAAAATGCAAAAGTTTGATACATTACCTAAATCAAAAGAAAGAAAACAAAAAATTCACCAAGAAACCAAGATTCAAACCAAGAAATAACATTGTGATTGCACCGTAACATTTATTTCCAAAAAAAAAAAAAGCTTGCCAGCAAGAACAAATTTTTTTTTTTTTTTTTTCTTTTTTTGCTGCCAAGATTTTTTTTCCTCCTCCTCCTTCTCCCTTCCCCCCGAAATGACCGCTACAGGCACCCCATAACGCTATTTCTCGGTTTGCACGTTCCGGAAGTTCGGAAAACAATGTGACAAGTGTGATCGAGAAGTTAGCTTAAAAAAATTGGGGTCGACCTACATTTCAATATTTTATTCATTTTGTTTCAATATTCTCAGCAACTTCTAGGATATAGGAGGGGACTTGTATTCACAGATAACCCATCTTCAAGTAAACAAAGCACTACACTGAGTCTACATTTCACCCGGTCATTTGCCAGTCTCGCCGGTCGTGTAAGACACAAAACACGTGGAGAAAGCCCGGTCAATGCGAAGAGCAAGTCGTCTGCTTCTTGTGCAGGAGTTGCGGTAACGTCGAAACGACGCCGAGCTCCGACTGACTTTGGTCGAAAGGATACACCTCAATGCTAGATGCCTTGAGGTGTACCCACTATTTCTCAGGCGGCCAATAAGAGCTCTGCGTTCTGACAGCATCGTAACCCCTGTGCAAAAAGCAGACCAATTTGCACTCTGCGTAGGAATTGCACTGGTTCCCTAACACATTTACATTCGGTCGAGTTTCGAGAACGCTCAACAAAGCATTCGAAGAAAGAACCTAGCCCACCGTCGTCCAAGGCCTGTTGCCTCCTCGCCCTCTCCGGCCCTTCCAGTGCCTCGTCGTCTATGTTGATGTTGACCGCCTTGAAGACGGGCGACAGGGGCCTCGCTTCGACGCCCTCCGTCAGCCGCGACAAAACGGCCTGGGCCTGAACTGCATCCTCCTCCAGCGACTTCATCCTGGTCGCAGGGGCGGTTACGAGGGGCGTCAGGAAATGTCTCGTAATCACCGAAGGCATTCTTTCCCTTCCTGTACTACAGCTAATAGTCGGTGACGGGTCAAGAATGCAGCAGACGCTCTACCTTCAGCTAACACCACCACAAGACGAGTCCTTTATCCTTTATTCGTTTGGCTCCTGCAGTGCCGGCATAGAATAGTTGCGGGGGACGAACCACAACGAAAAGAACTTGTCAGCATTTTCGGCACAAACCGTAACTTCGTCAAGCGCAATTTAGTCCTCAACTGTTTTAACAAAAAAATAATTTTAGCAGAGCTTTGTCCTGGTCCTAAATTCCCGAATTTTGTGCGTGTGAGCTTTCTGGCGAGAAAATTAATTTTGCTTTAAAAGAGAAGATGATTGAAGGGATCGGCAAAAGTGAGGGGGGAGGGGGGGCCCCATCCACCATAGAGGGAGGATGACAACAATAACGAAAAGTTAAATGCAGATAACGAAATGCACGCAGACCAACTTAGAAGCCGTGAAACGGAGAAAAATCTACCCTACCCTCTTGGTGTGCACGGTTTAGTTCGGTTCGCTTCGCGCGATGGCCAGCATCGATAAAAATTATGTTTTATTGCTCAGCTCGGCAGACAGCTGAATGGCTTCTGGGACCCCTAGAAGGCCTTTGTGGAAGGCCAAAGGGTTTGTGGACACCCCATTTGAGAACTCCCGGTCTAGAGCAATACACACCTGACCAGAAAAATGTGAACAACTTCAGTGAAACCCGTTTAGAACGAACCCACGTACAGCGAATTATTGCCGATATCGAACTCACAGAAAATTGAAATAAAAATGCATGTAAAAAGTATGTTTTATAACGAACAACATATTGGCTCTATCAAACTTTTCACCCTGAAAGGCTTCCAAAAACGCGGAAACATTAGTCTTCTAGCCTGTTCTTCCCCCAAAAAAACAAGTAAGAAAGAAAGAAAATTCTAAAAGCTCAAGTTGCGAACAAAATTTAGCGAAGAGAAGCGATTCAGAAGGGAAGAAAGCTAAAAAATACACTCTGCACAGATGAAAAAAAAAGAAAGAAACAACTTTTTATCGCGTTGTTACGAGGCGGAAGTGAAGATATGAGAAAGAAAGAGAAGCTTTCGCCTCACAACAAACATGATCGTGGAAGTTTGTTCTAAATATTTTTTGCTATATCGAACTACTTGCTACATCGAACTGAGGGTAGCGTTTCCTGCTGTTTGTTATAAACGGGTTTGACTGTACAGTCACCAGCAGGATGAAAACGGTAGGTAGGAGTTTTGGTCGTCCCGCCTTCAGAGCAAGCTTCCTACCTTCGATAACGCCACGGCATCTCGTGAGCCTTGACCACGCACACACAGCCAAAGCCAGACCACAGATTTCAAAGGTGGGAAGTGTACCTTGCTTGACGCCATGCGGCCCTCTTCTCCGCCTCCAGCGCTCGTTGCCGAGCGCTCGCCAAGCCAGCCGTCACACCGTCATCGTCCGCTTCTTCCGGCGCGTCCGGCCCGAGTTCCCGTTGCTGCCGCTCCCGCAACCGACGTTCAGCCTTGACGGTCCGCACGGCAGGCACAGGCACCCAGTCGGGGTGGCCAGGACCGTGAACCTCGCTGTTCAAAATCACAGCATGAGACACGAATACGGCGACTAGAACTTGAAGTAGAAGATGCTCGAACTTCTATTAATCGTCTCCTGTACAGAATCGCGGGTCTTTGACAAAACAGGCATCTCAGAGCAGTGGCCGACATTTCACAAGCAGACCTAACAAGTTGTCGGCTACAACCCCGAGGTTCCTTTCGAGTTTTTCATACCGGCTTCAACTGTCTGCACTCTGTATACGGATATTCCTCGCATTACCACGCACCAACTAGGACAAAATGATGCATGAAGTTCCGTCGAATAAAGCTCGGGCGATCGCTCTTTGGTCAAAAATGGCGAGCCGGTGAGCTGCGTCCGGTCTTGCTGGGCGTTCGTAGAAGTCGTGCCAAACCGGCGCATGACGTCGGCCTTTCTCAGAAATGTGAGGGGATGAATTTAAGCCGAAGGTAAAATTGTGCACTGTTCAGAGCAAAGACACCCTCAGTCACCGTGACAAATTGGTCACCACGAAGGGGTGGGCTAGGTACTGACCCCAACCACTGACACCCACGTACTGGTCTCCGAGTCTGTGCGAAGTTGGCAAGTTCACGTGACGCTGGCGAGTTTGTGTGAGCTAGCCGGTTCACGCGATGCTGGTGAGTCTGTGCGGTGCTTCCTTGGTTTCATGCAGCAGCAGCAGCAGCAGCAGAACTCTCACCTGGAGACAGTGTCTGCGGCATCCACGGCGTCTGCCTGCATCTCCACATCTTCGTCCGCTTCCGTTTCTTCGTCGCCGTCCTCGCAGCTCTCCCCTTGGTTCAGCCAATCCCGCTTGACTAGGTGAACAGAGTTCATTCTTTCACACCACCAACTTTGCTTTGCAATGTACAATCGATTCAGACATATCTCTCAACAAGAATGTGAGAGAAATGAATTGGTAGGTGTGAAAAAGACTGCAGACTTTAGGGCTAAATGCAATTAACCCGAAGCAATCAGATGTCTTAAAAATTGAAAGGTATTAGTTTTCAGGACAGAGCACCAACGAAAAATCGGAAAGTGTCACGGTGAACAGTCGTTTTGGTTCTGACATGGAAGAGTTACTTATTGATAGACTAGTTGTGCTCTCAAATGGTTGTCGAAATTAAATTGTGATGCAATCGATCCAGGCTAATTGGTTTGCTTAGCGCGGCCATATTTGAATGCATCTTTTTTAATTCAAGCATCCTTGCCGAAATTTCCCCATCTGCCTCAGCAGTTTCTTTTTTCCTGCTATCCAAACAAAATTCATTCGTACCGTTTTTGCTGCTGATACAATCTAGTGAGCCATTTGTGCAGATGTACAGAGGTGAAGACAATATCTTAAAACGAAGTTGAAGAGTTTCATGTCTAGTTAAAAAAAATAAAATGCATATTCAAATTCTAAAGAGTGCCGAGAACACATGTTCACAGATGGGAGGGCATATGTTCATAGACAGGAGCACATATGTCCACATATGAGAAACCTAATGTCTATGTATGAAAGAATACACATTTACACATGAATTGATACAGGCCCATACGTGGGAGGACACATGTCCATACATGGAGTAACACGTCTGCACATACATATACATGTCGACCCATGGCGGGGTACGTGTAACACACATTAGAGGACATACATCCGCTCATGCAAGTAGTACACATATCCACACGTGAAATCACACACCGTTCCACATAAAAGGAAAAACGTCCAGAGGTGTCGGAACTATTTGGGAGATGGGGGGGGGGGGGAGGGCAACGTTGCTGGTGGTGTTGGGGTGACAGCGATCCTCTGCCGCCTCTCCTCACTGTTTACATTAAACTTTTTAAGTATCTGGGGGACAATTGCCTCCCCAGCTCCGCCGCCACTGTACACGTCCACGTCCAGGCACGGGAGGACACATATTCGCACAAAGAAAGGCAGATGTCAGCATACGAAAGGGTATATGTCAACACGTGGAAGGATACACGTACACACACGGGAGGGCACACATTCACACATGCAACCATAGATGTCCACACGTCAGACCCACCTTGCTCCTTTGTCCGCTGCAGCACCTCACTCTCGGAAGGGAATGGGAAGCGCGTGGTCTCTACAGGTGCCCCCTGGGGCTGTTGCATGCTCTCAAAGTGGTGCTTCTTCTCGATGAACGTCAGGCACTCGGGATCGGTCACTGTGCCCTGCAGCTGGGGGGTGTACAGCACCTGCTTTTCTCAACAGTGTATGAAACCTCAATGCATCAGGTTCCCAGATGAAAACTTCCAAAAAGGAAACGAAGATATCAGCGTATACCAAAGCATAGAGAGATGACTTTAGACCAATATTCCAGTGATGTTTCTATGAATGCCTCTTTGTAGAACCCATTTCCTGCTACAATGCCCCACGGCAATGAAAGTTTTTATGTAAATATTAATGAAAAAACCATCCTCCCTCCCACGCCCACTTTTGCACCTTACCCCCTTTAAAGCTCTCCGAACAAAAGGAAGCCTGAAACACCTGACCCGGTTGCCATGTAATCTCTGCCGTTTGGTCGGGTATAATTACAAAATGCATCGCGGACAATTCAATAAATCAGAGGTCGAGCCAAACTAAATATTTCATACTGCCAAGTTTTAAGAAAATCCTGCACACTGCCCCTTTATAACATTGTTACAAACTTGGCTGAATAAATTAATTATCGCTATGAATCAGAACGATGCTATGTTACCGTAAAATACCGGGCAAGCGCCCACTCAAGATTTTGAGATAATCATGAAGAAATGGGGGATGGGCGCTTGTCCGGTCATCAATTCTACATATCAATGTACTGTGCATATTTTCTCAGATTTTACACATTTGGGAATGGGCGCTTAATGTGGTATGGGCGGATGCACGGTATTCTACGGTAGGTTTATGCAATTATAATATTTAAAGCTTCAAGCAATCAGACAATTCCAATACCCCCAACTAAATTTTTTTTTTTTTTTTTTTTACGACAAAGGTTTACAATTTCAGACTTGTAACGACATTGGTCACTGTGGTGATTTGAATCGCCAATTCAGTTGACACAACCCAATAAAAACGGCCATCGAATTTCCCTTTCATTCGGTGAAACAACTGCTAATGACACAAACAGAAAGAAGAGGTTATGCACATCCCATTACTGTTTGCAGAAATTTTTACAGTAGCACCTCGTTAATACATATTTTTTACGCCAATCTCGCAGCAAAACTAGAAATCAGCTATGCCGCTTTCTGGCATCTGAGATGTATGGTGCATCAGGCACATTTTGCTGTCAAAACCGCAAACTACACCAAATAAAAAAAAAATAAAAAAAATATCACGGCCTCATGTAATATAGGGAGAAAATAAAAAAGAATCATGTCTGAAACACGCTGCATCAAGCGCAGATCAATTTAGACGGAGTTTCTAATCATCCTCATAGAGAGTGACATCTCAGCAAATGCTATTTTGGTGAAAAAAGAAGTCGTTCCAGAAGTGAAATTGGGCACAAAATTAAATTAACTTGTTCACTTTGGTAGTTCAGGAGACTCTTTCAACAGGCCCAATGGGAAACAGACCCAGCAGCTTGCACTTAAGATCACCCAACAAAACTTGAGCCCCATAAGAAATGTCGACAAGTACCAGACGGCAACTGCCGGCAATTCTCCTTTAATCCTGACAAAGCCTGTATTCTCCTCCCTACACTCGAAATGCAGTTAGCGAAGGAATACCGAAAGGTCACCATGACCCAACCAAAAGTATAATGAAGCCCCAAACACATAACGGCCCAGTTGTCCCCTAACAGATCGCAGTCGAAGCCCTCGAAAGGACGAGGCGGAAAAACTATGCCTTCTCTCCGGCTGCGGCAGAAGGAGATGCGATGCGATAGCATCTAGGATCCTTTACCGGCTCGTCCACTGCTCAGCTCGGCGCCTTCCGTCTGCCTCAGCACAGTGCCGTTTTCGTGCCAATTCTTTCTCGATGTCCAACGGTCTTTTTCTCGGAGGCATTGTGAAAAATGGGGCACTGCACACTCCTACTACAGTGCAATCCACTTATAACGATAATAAGAAAACCCGAAAATTCAATCATTATAACCTCATTATCGTTGTATCTGGGCTAGAAACTGACTGTTTCTAGTATAGAAACTCTAGAAACTGATTGTTACAAGCAGTACATTGTTATATGCGGTATCGTCGTAAGTGGACTGCACTGTACGTGCTCATGCCACTTCTTCCAGATCACGCCACAGCTCCTGCTCTCTTTGTGCGCAGCTGGTTCATGCCGACATGGCCTGGGCTTGTTGAAACATGCGCTCTCTGCCTTCCCGGGTTTCAACCAATGAGCGGGCAGACCACTGAGTCGCTTACAAACGGATGCACACAGTCTCGTGGCAAGAAAAAGTTAAAACAGAGAGTAAAAGAGAAAGAAAGAGAGATTAAAAGAGAAAGACAAGGTGCCATACCTTTCGGGGCTTGGGAGGGGGTACGGGCTTAGGAGCGACGTTAGCTTTGGAGGGCCGCACCGCACGACGAGCACCGTCTTCCGACTCCGCTCCGACGCGGCAGTTTTCCAGCAGGGGGGAGGGGGGAGACGGAGGGGGAGGAAGAGGGTCCCAAGGAAAGGCAGAGGGCCGCTGCCCATTCTTCGTCAGCTGCACGCCACCGTGAGAGGGGGTGAGGGAAGGGGAGGGAGGGAGGAGGGTGGAGAACAAACAAACCGGGAAGACGTTCGTGTTTGCGTGCTCGGGTTGAAACACCGCCACAGTGAGAAAAAGAAAAAAGGTCCACACTAGAAAAGTAACCACATATAGGGAAGGGAGCAAAACTAGGAAGCCAGGCAGCTCGGAAACCACAGGAAAACAAAGAAAGCTTGCGCGTGCGCAAAGTGAGGCTGGGGTTGCGAAGGAGAGACCGTTAGCAAGGGCAGAGGGGACAAAAGCTCAGCGGTGAACGCCAGCAGACAGCAAGCAGTTTCGGAAATGCCGGTTGATTGCACAACGAGCGTTGCCACTGTCAGTGTAATGACTCTACACGCTGAGACGTTTTGAGCTTGGCGTTGCTGCCATGCACTATCCGGCTGGCAAACCGACAGTTTTTCCTTGACTTACACTTCCGGTCATCGGCTTTTACACACACAAAGATCACCTCATGCTGCGCATTGATTATGCAGCCTTTAATGACAGCCCAGATTAAAAGAAAAGGAAAACGAGCTATTAACCTTACTCCTCTAGGAGATAAAAGATGCCCAATAATGGCAACAACAACAAATTTCAACAATGTAGCATCAAGTTCTTTGACAATATTTATTTAACATTGTCAGTCCCTGAACCCTTACCCCCAAAAACAGTAGCCCATGTTTCAGTGATAGGAGACCAAGCCTCACAATCCGATGCAGTCGAGCTTCAACCTAACAAAAAAAAATGGTCGCCAAACTGCCTTTGGGGACTTTGCCAGGCAAAAACAAATGTATAAGTCATCTATAGCAGACCATGTAAAACATTAGAGGGTAAAAAAAAAATCTCTCAAGCTATTTATATTTTTAAGCAATGCATCTGGTCACAAAATCATAAAACCAAGTTTACATGGGTTGCTTTCTTTTTGTTCGGTTTACAGTTTGCCATTTGGAGCTTTGTGAGTTAGAACAGCAAAGTGCCAGATATGATTTAGCGCGAGGACTGCAATAGTTGCCTCACAAAACAACCAGTGAAACAAGAGACAAATTTTTCTTCGTTATGTTTGTCATCTCGACTATACCCCGTTTTCCCTCAAAACATACTGCAACGGACGTTATGATCCGAGCAAGTGAATCCATCGCTCCATGCATGCCCCGTGGGCCCGCGCTCTGCACGTGAGCCCGCCAAACCGGAAGGTCGTGCGACGCACTCTGAGCAATGGATTGGCTCCCGTTGCTCGTAGCGTCCGTTGCTGTACACCATACGGTGATAAGGGAGCACCACCCAAATATTACATTACAAACAAGCACGACTGTACTCAGCAAAATCAACCCCCATTACTATAATTTAGAAAAGAATGATGACCCCGACAAGTTTTTGGTCTGCGTGCACACCAAAGCAGGCAGGCTTGCCTTTTCCCAGACGAACATGCAGACGGTCCCCAACAACTTTGCACCACGTGTCACAAACACGAGGAAGTAAAGTGAAAAAGAAAAAAAAGAAAAAGAGAGAGAGAAAGAGAGAGTGAGCGCAACACCTAGAGAGAAGACGATACAAAACACGGCGAACAGGGGGAGGCACATCACCATGCACACGGGTCCGGACTAAAAACTCCCGGCAAGCGTCGGGCGCACTTACAGCTGCGTATTGCCTGGGCGTGTAGCTAGTAACATATACACTGTTACGATATTGGCCCGTGCAAAACTGGCCTACTCGATCCCGACGGATGACGGACAGATTCCCAACTTGAGCTCCGATTTCTGGGGGCAAAAACCCCGTTACGTACAAACAACTAGATTGGTTCCCGAGACCGAAAACTTGAAACACGTTCGCTCTGCATCGGGACGACGAACCTAACGAAAGAGCGCAATCGTCGGCGGACACGCCGCTCTAAATACACCTTGGTTACCGACACGAAACATCAACGGTTCTTTGTGCATCGGTTGTATTCCCGAGTCAAGGCACTGAAATTGCTTTTCCGCGGCCTCGCCGCGCAGCGCGCACGATCGAGAAAAGACGCGCGCGTGAGCAAACGTGTTGTGCGCGCAGATGCACCGGTCTTCCTTCGCGAGGCAGGTACGTAGCAGTTGGCTGCTATTTTTTTCTTTTTCGTCAGTTGGTCCTTCTTGCGGCGTCTGTCCGGCACACTGGTCCTTTCACAAAACCGCCCATGGCACTAGCTAACTTAAAAAAGGGGACGAGAAGCGAGGTGAACGATGGCGGAATAAAAGCAACCGCGATGGTGGTGCCATCACTGCATTCCAGAAAAAGGGGTTGACGTCAAAGAGAGGGGGGCAGGAGAAGGATGAAAAGAGGAGGAAGAGGTCGGGGGGGAAAAGGGGGCAGAAAGAAGAAACAAGACTTCCTCAAGAACTTCCCTCACCCCCACAAAGGGCGGCAACGCGGCATCGGCCGTTGTCTGCCCGACGACACAAGAGCAGCCGGTCGTAACGTCCCGAGGTCTACCGTCGACATCGCCATGAGCCTACGCTTTGACTTGGCAAGGAGAACAGTGCGGAACGAACGTCTACGCTGCCGCCGGGGGGTGAATGCGATGCACGTTGCTTTGCAAAACAGAAGAGAGAGCACCAGCCGCAAGACACGCAGGTAACAACGCAGAAAACCAAGGGACAACACGCCACAGGCAGCACTTCGGCAAGGCGGACGATTAGACGCCGGGACTATGTTTGCCGAGGCACAAGCATACCTTTGACAACTGCTCAGCATGAAAGCAAAAAAAAAAAAGAAAAAGGCCCGCAGCGTGTCTAACTAAGCGACAGGAGGGTTTTGGGCTACGCAAACTAATTAACTACAATTCACCACACACTAGTCAACAAGCATTTAATTTATAAGTATGCCTAAATTAAAGCATATTAGAAAAGCTCCTAGAACAACCACACTTGTACACTAATGGCTACATCTCCAACTTCAGAGTGGGAATAAGATATTAGAATGCATAAAAATGCTAACTTGTGGATATGTAAAAGGTTTCAGAAAGAAGTGGGCAATGCAAACACCAACAAAAATAAAATAAAGAGAGAAAAATTGTCATTAACTTACATGCATAATTTTATAAATGAACCTGTAATCTCGCAAATAACGATAGTGAAATAAATTTATAGCACACTGTGTGAGAGGCCTCAAGATTCGCTGTCACACCCCCCAAGAAGGTGACTGTACTCTTGTAAAACAAACTCCCAGCAAACTAACACCATTAAATATTAAACAAGTGCCAATTCAAAATCAGAAAATAAAAGTGAAAAAACAGTAACTACATCCATTACTTTTCTACGGCTCAAGGACTCTAACATCGGCTGGCTAGTTTTCTAGCGAAATGTGAGTTAAACAGCTGTATGTTTGTACAGTATAGTACTTTTATCATTGCTTGGTTCAAGAATGTAACCATGTGTCACGCAACAATGGAACCTCTCACAATAAGGTTGCTTTGGAAAAAAAATCTTCGTAACAATACCAACTTCCCTTCACAAGCACACTAAGCACCTGTGACCGTCTTACAAGCATGCTTCAACCTTGCTTCACAACGATCAGTTTTTACCACAGAGTCTGTTGTTACAGCAGAATCTTTACTTTGCATACCATTGACTGTTGAGAATTTGTCTTTGCCTGTCTACCCATATCCTTACATATACGTATCTTGATACGAGAACAATATGACATATCAGTCTTGACTATAGAGATTTTGCTGTGCAAGGCTTGCAGCTTGCCCTATACTCCATAAGTCCGACCGCAGCCGGCGCTACGATTCCACAAAGCCAATCATGCAGCGGCCAAAATGGCATCATCACAGCACTGTGTGGATTGTGCTTGATTTTTCAACATCTGTATTATCTACTTTTTTTTTTTAATTTTTTCCTTTCCATTTTTTATCTGTTAATAATTATTTCAGCTCAGTTTATTATGCCTCAAAGGCACTTCAAATGAAGTGCATTACATGAGGGGGATTCTAGTAAAACACAACCGCTTGCCTGTTAACGTTCACACTCTTGCGACCGAGTAAGACTGAGAGAGACCAGACCGGTTTTTAAGCCTCTTGCGACGCCTTAGGACCGGATGCGCTGCAGCGGAGCTGCTTCTAAGACATCGCAGGAGGCTTAAAAACCGGTCTGGTCTCTCTCGGTCTTACTCGGTCGCAAGAGTGTGAACGGGCCTTAATAGTGAGTCACTTGTACCACCCCTTATGGACCATAAAGCTCGATCATGAGCGTGACCTGCGTTTCGGTTTTGGCTCTTGTTTAGCACGCTTTCCTGCAGATGGCAAAAAGACCCCTGTTGCTCCATTTACCTTGGGTTGTTTGCTCGTTTGTTTTGCAGTTTGACGGAGAGGAGAGGCTCTATTTATCCCAAGAAATAAAAAAGCGGTCGCTCGTAAGCGTCTGCGCTAAAAAAATGTGGCTTTGACGCGGAGGTGTGCTTTAGCCCACAAAGGGATAGAAAACCTTCTTTTTTAAAGAGATCAATGCTCGGGCATATGAGACCATGAATCCTTCAGCTTTTCCGTTTTTGTTTTTTTTTGGGAATCGGAAGACAGTTTGATGGACAGTGACAGGAGTGACGAAAACGATTCGAATCATGCAAGCATTCCCTCAACTTCGGCGTCTGCACGTCAGTGAAACTCAGACCTTTAGTCCCGATTTAGAGCAATATGCCACACCTGGAAGTCGAAAAAATGTTTTTGTCTTCTTTTACCGCAAATCGCCCGTTCGAAATAAAATTTTGCAGTACGCTTCTCGCAGAAAAAAATGAGTAGGCAAGGGGTCAAAAAGTGAGAGTTGGCGAATAATACTTCGGTTAATTATGAACAAAAAATATGCATTAAAAGTAAATTCCAATATTTAATGGCTAGGGAAAGTGGGTAATTTTGCAATTCATTGGTTCCCGCAAATAGGGGATTAACTTTTAGGTTGTGGTATATGTATGAGGTATATGATGGAGGCCAACGGTAATGGTCTCTAAAAGAAGAGGAATGGCAGATTTCGTGAAAAATGACAAGACGTGCCAGTTTAGCTCTTTCTTTCAATGGGCAGAAACCTAGATTTGATTTTAGTGAAGTTACGCTCAATGCCCGCGAGTAGTCGCGAGATATAAATCAAAATGCTTCGTTTGGATCTGCTTCAAGTCTGTTAATTAGACGTGCTCGATGAACCCACCAAGGCACTTTTTTTTTTCTTTTTATCTAGTTGATTTATTTATTTTACCTCATATATTTATGTATTTTATTTGTAGCTATTATATTCATTTATAATTTTTATTTATTTTCTTCTAGTTCTAATCTTGTTTACTTATTTTTGATTAATTTTTGTATTACCATTCTATTTCATCATTAGCATTCAAAACCTGCCACCCTTACCGATACGCTCGCACTTAATCAAAACAATTCACCCTTGAGACCAGGTGCGCTAGTAGCTCGGTGGCTACAGTATACGACTGCCACTGCACCGACCTGGGTTCGAGCCCCACCGGGGCTCGAACTGTGTACATAACCTTTACACGTGACCTTGACGTGCGCGACGCCCTGACGCTTCTTCTTATAGAAAACAACCCGTAAGGCGCGTTGCGTTAAAAGCGCAGAACGCGGTGAATTTTCTGCACGCAACCAGTTCAGTCGGCGACGGCAGACGCACGAGAGCGACGAGCGCAGTGACAACGCACTTTTGACGCTGCTCGACTGGCTCCCGAGTCGTAGCGCCGGCTGCGATCGGACATTGATTGAAAAGGCGTACATATCGCAATCCTCTCTTCGCATACCTTTGATTGTTCAGTGTCTACGTGCACGTCCATACTTCGCTCACCCCCAGGCAGATAGTGCAGTGGAAGCCAAGTGCCCGTTGTACCGGTCGTGCTTTGCTGCGTGATCGCGCTCCCGTGTGGTCGCGCGTCGGAGATTGGGGTTGCGTGACGAAAGGGAGGTGTTTGATTCGTCTCACGAGCACGTGGCTTCCTCTGCACTCTCGGCTTAGGGGTGAATGGAGCACGGCTACTGAATTCTTTGCATACATCCTTACGCCCAAACGGAAGAAGATTACCGGTCGCCTCACCGTGGCCGCTGCCGACGATGGCGGGTGGCTCACGGACTTCTTGGTCATGATGACCGTGGTGGTCTTCTGCTCTGCTGCCGGCAGGGTTGCGGAGGCTGGCGGAGTGGTCGCGGGCGGCGCGGCCGCGGCCAGCGCGGGACTCACGAGTTGCTCGGCCGCCCGCACCACCTCCATGACGCGCTGCTCCACCGACTTGCAGTCACTCGGCAGAGCTACCGTCTTTCCCTGCAGGGGGGTGCCGTCGGACATCTCTATAGTCGTGACAGGTTGAGAGCAAAGTGGAAGCTCCTCCCACCTCTTCCAACAATAGCAGGGTGAACACTGGGGCAGTGAAGAGGAGGCGACCTCCTCTCCAGCGTTCGCTCTGCTAAAGTGGGAAGAGGTGGGAGGAGCTTCTTCCCTGTCATCGACTATAGTTATTCGTAACCCGAGGAACGCCCAAAGCCCAAAACCTAGACGACGACGACAGAGTCGCTAATCTTATTCATTTGATTTAAATTGACAATGTCATCAGTCAGTTATAAGGTAGGCGAGGGAAGGGCAAACAATGCCACATGTTTTATAAAGCATGCACACGTGAACAGGAGATGATAAACAAAAATATCAACATAAATAATGTGCTGTCGATACAACTACGCTAAACAATACATAGAGCCCCCCCCCCTCTCCGATACGTGCGGCCTAAAACAAGAAAAATTTTAAACAGCCTAAGGTATCAGATGTTTTATGAGCGATGCGACGACGGCAGGAGTTGATGGAGGTGTTCCATCCAGATAGAAAGAAGTATGTATTCAAAAAATCTTATTTTTTTTATTTTTTTTATTAATGGTCCGTCACATTCGCTGTGCTTAGGTCTGCCGGCACTGTACTGCACAATGTACAAGTGGAACAATACCGTTAACCATGTTAGGAAGAAATTTAAAGTGCCCGACAAGCTAGTAAGTCCTTATACTGGAATGTGAGGTAATTGTTGCTATTGAAGTGTGGCTTTTGAGCTACTCACACATTCCCATCTGGAAATATAAAAGTGATATGCCAAAACCAGAGCCAGCGAGAGATAGAACGAGATACAAAACTGCTTTTTTGTCGAAATGGGTAAAAAGTCTACGCATGCGACTGCACAACGTCCATATTTCCGTTTTGTCGGAAAAGGGTGGAGTCAACGTCAAGGCCAAGTGACAAAGTGTGAAGAAGCTATCTCAAAGAACAAGCAGTGAGAGAGGAAGAAAGAGCGGAAAGAGGTGCACATGCTTGAAACAGAAGCCTAGATTAATCTGTGAAGTGTTCGTGAAAGTGTTTCACTGCTCGTAAGAAAACACCCACCAACCACACAAGTTGTGAAAAATCAAGAGCAACAGCCACAAATCTTCACGTTAAACCAAACACTGACCTTAGTGACACTGGGACCTCCCAACGATTGTTTCAAATACCTTTTGAAGTCTGGGAAAGTTCCGACAAGGATTGAACTTAGCAGGACAGCTTCCCAGAGGCCTCGGTGTCAGTGGCAGTGTGGACAAATGACGGGCCCACTCACAATCCTCGTCCTTCAAACTCCACGTAATGCGTGCTGGTTCCGTAACAACCTATGCCCATGTGACAAGGTACCCTCTGCAATCAGCCCGCGCTCCTTCACACACGACGTAAGGTCATAGGCAGACCTACCGACTCCCGGCCTCTCTCAACGGTGCCTCCAACCCCTGTGCCAACCGGTCGGGCAAACGACGCTCAACGGCGCGCAAAACAAAAACGAAAGCGCAAGACCCGGTGCAGCATCCGGCACGCGACCAAGGAAGGGGCCTGCGAAGGTACGTACGTCGACAGACAGGGTGGCCAGCGCCTTCCCAGAGTGCTGTGACGAGCTCGAGGCAAGACTGTGCAAGCTGTGCGAATCGGCGTCCCTCTCCTTCTTCATTTTCTCCTGAAGCGAGGAGGCACCATCAGCCCGTGCAGGGGTGGCGTGCTGCGGCTTTCGAACCCTCCCTCGTGCAGTGCAGCTCAGCAGCGGCACAGTGAAAAAAATGTGTCTCTCTCTCTTTTACAAGCGCACGCCGTACCATACTCTGTTTCACGTTAAGTCCAACCGCAGTCAATGGAGCCAATCAAGCAGTGCCAAAAGTTTAGCGTCACGCCGCTCGTCGTCTCTCTGCGTCTGCTATCGCGGGTTAAACCAGTAGCGCAAGGTGAATGCGCCGTGATCTTGCTTTTTTTTTTCTCTGTACGTGACTGGTTTAGTCGGCGATGCTAAGCACTACCCGATTGGCTTTGTCGAATCGTGGTGTTGGCTGCGGTGTGAAACTTAGTGTGAAACCGAGTACACCAGCTCAACCCCAGTTGGTCCAACCATGTACAACCTCTACATAGTAAAGGCTTATATATAGCAAAAAAATATATATATATATAGTGAACCAAAGTTGTGGTACAATTACAAAACCGATACACTATAGTGAAGATACTGAGGCAATTAACTTTTTCCTACAAAAAGACTGACTTTACTTTAGAGAGGTTCTACATTAGTATGCCAACTACCAATGAAACACTTTCCTGTCTTAATGTACATGCCCTTGAGAACGTGCTAATTATCAGCAAAAAGTATTAGAGTTCACGGCAAATGTAGATATCCTAATCGAAAGAAAATGGGAAACGAATGACCCTTGGGGGTTCTCCAGAATCAACGTCCTCGGCAACTGATGATAAGGGTAATTTTTGTGCAACCTGAACTTGCAGAAGGGATATGGCTTGTCCTAGTGGCAAGCACGTACCCGGTAAATCTCATCCGACAATTTCATTATTTTTTGGTACAGCCTTCAATACCCTTACGAGATATCATACTGCCCCAGGATATGTGGCGCAATGCAGAGATGTATCGGCTGATCTTTACGTGCCACATTACCTTTAAAACGCTAAGTGAGATAATCTACACCAAACTTTTTTTAGAGCATTAGGCTCCGACTTTCTTTTAGCAGTTATCTACCTTTTTATAACTACCTGCCAGTATGAATCCTAACAAAAAAGTTGATCTTGGTTATTAATAAACACATCACGGTTCCCCCAAAAAATTGTACGTTGTTTTTCAAGCAATGTGCGTACACACTGGGCATGCATGTGATGCAAGCAAATGAACCAAGAAAACAAAAACAGAAAGCAACAACCAAAACACGCGCATGAGCGAATAAAAAAGCAGGGTGCAAAACTCACAATAATATCCCGATCCTCTTTCTCCCACTGCGCAGTTTCCTTGAGTGCAGTCTGTTCCTGGCATTTGCAGGTGACGGCAACCAAACGAAAGCAAAACGGAGACCGAAAACGAAAGGAAGAAAAAGGAGCAAAACAAGGCACTTGTCTTGCACCATCCCTCTATGGACACAATAAGAAGTTGTGTTCAGCGTGCGAGCCACAATATGTAAGGCCCCAAATCCAGACAAAATTCTGCAACATGAAGCAGAAGCACGAGAAGCCTCCTCTGTTTGTCGCCGTCGGCAACCACCACAACCATGTTTTCCCAAATTTTATTAAAGAAACAGGTGCGCACATCAATACCAGAATAACTGCCGTTCTCCTAAAATGGCCTAGGTATCTGCATGCACGCAGACAACAAGCCTTTTTAGCATGCAGAAATACGCATGTGCCTGTCATCTATGTCGCAGCATTTGACGAAGGTCACTTACTCCCGTCCCTAAACCTTCCATAGGCCGTCATGAAACCAAACTTTCTTTTCCCGAGACACTAAAGCAACATTGCTCTCGCATGCAAAAGTCACAGGATCGTCAAAAAGTTAACAATCGTAACAACAGGAGACGACACCCCCTTCCAATGACTAGCCCATGAACTTTCACACCAGGGGAGGTTTGCCAATGGATGCAAGCACCTTTCCAGGAGGTTAAAACAGCAACAAGGGGGAGTTAAAGGTCACGTGACCGGCCTTGTGGGGAGAACGTATGTAGCGCTTTAGCCGATTCCACTTGGCAGAGTTAAGCCCTGCCCCGTCATTCTCTTTCGTTCTCGCTCAACACAACCTTTCCCACAAATGACTTGACATGCTGCTGCTAAAATGCATGAGTGCAGTTTCACTTCCATTTCAAGCCTCGTCACTATCTTTCTGCGCAGAAAATTAGACTTGAATATTGCAAACGACGCACTAAACTACTTTCTGCGAGTCTATTTATGGTCATAGCTCCATCTATGGGCTCTAAGCATGCTAAAAAAAAACATATTTCTTTATTAAAATAGGTATCAAGGAGTAGCTACTTCGGAACTATTGCACACACCAGGGGGCGCCGTCGAACAAAGAGAGGGGTTTCTCCTCGTCTGATTGTGCCCTTTCGCGTCTGCAATAGTTTCGAGGTAATCTATCTTAGATACCGATTCTACAGTGAAGCTATTTATGGCTAGGGTTCCGTAGACTTTTCGTTTGCAGTGACTAAAAACATTACGCTCGCACCGCCGCATGCACACGCCCTCCCCGTATAAAACATTAAAAGTAAATAACCAAAATAAAGCGTTAACGAACGCACGTGTAAGATGCCACTTGTTTTAGGCTTTTGCTTTAGAACAGTCACTGCTGCAGACGCCGGAACGTGCAGCACATGGAACACCGTTTCCGGCATTCTCCTTGATGCTTGGGTAATTTAGCAATAGGCATCACTTTCAAGATCAGTAGACTCTCAGGTAGATAATAAAGCTTTCTCCAAGATTTGTCGCTGTGCGACCTGCGTCGGCCATGTCTATGCTCGCACCACCCTCTTTTTGTCGTCATTCCAAATGCTTGCATGCCTAGTTTCCCATCCTTCTGCTCTTTCGGGGTGGCGGTTCCGTCACGCGTGTCTAGTTTCCACCGGCTCCTTGGGGAGGGTCTGTGTCGTGTGCTAAACAGCTTCGCTGGTCATCCACCTTCATAGAGTGAAGTGGTTCATGATTTTTTCATAGAGAAGGTGGTCACACATGATGGTAATGTTTGGCTTTTTAGAATGCTCATAGACCAAGTATTGAGTTATGACCATAAACAGACTGCTGCACAAAGTGGTCTAGTGCCCCTTTGAGTTTCGCGAAAACCTAATTTTCATGAATTTTGTGATTGGAAATATAGACATGTGTCTGCTCAGTTCCATGGATGCCTCCATGTTTGTTTATGCTGATGCCATGACAAAGTAGGGGGCTGCACTTTTGCAAGACTCAGTTTTTTTAGAAACCTTCGCACATATCATAGTGCAAGAACGTCAGAAATGCATAGTCTTGGTGCTCCAAGAACACTGATGCCAAAAAAGCAGTAAAAAGCAAAAATCTTGTTTTATGTGCAGCCCCTTTCTTCACAAAAGCTTCTGTTCGAGATTATCATTCCTTATTTTTATCGCTGGGGGCTCGGATTTCGGACGCTGGACTATAGAGTGAAAAATTGGTCTTGCGAATATGTCACCACATGATAACATAGCCTATCACTCTAAATCGCAAAACGGTGTTGCCACAAAATATTGCAGATACCCACACTTTCCAAATTTTGCGAGATATTGGATCCACAAAGTGAGTCGTTTACAGTAATCGAAGCGAGGACAGACTTACCGCAGCCATTTGCCTAGAGCGCTAGGTAATTTAACTTTCTTGTCCCCAAAAAGTGGGTCACGTAACCTTGAAATCCCTCTTGCGGCTATTTTAACCGTTGGGGGAGACACCTGCATTCACTAGTAAACCGGCCCAGAAGCCACCGAGCAAACCGGGCCAGGAGCCAGCGGCAAACCGGCCAAGGAGCGATGACAGCAAATAGATTGACCAACCTCTCTCAGAGCAAGAGTGACCTCGTCTTCGTGGTCAATCGAAGACACCGAGGCAGCCGCTTTGAGCGACGTCCCTTGGGGCGACTCATTGGGCGAACTTGAAGCATTGTAACCGTCGCAAAGCACAAGGTGGATTGTGTCACCTGCGGTGCGCAGGATGTTCACGGCCTCCTGGTGAGTGGTGCCCAGTAGCGACCGCCCGTTCACCTGCGTGTCCGTCCGGAACCCGTGCTTCGGTGAGGCATCTTGTGGTGGTTCGCAGCATTTTACAGCAATATGGGTTATAGGAAACCTCCCAGCTGCATCTGCAGTGTCAGCGTTGTTACAGTGCCTGGAAACGCATGCGAGATGAAAAACTCCATCTCGCATGTGCCCGCGCACGAACCGGGCAGAGCGCATGCACTTTGCTCTTGACTGGCGGCAGCGTCTTCCATCTTTTCTATGGTTGGCAGGAGACGCCGTCACACATTCCTCACCGTGGAACTCTATTTGCGTGTACTACCAGATGTAAAGCAACTCGCTGTTCGCAATCAGACCCATGTCCGTTGCACCCCGTGCAACTGTTGTGGAAAGCGCTTTCATTATGCGACTAAAGGCGGAAGTTTAAGACGGGGACGTCGATTTGCGTGTCCAGTATGTTCCCTTTCCTACGTACTTCAGTGAGCACAAGGCTGCGTTCTGTGTGCGTGAATGAGTAAATAAAGAGTGAATGTGCATAGGAGTTGGTGTTACAATGTGCGATAACAGCTATCTCTGTCACTTCTTTGCAACTGTACAGCGTGGAACGAGGCTAAAACCTCCAGTACTAAAAAAAAAAAAAAAAGAGGAGGGCCCAAGCACGGACAGAAAAGGCGCTTGTCCGTCGTGCATGTCCATGTTATCCCTGCTTTTCGTGCGCCGTTTTATTGATGAGAAAGGGCTTACTGAGAAATGTCTCCCTCCACTGCCCTAGTAGAGAAGAGAAAATATTGAAACCAGCCCCATCCGCCTTTTCTCTGTGGTAGTAACAGCCTTCAGCAGCAAGTAAAAAAAAAAGTTAGCCTTGTAAATCAATGTAACTACAAACCCGTCCCTCCTCGTTTTGCCGTAGGCAAATCATTTCATGATGTAACCAATCTTCTATTGCCGAAGCTAATTGAATCAATAAAAAAGAATGAAAAGAAAAAAGAAAAAGAAGGCACCTCAACAATCCGCATGCCTGGCCTCAGCCTACCATCTCGCGATGCAGCACCGCTGGAATTGATCTGCAGGAGAAAAAAAATGAACAAAATTGCACAAAGAAAAGGACTGTGACAGGCAGAACAACAACTTGCAAGTCTGAAGGATATGCCTGTGCTAGGGGCAAAATAAGAGCAGCGTACCTTAGAGATGAAGATGCTTTCGTCGGAGGGATCACTGGGATTTCCTGAGTGTCCCTGGATGCCCCCCTTGATGTTCATGCCGAGCTTTTCACCCGGCTCACGCTGGATTACCAGTTCCTGCGACAACCAACGCTCGTTTGGAGCACAACCTGTCTTCTTTCCAGTCTTTTGTTTGTTCGTGCAGCAACATTTTGGGAACCAAACTACTAGCAGAGTTACTCTCGAAAACATGGGCAAGCGACATCGGTGCACATTCTCAAATCAAATGCAGCACGACAGCGAAAAGCTCTCTAGAAGTCGTCGGAAAGTGACCAGATGATGAGCACAAATCTGCCAATTTGTGTTAGGGGTCTCCGCTCAAGTATGCAATAAACTGATTTGACTGACTTGAGCTCACCAGTGTAGCAGAAACTGATGCTATAATGCATGCAATGCGTCAATGTTTGCGGTAATGGCTGGTGATGAATTAATGCCATGTACTAAAGGACAAGATTTCAGATCCTCTAAGTATAGACAGCTCCGATCACATCTCGACTTGCAATGCCGGACACCATCCGAACAACTTGCAAACCAAAGTCTAACACCAAACAACAGAGCAAACAAGAGAGGCTCAGCATGCAACAACCGTGAACAAAAATTATCTGGTTAAGAACGTCAGGTCATAAGCACAGTGAGTAAAGTAGAATTGTAGCCGACATGATGCAGTATCCAAAGCAAGAGACTGGACTTTTTCAAAACAAAATTAGGACTAAATAAAACAAAAATATAGTGGCAAACAAATAGTATTGCCATCTTTCTTGCAGCTTTAACAGAAATGCAAAATTTCAGCTCTTGTGAGCCATACCATTGCAAAGTGTTTAAATCAAAGCAAAAAAAAAAAAATGAATAAAGACTATAGAATCGCTGCCTATTAGACATGCAGCGTACAAATGCTAAAAATCTAACTATGGCATGGATGTGATGCAGCCTGACCAACAGAGGTTGTTCTCGACCTACCTTTTTTATCACGGGACTAAGGGATATACCCAGGGTTAAAAAGGCAAACAGCGCGCAGAAAACGGGGACTAGAGGAAGTGCAGACAGGACAAGCGCTGACTCTCAACTGAAATTTAATCACAAGGAAACAAAACAAAGAAAACAGCAACTCCGCCCACGTCACATGACACATTCACCACGTGTCCAAAAAAAACATCTCTTTGCTACTCAGGCCCAGTGACGTTTGGCTTACGCAGTTCGCGCCTGCTTTGATGATTGCATGCGCCTCTAAAATTTCTCTATTCACTCTTTCCCTACCTTTGCCAATGATACTAGTCTTACTGAAGATAGGTTTGCACCCACAACTATGACAATGCAATGGCAAATGCCCCCCTACAGCTCCAACCACAGATCGCAACGACAAGTCATGCTCCCGCAATCTGTGATTAACACATCTGCCCGTCTGCCCGACGTATGCTTTCCCGCACGTTAGTGGAATCGTGTAAACAACTCCCACCTTGCAAATAACATATTGATGCTCATGCTTCACCGAGCAGGCGGGGCCTTTGTCCTTCTTATCGGCAACTCTCGCGCATAATTGCGACAGCTTACACGGAGCGGAAAACACCAATGGCACATCGTACCTCGAGGCAACTTTTTTCAAGTTGTGTGAAATTTTATGGAGATACGGTATAACGAGCGGTCTCTTATTTGGCCTTTCAGACCGGGGACGGGGTTCTCCCTTGAGTTTCTTCAACAAACCCTCCGCAACGCTCAATCAATAAATAAGAGACCGCTCGTTATACCGTATCTCCATAAAATTTCACACAACTTGAAAAAAGTTGCCTCGAGGTACGATGTGCCATTGGTGTTTTCCGCTCCGTGTAAGCTGTCGCAATTATGCGCGAGAGTTGCCGATAAGAAGGACAAAGGCCCCGCCTGCTCGGTGAAGCATGAGCATCAATATGTTATTTGCAAGGTGGGAGTTGTTTACACGATTCCACTAACGTGCGGGAAAGCATACGTCGGGCAGACGGGCAGATGTGTTAATCACAGATTGCGGGAGCATGACTTGTCGTTGCGATCTGTGGTTGGAGCTGTAGGGGGGCATTTGCCATTGCATTGTCATAGTTGTGGGTGCAAACCTATCTTCAGTAAGACTAGTATCATTGGCAAAGGTAGGGAAAGAGTGAATACTAGAGAAATTTTAGAGGCGCATGCAATCATCAAAGCAGGCGCGAACTGCGTAAGCCAAACGTCACTGGGCCTGAGTAGCAAAGAGATGTTTTTTTTGGACACGTGGTGAATGTGTCATGTGACGTGGGCGGAGTTGCTGTTTTCTTTGTTTTGTTTCCTTGTGATTAAATTTCAGTTGAGAGTCAGCGCTTGTCCTGTCTGCACTTCCTCTAGTCCCCGTTTTCTGCGCGCTGTTTGCCTTTTCGTCAGTATGAACCAACTAACCCACATCGCCACCCTTATCCAGGGTTAAACTATGGTGCAATGGTATGGTCGTGTCTAATCCTTAGGTGCACTATGTTGCGATGACATTACTGTGCATATAGAACCAAGCAGCATACCCATTCATAAGCAAATACTATCACATGTAAGACAGCAAGCAGTACCGATTCTACTCAAAAAAGCACTGAATACGAGCGAAATATTCCCGTGGGCTTTAGAGACTTCTGCAGCTGGTTGTTCTACATTCCAAGACTATCTGTGAAAAATATAAAGTGAGATATTCGGAGTTAATTTTTTTGTTAGAAATTAAAATCTTTTCAAAGTTTTCTCTCGTGCTACTTTAGAGTTTGGAAGGTTTCTGCATTCCTACTTTACAAAGTTACCAATTTGTTTTGAGGCATTTTAAAATATGGAATAGTTTGTGCAAGTAAACAATACACTAAGATAACACCTGCACATCTGTTAAACTTCCAATTAATATTTTTCTGGTACGACCCCAAGTTTCCACACATACTCCGCAACGAGCACTGATCAGGGATTGTTCCAGACTTTTTCCTGTGAACATGGGTGTCACAAAGCTGCTCAAAGTTTTCCCAGCTCCCAGGAGACGTTTCTACCGATTCAAGTATGATCCCCTTCCCGAGTTAACTAGCCTGAAAGTTAGAAAGTTCCAGGAAAATATTTTTTATTAGTACTGCCGAAATCACATGCACCCAAGCTTGTAAAGTCAAGGGAACTCCTGCCTAAGGTAGCTGCTGACTGGTCAAGATAGTCAAACTTTGTATAACACACAAAAGATAAAGGTCGCAAGCTCAGACAGAGTGAAAGCAGAAAAATATTCACTGGAACATTTTCATCAAACGGTTCAGGATGAATCTGAGTGCACCCTTCCTGCCTCCTTGGTAGATATCTCAAAGTCAAGCAAGAAAAAAGCAAGCGTTTCAAGCTGTCCTTTTTATTAAGTGCAGGAGTGCTAACCAATGCCAACAAAGACTGATCTGCCCAGCACCTCAAAGATGTTCGCATGTTTCAAAGGAACCTTGAAGCCCATAGGCATAGGAGGCACAAAGTAGGCACGAAACCCATGACAAACAAAAAAAGCGTATGGCAAATTGCCAGGCAATTGTGTTCCATACGAGAAATGTCCTAGCACCGCACACGTTTACATCATCGTTTAGCAGTACGTCTAGCCTGTTCATCCAGATGCCTATGTTCGCGGTGCTGTTCATCAGATAATTTAATGTGTGGCATGTCTACACTTGAAATGAAAAACCTGGTGACCTTCCAGAACCTTCTAATCCACTCCTCCTTTCCCGCCTTGCCTCCCCGCCTACCTTTCCTCCTCTCTCCACACCTGGCCACATGACCTCCCCAAACCCCAATGGTCGAGCACCTCACTCCTCCTCCCCCACCCGTCAACCAATCCGCGTCACGCCTCACGGCCACGGTTTTATTCAGGCTTCTCTCTCGGGCTTTATGAAATGCAGAACACCTAGCCAAAGAATGTTTCCCAATAAAGACACAAACGAAAGACTTATGTGGAGGAAACAAAAGTGCTTGGAATACTCCTATTACCATAAAATACCGGGCAAGTGCCCACTGAAAATTTGGAGATAATCCCGGAACAATGGGGGATGGGCACTTGTCCAGTCATCAATTTTATGTATAAATGTACTGTGGCATATTTTCTCAGATCTTAAAAATTTGGGAATGGGCGCTTAGTGTGAAATGGGCGGATGCGCGGTATTCTACGGTAGGTGCAATCACTACTGTACACTCTTCGAACCAAGAAAGTGACGACGTCGCATGATTCAAAGCAGGTGTTGTGCGAAAGAAAGCTAAACAAATAACATATACTAAACAAAAGGGAAAATCAAAATGATAAAGGCCAGTTCACCCAAAAGCAGAATAAAAAAGACGCCGAGTCTCACGTTACAAATAAAGCGACTTCACGGTGATTCAAGAAGCTCAATGGCTTCTCGAAACAAGCTTAACACCCCAAATCAGAAGGTTTCATTCCCTTTAACGTTCTCTCTCGTCTCATTTGCGTGAAATGGCCTTTAAAAGCGACGTCCGACACGACAACAGCAGAAAGCAGATAGCAAGCAAAACGAACGGGCAGCAGGCGCAAGCAAGGCGTCAACACAGCTACAGGTTGGAAAGGCACCCGCGATAGCAGACGGGTACTTACAGTCACGGAAACTGCCTCAGCCTTTTAGCGCATCGGCAGCAAAAAAAAACAACAAAAGAAAAACATAAGAAGAGTTCTTAGGAGCATCAAAATTAATAAAACATCCAAGCAGCACCGTTAAGCCGCTGTAACACTGTTCGTACAAACGCACAAAAGACAGTCTGAAGGCACTGTCCGAGGCACACGTTTCTTCCTCGCACAACGGTCTCGTCCGTCGTACGGAAGTGCGTGCAGACGCGTTCGATGCAAACAAGCTTCGAACTCTCTTGAGGAGTGCCCGCAGATGGTTCTGCCCTCAGTCTGCGGCTGACAACCCGTGTCTTTTGCACGACGTACGAGCAGTGATGACTGCACTTTTAGGCTGCGAGCACAGGGGGGAATACGCTCTCACGGTAAACAGACAGACAAGAGATCTTGGCTCCCGTTGACAGCGCAGGGCGCTCAGTAGCGCAGTCTTCACAAGCCAAAAACTGAGGACGCTGCAAGCCAGACACCCCACGTGGATCCCACCAAAGCTTAATCGCATCTTCTTTTTTTTCGTAATTTGCAATGTTTTTACAGGTTAGCTACGCTTCATCAGAGTGCAGCGTTTTGCCATACTTTGTAGAAAAAAAAACGAGTAGAAAACCTTTGATATATACAACACCTGAGATCTTGACACAATCAGGCTGACAAAAACAAAACAGGCTAGGTATATTTTGAAAAATAAGTTTATTCTTTGAACACAGTCACCTTTGCATAAGAGGAAAGTGTAAGTTGCAAAGCTATATAAAACAGCCATTTCAACTGTTTCTTCGTGTAAGCACATTGCTTTGTCTGTTTTAAACTTTGCTGCACAGTTAATCCAAATTATACACTGCACATCTAGGCAATAAAGCTATGGAGTCAGTCATAATTTATTTAAATATAACCCTTCCAAGTTTGGTTAAGGGTATACCAAACCTCATCAACATAGAGGTACAAAATTAAAAATAGCCTCAGTGTAAGCAATCAGTTTACCTCAAACACACCTGCCTTTAATTCCAAATATAAAAACTGTAGAGTATGTGCGAGGAAGTCCTTGGATAAAAACAGATCAATCGATTTTTTCCTAAACAGGTAACACCAGTAATCAAAATAAATATTGCCAAATCTGATAACCCTGTTCCCTTTCTTTAAAGGCTAAAACCACACCCCCATGACCAAAATTGTTTCACAAAATTTTTCTTCTCCACATAAAATTTTCAAAATTGCACACAATTAGCTTTAGCACTCCATAAATGGATTTGTAAGGCACAAGAACTCGTTCCCATGAAAATAAAACATATATATTGCATGACTGGAAGTTATTCCCATGAGTTTGGTGTACCCCTGTGCAACTAACAGCTGCACTTGTTACAATACAAAATCTCTTTAGAATATTCTTGGTTAAGGCTTCAAGTGCATCTCCAGAGGCGTATCTGGTCTTGAACAAATCAACAAACACTGCCATGCATAAATTTCACTCTCTCGTGAGCTCCACTCATAGAACTAAGCCACTCCTAACAAAGGGCAGGTACGTACAGAACAAAGTCAGAATTTCAGTCTAATGCCGGATACTAGTTACAACAAAGGTACAAGAGACAAAGTTTGACGGCCAAAACCACAACCATATTTTTAATACTGAGCAACTTTTTTTTCCCACTTCGGTAAAGTAAAAAAATGTTGGCACTTGGCTGACGGTTATTTTATGAGCCAAGAAATTCCAGGAATTCTGGTGGATTCATATGCCTCAACAGCATACACAGAGCTCCAGTAAACCACACAAGATTTTGGCAAGTCTCCTATGCGTTACAAGTAGCCTAGATATCGTTCATGAAGGCACGTCCACATAAAAGATACATTCAGAATGTGCCCCGCCTTTGTTTAACAATGAGAAAACAACTAAGGCAGCACTATGTCATCTAATGTCAGCACAATGAAGCCTTTTGGACGTTATTACAAATCAAGTTGAGGTGTGCTGCGGTACAAAAATGATCAAAGCTGCGTAACAATACCTGCTCAAGGACAACAATATTGCAACAAATATTTCTAAAAACATGTAAAAAGCTCAGTTTGAGAAGTTTATCTATTTTTATGTCCTTGTATTTGATCAGAGGTTTAAGAAACTGCTCAGTTGAGTATCCCCTTTTAACGAGAGGCTACAGCAACGTAATAAAGTTCAAATGAAGCTAGGACACCAGCCAGCTAGAGAGTCACAAGTTAAAAGTCAAATTTCTAGGAAGTACAGACAGCCAAAAGTACTGCATAAACAATTATTCTGGATATAAAATTGCGGTGCTCAAATTCTTTCATACTTGTATGCAGATGAATTCTAAATCCGCCAGAACGGCTCGTTAACAGGCAAACGTGTTGTTTTGTCCAAAAAAACCCTCAACATTGAGGTGGGAAGCAAGAAACTGACACAGATAAAAACATCCTACAAAAAACAAAAACACTACACACAATTAGCTTTGGCTTCAAAACATTTTTCCAAGGTGGTGCATAAAATATGCGCAAAAAAACGAGCCAGACAACTCAAAAACCAGAGTTCCGACAAATTCTCAGTTAGCGCAGTGCGGCATTTCAAACAGGTGCTCTAAACATTCTTGGATAGATGTCACACACTTCGAGACAGACGCATCTTTTTTTTGTTCCTTTCACAAAAAAGCGAGAAAAAGCTGGCGACAAGCACACGCACGTACACACAGAGCAAGTACTGGAGAGGAGCAGAAAATTTAAGAACCTCGACCCCCACACACAAGCACCACCGACATATGCCGACCACACACCTCGACCGCCCAATCGCGCGGCGTCATTTCCCCGACGAAAAAAAGAACCCAACTTGAGCTTCCGCAGTTTCTGCGCGACTTTCCCTGATACAAAAAGACGCAAGACACTAGCGGTGCACGCAAGTCGGCCCTGCCGCGAAGATGGCATGGAAAGCGTAGGAACGCATGGTCCCCTCCCAGTCACAGCTCCGTCCACGACACTTGCACGCACGTATTCACGCACAAACGCTACAGTGAATGTCTGGCGGAACGAGCGTTACAGGGGCGCGACACGGGAACAATGGCGGAGGTCAGAGGTCGCGCGACGGCGCGGCAGTCGTGTGGCCTACCTGCCAGCCGACGGGAAGGGGGTCGTGGCGGACGGTCAGTACCACCTGGTATGAGGGGTCGAGCAGCGCCAGCACTGCCTCCTGGTGGCTGACCTTGGTCACGTCCACGCCGTTCACCTGCGATGCATGTTCGTCGTCAGTGACGAGCTTGAAAAAAGAAATTGGCTGCAACCTTTATTTTTGAAGTTTTATGATGCATGGAATGTGGCGTTAAGGGAGCGATTGTCTGTATTTGTTTAAGAGACATTATAAGGTCGTTTCGAGAAGCAAAGAACATGTTTATTATTCAATGTCTCGCAACATGGTCGCACGATGCGACGCGATGCGACGTAACCCCAAAACTTGACACTGTGATATCGCTTGACATTTAGTGAATGCGCTCTCCCATCGTGACATCGACCCACAGACGTGAAACGTAGTGCCTGGTTGTAGCCTCTTGCGCAGTGCACATTTATAGGTCCACTCTTGGTATTGCAAGTACTGCCTCTGTAAGTAACAGCCCTCATTAGTGCTTGCAAGAGTATGTGTGTCACAAATTTCGGTATCATTTGGTTGCTTTATTTTAATTGCGTATTTGTTCTGCGCATGTTTTTCTTTCTCACTGAAACCCCCATGTGGAACTCTTTGGAATCTATCACTCTCAAGGCCCCTCTTCCATTTAAGGGATTATCTTTAGAAGGCCTCTGCCGCCAGAACAAGGCTGCCGGGCAGCTACTTGCCTCCCTCCAAAAAGAGAGAAATTGTAGACATATGCTTCTGTCAAGGCCGTTTGTGGAAAGCGACTTTCCCCGTCCCCGGAGACCCTGGCCTCGGATTAGTGTTTTGAGGAGGAGACAAGTCCATCGCAGGTGAGGCTGGACGGGCTGTCGGAGGGCAGCGGTGTTGCAACGGTGGGCAGGTTGCGGTGAAATGTTGTGCGGTAGCTCTAGATATATAAACAACTGTTTTGGCGGGACTATGGGCGTCGGTTTTTTCCCTTTTCGGGAAGTGTGTGTGTGTGGGTGGGTGCGGTGCTGAGTTGCGTCGACCGCCGAGCAACCAGCCCACTATGCCGGTCAAGTCAAGCCTTCATCGTCCGTCGCTCCAAAGACGTCGGTGAGTCTTCAGAGTTTGTTTCAACTTTTCATCTAGTCTTGCCTTAGGACATCTCGAGACTCTGGTCTTCTTGCTTAGATTTTGTGCTCCAGCGAACTCGGGTTCCCAGCTGCATTGTTTGTGGACAACAGTCGTGAGCGGGAGAATGTTGTTTTGTTTTGGTGGTATTTTTGATTTTCGAGTTTTGATTTCTTTGTGGGTAGCCCTATAGCGGGTGGCCCTTTCAAATTGTTTGCTGTTTAGCGTATCGAATTGTGGTTGTTGCTGTGCGCAGCTTTTTATTGCTTCTTATTAAATTTCTTGTTTTTGTTTTTAACCCTGCGTGTCGTCGCCTCCCTTCACTGACTTTACACTGGGCATTGACCTATCACTTGTCACCGGTCCGAACTCAGCATTTCTTTTCTTTCTGAGTAGTTCAATGTTTCTCGTACGGAGTTAAAATATTATCTTAATTAATTTCGACCCCACTCCGTGACAACGTGCAAGCAAATGACTGTACGCAATTTCTATGGGAAAGCGTCGCATGTTTCGCACGCTGCACAATGGAAACAGCCGATTACGTGTGTACGAGAATGTGCGACAAGGAGGCGACATGTCACTTTCTATGTCTGCTAAAACAACACGAAAACATTCACATTTTTTCACTCTCACGCTTAGAAGCCCACGGTTCCTGTCCCTAGAAAGAGAGAGAGAGAGAGAGAGAAGCACCTTGAGCAGACGGTCGCCAACCCTGAGCCGTGCGCAGTGGCCCGCCGCTCCATCCGGGACAATCTGCGAGGAGACACACGCATGCAGAGTGGCTTCCAAAAGCTGACACATTCAACGAAATTCGCGATCTCGTTTCAATTTCTGCAATAAAATTCACACAAAAGGAATAACTTCACTTACTTAAGGGGGGGGGGGGGGGGACACTACCCAGGAAAAAAAATTTCTGCAAAAAAAGTTGGTTTTGAAAACTGCCAAAGGTACTTACATCCATTAACATCTAGAGTATTCACAGAAAGTTTTGTTTACACTGCATAGTTACTTTTTTATAAGTTATTTCCAGTCCACCGATGCTAAAGAAAAGGCAGAGGTTCGAGCACTGTGAACACGCTTTTCTCCATTCCACTGTTTGGCATAAATTTCACCTAATAAATCTATTGTTTCAGTACGAGACTATTGACTTATTTTTCGAGGCTTACATACTGCTTTCCCTCATATAGGCTTGCGTGTGCCGTGGGCATAGACCATCGTAAAGAATGAATGAAAATAAAGAATTTTCATTCATTCATACCAAAATTTTATGGAGCCGGTTACTATAAACTTATAGTTAGCATTTTCATGTTCCTTTATTATGAAAAATTGTAATATAAAAAACTCAGTAAATGTAAAAAAAAAAAATATTTTCATAAATTTTTAATTTGGAAAATGCAAATTTTGTTAATTTTTTTCTTAAAAGTAATTCGCAACACATTTTTCAGTACGCATTCCACCAGAAAAATATGGGGTTACCAACACCGTTTCTCTACGATAGATTCATTGAGCAGAAACCCTGCCAAGCTACGCTTTACTTCGTTTTGGGTGTATAGTACCTCATAAACATTGGTTCATGGGGCTGAAACTTTGCAAGCACTCTTTCTACATGGCTACAAACTCCACCTCCAAATTCCACGCTGATTGAGAGAACGGTTCAGCAGTTGACACTCCCAGGTAGTGTCCTCCCTTAAGATACATTATTGTACTACCACTAAACCGCATTTACTCGAAGCAATGTAGACTCTGAAAATGAGCCGACCTAAAAAGAAAAAAGAAAAAACATGTTAAACTATGTTTGAGCATAGGCTGGCCCTAATTTTTTACGGCAGATGGGGAGCAAATCTGTACGGAACGTTTGTCTCGCAGGGAATCTCGGTTAGCTCGGCATACTCATAAATTGTTTCCTACTGTAATAACTCAACTACTAAAAAAAAAAAAAAAAATGGTGCCACAGGAAAAGGTTTACATTGAGATAAATATGTTGGTCGAAGAAGGCTTTTCGACGAGTCCCGCATTTCAGAAATCACTATGGTGCTCCTACCGCACGTGCACACTTGAAGCTTACGCGATGCCAGAACATTGCTAAAAGAAAGCTCACGCCGCATGCCTTCAAACCTCCTAAAATGCTGCGCCCATACCTTGGAAATGAAGACGCCTGGCTCATCGGCGCCAAACGGGTGGCACGGGTGGTCGGTGCCACCAATGATGCTCAGCCCCAGGGGACCGCCAGCCTTCACAAGCACCACGTCCTGAATGAAGCGAAAAAGGACAAGACTTTGGACGCACGCTTTGAACGGAAGTGGGACACTCGTGTGAAGAACTTGCAGATTCTTGGACTTTGTGAAATTGGTGAATCGTGAAAAAGCAGAAAAGAGAAAAGACGGAGCCAAAAAGCATTTAATTTTGAGTCAACCTTTAAAGTAAAATTGTGCAGCATTTTTTAGAAACATATATTCGTCTATCGGATTATAAAAAATATAGAAGTTCCGTTTCGAAGGCAACAATAAACTTTGCATTTACATTTTAAGAAAAAGTGCCTCAGGAACACTGAAGCCAGAATGGTAATCGTGAAACGGGAAACTAGAGGGTTTAGAGGATGGAATCGGCAACGAGAAATGCTTCTACATAACAAAGTAGGCTTAAAACAAAACGGACATCAAAGGGCTAATAGATATAGGCATCACATTCCCAATTTTATTACTGCGTAGGCTACACTTGGCTACACAAACAAATTAGCGCTGCGCGAACATTATAATTTTCAAATAGCAGTTACGAGTAATACGCCATTCTCCGCAGTGCACCAGTGCTCGGTAAGAAACGCGCTCAAAGGGCCTCACCCACCACACTCAAAACTCGGAAAAGTACAAATATTGCACCCGCGTGCTTCGGAAGAAAGCTCATTTCCAAAGCAGAATGGTACACGCACGTGCCTGATGTATTTAGAAAGAAACGGAAACTCAGTGCATGTCCATATCTACATTACAGTATTTTCATAATTAAAACTGGCACGCATGAGTACCATATCTGCTCCAGTAATCGCCGCTCTGTTTATGAACAAAGCCTGTGGGTCTGCTTTCCCGCAGAGGACAAGGATAGCAAATCGCCATGAACAGCAGAAAAATTGCACTGATTTACGGGACAGAGGTAATGTCTTCACGCGAAAATGCTATCTGCTCAGATTGCATTTTTACGGAGAATCGTGTTCTCAACCTTGTTATTTGCAGTGTTTTTTTTTGCAGAACTTGATGACTGGCTGCATGAGTGTTCTGCAGAAAAGTAGATGCGAGGGCCTTGCTCGTAAGAAGTGCAGCTATTACTGGAGCGATTACGATACATGATAAGCAAAGGTTCCCCGACAACTTTTGCTAATCGTACGTGATTGAAGGAAATATATCTGCGAATAAAGAGAATGGTTATAAATCCCTTTTATCAAGTATAGCTGGACATCTCTATAAGTTTAACTTCCTGTCAAATGCGTCGCTTACTTGCCACCCTAATGTAAGCATTGGACATTCGAAGGCCACAATCAATAAACATACTTAGAATAGAATTAGCTTAGAAATAGACAAGTGGAAGCTTGGCAACAACTTTCACAAGTTCAGCTGGATTTTCGTTTTTAAGAGCACTGCAGTAGTGAAAGGCTCAGAGAAACTACTAGATATTCAATCAGAAAACGTTCGACCAAAACCACCATTAATGCTTCGAACTCAAAATTTGCTATCCACACACGACTTGGATAGCTTGGATCGCTGGCAGTGGCCGCAGCAGCGAAGGTAGACACAGCGGAGGCCCGCTCAACTCGAACCGCCGGGATCACGACGACGTCTACAGTCGTCAACAGAGCAAAAACGGCAGGGTGCGTCTCTCAGACGCCCAGCCTCCGGCCTGCACTCCGTGCCATCCATAATGCTTTCGATTGCCATCCACCATGCTTTCGACGTGCGCGCGCACTCGAGGTGAACGAGACGCCCAAGCATAGTCGAAGCTGGGCAGCTCGCGGCGAAGGCGGGACGACCAAAACTCCTCCCAGCCGTCCTCGCCTCGTCGGCGACCGCCAAAAGATCCTGTATGGTTGCCCTCCCCCGAGAGATCATCTGTTCCGGACGTCGAGCGATGTTCGATGGGAATAACATCAATCGTGTGGCCCCCAGTACCGGTACAAATGATGCGCGAGTATGTGGCAAGGGGGCCCGTGTTTTTCGTTGTGATCCGCGCGCTCAATGTCAGTTCCGGCGGCGCGCCAATTTGTAGCAGGTTTCCGCACGTTTGTCGCACCATAAAATGCAAATCCGCTGCGTTCGCAATCCGCGGTACTTTCACCCGTGATGCGGGAATTCGTGCCGAATTCCCGCATGACTGTCACGTTGCGAAGCGCGAGTTCGCCGTGTCATGTCGTTTCCAGCAGGTGCCCCTCGTGTGTATCGTTCATTTTCGATAAAGCTTTGTTGTTTCACACGCTCACGCTTAGTGCCACGGCACAGGCTGGTTGATTTAGGTCTAAACATATTTTCAGCCTCGTTATTCGTCGAGCCCCCTCCACGAGACGCGGCGATCGGCCCTCCCAAGTGCTTTCGCGGGAATTCGGGCACTCCGGATCTCTTAGTGTACTTTCTCGTCACTTCGAGGAAACACTTTGACGCACGTGGTGGCATGGCATGCCAAAGACACCGGTTGCAAAACGCATCTTTGGACGCCCCAGTCGAGACGAAAGCCTACCTCTTCCGAGCCGGGGGTGAGGGAAAGCACATTGTTGGTCACCCTAGTGGTGGTGGTCTCGGTGAGCGTGGTCCTCGTGATCACCTCCGTCGTCCGCCCCAGGGTCTTGGGAGCCGCCGGGAACTCGGCCGCCAGGGGTGCATACGGGTTCGGCTGCTGAATGGTTACCGTCACCAGCGGGCCCTTCAGCCGCTGAGACGTCGGCGATGACGAGGGGTTAGGCACGACGGGCACCTCAACGTTACCCGCCGACGGGGGATAGCCGTTGCCCATCGCCTGAAACGAACGCAGGAGCCGCGCCGTTGGAAGGCGAGCTCTCAGCCGGTTCTCGGGTATAGCGCCTAAAAACGCATCTCCAACTGGTCTGTTTACCACTCGTGAAATCCCGCAAGAGCACCGGCCCACACTCGAGGAATCATGGGAATGGTGTTCCTTTAGTTCCCTAGTGATCGGTAATTTCAATCAGTTCGATGCTCACAGACTTTTGAGTGTAATCCAGAGTCACCCTGAACAAGTGTCATGTAGAGTCCAAGGACTTGTCACATCACTTAAAATTTCTCATCAATGTTGGCATTTTTGATACCGTGCATGCAATTCCCCCTTCAACCTGGCCGAGCTGCAGAGATCTCTTACAATATTATCATTTTCGTGGTTCCTGTTTTAGCAGGAATCGCTTAAAAAGCCGAGAATTCGTATAAAGCAAAACCAAGACTTAGCTCAGAGTCAGCGTGGCCATTCACACGTATTTCAGCGTTTCTAAGCTAATAAGAGCATCTTTGAAGCTGTACGAGAATGGTAATATTGTAAGAGATTTCTGCACCTCAGCCCAGTTAAAGGCGTTGATGGCGTGCACAGTATCAAAAATGCTGATACTGACGAGAAATTTTAAAAGTGATATGACAGATCTTTGGACTCTATATGATGTTCATTCAGGACGACTCCAGATTACACTCAAATGCGTGTAAGCACAGAATTGGTCAAAATTACTGGTCACTAGGGAACTGAAGGAACACCGTTCCCATGATTTGTCAAGTGCGGGCCGGGGCACTTGGGGATTTGGCAAGTGGCCTATTCTGACGGTGACACAGCGGCGGATGTGAGTGTGGTAGATGCCCGTTTTGCTGCGGGTCGCCTCCTAGCTCGACGATTCGCAGAAGCTTCAACAGCCGGGAGTACCGTAGTTTAAGTTTTCTTGTAACGTGTACCGACACGTCCGACTACCAAAGCTGCCGCCATGGCGAAGCGACTCGAAATACGACGACGGGGACTTACGTGCACGCCGGGAGGCATGGTGCGTGCCGGACGGAAGGAAGAGAAGGTGCCCACGTTGGAGGCCGCGTTCACGTGGTCGCCGCTGTTGGCGTAGATGGGCTCTGTGGGGAGGTCGCTCGTGGCCACGTTGGGCAGAGGGGGGTCCCTGCGGGCGCTGGGGAACGAGTAGGGCTGGTGCGGGAGGCCCGGGTGGGCCGATGTCTGCTGCGCCGAGCCCACTGTCGTCGTGTCGTTGCGCAGGCCTGGCAGCTTCGTGTAGATGGAGTACGTCGGCTGAAATGGGACGCGATCGACGAAGGTCGGGCGTAAGGTAATGGGAGCGAGCTTCAGCGAGGCCACCGCGACTGAAAGTTCATTAAAGACTGGATAGTGAAATAAAATGGGAGAGAGAGATTGAAATAAAGTATCGGGCAAAAGTAGAGCTTGAGGCAAAGTCCATTCCCTTTAGTTGCGTTCGTCTTTTTCTCGTCTAACCAAATGTTTCTCGGAAGGCAAGTATTTGCAGTGTTAGAGGTGCCTTAAAAAATTTAGTCCTACGGAAAACAAACCTGGGTCAAGGCGCAGCGACAAGGAGATTGATCGGTCAATTAATTGACTGATTAACAGTTAATTTGAGTGATTGACCTTAATTGACTGATTGATAGACCTTGTTTTAGTGACTGATCTTAACTTACAGACTGATTGACAGTTTGAATACTTGACTAATTTATTTACTAACTTTATTAACTGATTGGCAGTTTGATTAATTACTTACTGACCAATTGACAGTTTGTCTGATAGGCTGATTGGTTTATTTATTCATTGATTTTCTTACTGATTTATAGGTTGTTTGAACATTGAATTGATTTATTGACTGGTTGCATAAACCAACAACTAGCTCTATGTAGTCCCAGCAGAATGTCTCGATTTGTCAATTAAGCGATTTACTGAGTGATTTCCCATTGCTTTCATTGGTCTATTAATTCACCAATTGATTCATCAATTGAATATTTGGCTGACAGTTTGTTTGAATGGTGGGCCGACCTATTAATCGACCGATTGCACAAAGCAACAACTAGTTCACCGTTGCCCCAGCAGAATGTCTCAATTGGTCAATTAAACGATTTTCTGAAAGATTGAATGTTAATTTCATAGGTCGTGAAATTCACCAAATGACTGACTGACTAACTGAGTGATTGCTCATATGAATGATAAACCGACCTATTGATCGACCAATTGCACAAAGCAACAACTAGCTCACTGTAACCCCAGCAAAATATCTCGATTGATTGATTAAATGATTGGCCGAGTGATTGAACGTTAGTTTCATAAGTCGATGAATTCACCAGTTGATTGACTGACTAACTGAGTGATCGCTCATCTGAATGATGAACCAGCTGACTGATCAACCGATTGCTAGCTCACCGTAGCCCCAGCAGAACGCCTGTCCGCTGTAGCCTCCTCCGCGCCTGTGGATGCAGCGCTGGGGCTGACGCCAGGACGCCGGTACCCTCCCAGGTAGGACGGCCGGTTGGCCATGTACGAAGACGACGAATAGAGGCTCCCGCCGAGGGGGCGCGAGGTCGCCGGCGCTGCCGTGCCCGGCGGGGAAGATGCGCTGGTCCTCCCGGCGGTTGCCGCCGAGGGGTCCCGAAGCACCACTTCTTCGCGCTGCACGACGAGCCGCACAAAGCGCTCCAGCCCCGTGAGCATGGCCACCGCCTGGTCGTGGCGCACACCGTCCATGTCGATGCCGTTGATGGAGAGGACCCGGTCGCCCACGCGGAGCTTGCCGTCGCGTGCCGCTGCCCCGCCTTCTGCCACCCGTGAGATGTAAATACCCTGCAAGCGGGTAGGGCATGGGTTCTCAAATCGGTGTCCCCGAACCCTTTAAGGCCCCCCGAGGCTTTTTTTTAGGGGCCGCAAAGCCCTAGACCATTCAACAACCCAAGCAATAAATCCTATATTTTTATGCAAAAGCATTAACTGTCTTACGGAGCGAACCGACGTTATCAGCTATTGAAGCTGCATCAAACGGCACCTAAATTTCCCTGTCCGGTAGAGCGAAGCCTGTAGTCTGTAGCAGCGAATTGATGGATAGACTCCCATTGGCTGGAGCGCGGCATAGTTACAAGAAACGCCACCCCACTGCCATGGCACAGCGGCCCAGCTGCCGGCAAGAGGGAGAGGGTGGTTGAACTCTGCAGAGCGGCCGGCCGCAGAGCCCGCCCGGACAGCATCCACAGAACTGGCCATAGGAATATGTTACGTATATGACTGATTCCGCATTCATACACGTTAGCAGTTTTAAGTGTCTTCGTGGTTTTTTCTTTTTTTGTTAATGATGGCCATCTTACAAAGCTAAATAGACCAAACCTAAAAGCAATCCCCAGAATATCAGTGGTTAAAAACCACTGGGGTAGGGGGAAAAGGGACCCGTTGGGGCCAGCTGTCCCCTGAAATATCAGTTGGTTGGAAGACACACAAAGAGGAACTACGATGATGTCCCAGATGATAGTCTCATGTGTACTGACTAAGCCTGCGAGTGCATTGCCAGAGTCAGTTGCAAAACTTGGGAGAGAGAGATAGCGCAAGGCAGGTAAACAGAGCTAGAAAAACGCATAGCTGGCATCCTTCGAAACCCTTTGTCTTTTGAGCGAAAATCTCCTTTCAACCTACGGCTGCACTGCCGCAAGGCTTCATCTCCTCCCTTTCTTATGGCTGCCAGGCGGTCTATTGTTCTGGTGCAGACTCCGCAGGCTTAGTTACTGAACAGAAGGCTATGCCCAGATAGACACATTGTTTAAGGATGAGCCAAAAGTTGTCGCTATCCACCCATTTAAACTGTAAAATGGTAATCGGTGCTTTCAGTTTTATGAATAGACTATTTGTAGCCAGCTTTTGCTCATTTCGAAAATACAGCAAAGGCTCGGTAATTCGAAATTGACTTAAATTTTTGTTTGGTTCAGAGTACTGCTGTGACCCCGTAAATTGCACAAAGCTATGGATGAAAACCTACATGGTAATCTGAACGCTAATCTCCGGAACCCGTTAAAATTCAAGTGTTTTTTTTTATGCACCCGGAAGTCTGAAAACTCTGGAACCACAAAAGACCTTTTGGCTACGCCGGCCACACCAAGCACACAACCATGGACACTTTAATTCATTGCCACGGCATTGAACATGCAGTAACTATAACCTAGCACATGAGCAGCCGTCCATTAACAACACACACGGCCAATTTCTTATGATTAAGAATAGTCGAAGTAAGAACTACTAATTTTTTGCCTTTCTCAATAACAAAAAGTCTTGCCTTTCTCAATAACAAAAAGTCAAAAGTAGATTTTGGTTCTTTTTCTAATGGGATGCCTCCGAGCAGCTGATTGACAAAAGTGTCACACTGCCCAAAAGTGTTGTTGGTGACCAAGGAGAAGTCACATATGCAACGCTCCGAAATGATAAGGTACTAGAACAGACACCACTTCTATTCGAGGCATCAGTTTTTAATTTTCCCTTTTCTGAACTTCATAGACTATCACCGAAGAGACAACAAGGCTGCAAGTCCAGGCGTACCGTATATACTCGCATAATGAACGCACCCGCACTCCCCCCCCCCAAACGTGTACCAATATCTGAATTTTTTTTTTTTCCCCTCGCGTAATCAACGCATTTTCAATTTTCGGCTCCGCAAGTCTCAAATTGCATCCAATTTAGCTAGCCACCAATCCAAATTTTTTTTGCCCCCAAGCGGTCAGGCTAAGCCAAGCCAAGCTGCTCTTGTAATGGCCGCACGTGCGCAGTTGCAGTAGTTGCGGAAGTGATCAACCGTGAAACCGAGCGGCGCACACACTTGATGAAGCTTGGGTCGAGGAATTGCCCAGCCTTGGACATTCTTCGCCTATCGGATGCATTGATGTCAACAAACACGCCAATGTCTATGGTCCGCTTTTGGACAAAGAAATCGTGAAAATGGTTAGGCCTAATTTCAGATACTCCGGGCAAATGGGTAAATGCATTTATTTAATCTGGCACAGCGAGGTGCACGCTACGTCGTAGGTTGAGAGTGTCTGGTAACAGCTGCCTCCGTGAACAGAACTTGATCCGTGGGAGCGGGCCCCGGAGGTTGGCGGATGGACTTTGTACGGCCGCCAGATACTAGCAATATATATATATATAATAGGGTTGTGCGAATAGTGGTTTGAATCGAATAGTGCTGCGTCATTGATAGCCTTGACAGTGTAAGGAAAAACCAAGCTGACCGGTTCTTTCAACAGTGCAGAAGCTAGGGATGACGCTGCGCTATTCGATTCAAACCACTATTCGCACACCCCTAATACATAACCTAAAAATGGTTGTGTTGTCGCGTTGCTTTCCATGCTAAATGAGCTTTAAAGGGCGCTTTTCCTTCCGCGAAAGGCACGCCGAAAGCGCCCTAAAAAGGTTTGTAATTTATAAAGCATGGCTACCGTGGCGCGCCCCCGACCAGCCGTGGGTGCACCTCGATCAGTGGAGACGTGCCATAGTACCTTGCTGTGTCATAATGGCACCTAATATGACATTTGCACGAAGTGTGGAAATGCAAAAATTTTACCCCGCATAACATTCTATATGCGAGTAAATACGGTATTATGCGGCATTCTTTTATGATTTACAGATTGAATAAAAGCCTGATTGGTCGACCGACTGACCCACCTGACTGCCATCCTTGTAAGGTGTTCCTCCCTTGCCGCCCGCGATGCTGAACCCAAGCCCGTTGTGGTCCCGAATCAGAGTTGTATAGATGATCTGCACGAAAGGACGGTAGAGGGGCATCACACATGTGACAAACCAATAAGGCTGAATCGGCGATGTGGATGCACCACAGCGAGACCATCCCAAAATCACAAAGCCTTATAGCGTAGTGCCATTCCTGTCTGTGTTTAGTATCCTTGAGTTGAGATGAATGAACACAGAAGTATTGAAATGCTCTACACCAGGTATGGGCAAAATACATGCAAATATGTATCGAAATACAAATACAAAATACTTCGTGAAAAACATATTTAATTACAAATCTAATTACATTTCAGAAAAAGCATTTAAATACAAGATACAAATACAACCAAATGTATTTGGTCTACTCCAAATACTCTTCAAATACATTCCTCAAAATTTGCGTCAGCGACTTCAGGGCACCTGCAACGGGTTTCTGGATGTCTCATTTTAATTTTTGCATCGCACGCTCGGGAATAAGAGTGCGAGGCTCTAGTAACGTAATAAAAATACAATCACAAAAAAATGTAATCAGCTTGGACGTAATAGGTGAAAGAAGTAAAGAGCTTCAAGCAGCTTGTTTTGTCGATTACATTTTGGTATAGACCAACAAATAACCGAGACGACCAAGACGCGCAGAACTAGCTAGATAATTTTTTATTGTTGCAGCTCACATCAGTTTCGAAAATCTGGACGACCCGCATATTTAGAATGTTCCAGACAAAAATATGGATGGAAATCAGGCTGGAAAGCATCAAAAGTTGTCACAGGCACTTATTTCCCCAGTCTGTCTGTGAACGTTGATTTCGTCACTATTCTTGCCCTGGACTAGCACCGTAATCACAAAGTCACTAAACGCTTGTGCTTGATTGAGAGACACTGCATTCGGTGCAGAGCGTAGCTTTCTTACTGCTCTGGACAGTGACAATAAATTTGAGGGATGTATTTTCGTCCACCAAATTGTATTTAATTACAATTGTATATAAAATACCCACATTTTAGTATTTAAATACACACGTCAAATACATTACCCAATTCGTAATTAAATACAAATGCAAAATACACAAAGCATTTGAAATACATATTTCAAATACTTGTATTTGAAATACTGCCTATCCCTGCTCTACACGATAGGAAGCAAGACCGGTAGTAAGTCGCACCTATTTGTAACTAAGTCGGTTATAATGAAATAGCGCCTATAGTGAAGAGATCACAATTTCCATTCCCATTTGCACCTTTTCAATGTATGTTTGTTTTTAGCAAAAGAAATTGAGCGGCTCCCGCGGATATGGCAAGGGAGCCTTTGTGATAATTTTTAAAAATAATCAAATTAGAAAAGTTTATCAAGTCGCAAACCACCCCACTTTGCTGCTGCGGCCGAGCAGTCACCCAGAACAGGCTGCAAACGTCCTGCAAAAGCCGCCGCCGGCAGCCTCTGCATTGTCGTCTGCTCCCCGTTCTTTACCTGGCAAGCAGCTTTTTTGCATCACACATAGGGATGCCGTCGGCTCGTACCAGCCCATACCAAGCAAAGTTGCTTCGCTAGCAAAAACAACATGCAATCGTTACAAAAATCTATATTAACCACAACCCATAATATTGTTTACAAAAATAAATGGCAATACATTAGGAATTTTTGTTTTATCGAGTCATTTATTTTGCTAAATGAGTGACCGTTGTCTCCAACAAATCAAAAAATACAGTTGCAATAGACATCTCCTAAATGGCATTTATGATGTTCTCCGACACGTCTGACACTTGAAAGTTTGAATGACCCTTGGGAATCTTGAAGACCTTGAATTGAGTTGACCGTCTGACAGGGGTATTAGTGCCACCGTGCAACTCTAACCGACTGCGACCAAGCCAACCATTGCTGGCTCGAAGACAGTCACCGCCGACTTGCAACAACGGCCGACCACACCCGAGCCAATCATTTGTTGGCTCAACGACAGTTCGAAGACACCACTCACGTCTCGCTTGGTCTCGAAGTCAGGCTCGGGGGTTCGGGGTTCGGGAGTGGCTGGCAGCGAACGCTGATCCCCCTCCGACGGGAGCGGGGGCACGCAGAGTCCCTGGGGTCCCCCCACGGGAGGGGGCCTGTGCTTGGGACCCCCCTGCCTGGCGGGGGCGTCCCTGCCGTCCCCCCTCGGACCCGGAGCGGCAGCCGCCCCCAAGGGCTCCGAGAGCGCCTGCTGCAGCGGGGACTTGACCGGGGGAACCTGGTTCTGTAAAAAATCAGGCACCCCACGCGCGAGACATGTCTTTGCTTTTTTTCTTCTCGGCTCAAAACACACAAACAGTTCAAGTTCACCCTGGCAACCCTGGCAACCCTGCCGTGACAAAAATGCATGCATAATTCTCACGGCAAGTTCCACAATGTAAAAAAAAGTAACATGCATAACGATGTCGTCTGCTTTGCTAAAGATGGGATTGGCCGTGGCACAGTCGTAAGATGTATGAGAAGGAACAGCCCGTTGTGCTTGTATGAAGCACCTGCCAGTTATTAAGGATGTTCCGGTTTAATATAGGACTGGAACTCAAATTTCTCTGAACTTTCTGACAAATCGAGCGATTAAGAGGATTGTGGAGACCGCAGTCATGGCAAAAGGGCAGATAGAGTATTGTTGCTCATACTGTTCACTACTGTACATGGGTTAATCAGTGAGTATCAAGTAGATAACATCAATGGTTATCCCCACTTTATTGCCTTACACAGCACGCAAAAGGCTTTGCCTACATGTTTTTTTGTAATATTACTGGATGTTATATTCCCCTTGAACAGGAAGACAAACTCAGCCTGTTTTTTCAAGACCAAACCTGAATCTATAACTTAGGCAGAAAGATGCATTATAAACAAACAAAGAGCATCTGGGTCATCCCAGCAAAGGGCTGAGAATTAATTGACACCATTCGATTATAGTAGGCTTGCTATGTTTTAAACTCAGATACCTCATACTTCTGATTAATTCAAATGAATTTCAAAATTTTTCTTGTCCCGCTATATGCCTTTGAAGTATTCATAAGCCGCTTAATTCAAACGGCATTTTCGTGTAATTCATACTTTTTGTTCTTGCGACACAGTTGAGTGCACTTCTTTACGAGCACAGGTGCACTGCAGAGGCAACACCGACGGAGCTTGCTTCCGCAGGTGTTGCTTCTCTGCACTGCACCGGTGCTTGGTGAGAAGCGCACTCAATGGGGCTCACATAAGCTATGAAAACGGGCATCACGCAAAAATTTTAATAGCAACTCGTACGGACGCTGTGACGTGGCGACATGGCATAGGTCCTTGTCAGGGCGTCCGCGCAAGTTGCTATGAAAACTGCACCACACCGCCCGCTTTCATCGCTCCTGTGTCCCCTGTATAATACGATAGTCCACATTAGACAACTTCTTGGCCAGATGAACAAACTTAATTTTGTTTTGAGTTGTCATGTACTGTCTAAAGAGTTCACGATAAACAACATTTTTGAACAACTTATGCCATACATTTCACAAATGTTTCATCTGTAGCATACCTGCTTATGATCAGTAGGCCTATGTAGAAGAAATCATCAGATATCTGCTTTGTATGTGCAGCCATTCATATGGAAAATCATAATTTAATCTTGCATCATATTTAGACGAATTTCTGATAATTCAAACCAAATTTGTGGCTTCCTAGAGTTTGAATGTTAGAGTAGTGTATCTTTAGTATACAAAGTTACATAGCACCATCGCCAAAGTTGCTTCCTACCAACTGCAGGCACCCTTATGGGGCTTTGAACCTGCCAACTTGGTACTACCGCATTTATTCGAGAATATGTCGACCTTCTTATGAATAAACCCGTGTCAGCTTTCCCGCAGAGCCCACAAAGACTGATCATCAAGACTTACGAAAGGAGCGAATGAAAAGCAAAGCAGAGGTAAAGTTTGGAATAAAATACATGCAATCCACACAGAACTCCTTCCCGCATTCTGACATCATTGGGGCCTCGTCATTCGCTGGGCCTCTTCCGCAAATCGCAATGATTGGCTGTCCTTGAGCATTGCAGAGAAATACACGCACAGGCACTGTCCACAAAGTGGTCAACCTATTTCTAAATAAATATAGTATCTGGAAACAGACATTTTGACTAAACGCCATTAGAGCGTTTCTAAATTGAGCCGTACCCCGCCTCTAATACCACGCAACGTCAAAGGGAGAAAAATTACCGCCAGGGAGGAGGGAGGCCTCTGCGTCTCCCGTGCAATCACCATGGTTAGCCGGTTTCCAGCCGCCTTCAGTGCATTCACAGCTTCGTAATGATCGATGTCAATCACCGACAAGCTGTTCACCTGCAGAAAAAAAGAAAGGCCTCCTGTTTCCGACGTGCTCGGATCAACTTCAACACTGAATTTCGACCCCGCTGCGCCGTCGTTCTGCGCAGTCAACAACTTTCGGAGAGAGGGTGCTTAGGAAAGGTGCTTCGAAACACGGTGCGAAAGGAGCCAGAAGCGACGGGAGAATTAGGAAGCTGGCACCGACGGCGCACGACAGCGCTTGCGACGAGAAAGTTTTGCGTGGTGTGGCGCAGAAAAGTTGAAAGGAAGGCCGAAGCACCGTGCCACCTAATCCACAATCGACGCACCACCCGATGCAGCCGTTCAAGCTAACTTTTATGAACGTCTCGGGTAACCTGGCAGCACACAAAAAGACACACATTCCCCTCGTACCGTTTGCAATTGAGGAAATTCCTGCAATGATGATTCCGCTCGCGCATCAAGGCAGCAATCTTTTCGACGTCCAAACGAAAGCAAAGAATTACGTTTCGGTTTCGTGGGTTCTATGGCCACCGACAGGACGCGCACGACAGGGAGGAGCTCGAGTCGTCCCGCCGCCACCGCCAGCGTCCTACCTCCGCCACCACTTTGGCCCCTCGAGAACCTCGAACAAGCACGAGCGGCTAGAGTACGGTGAAAGTCAACAGGCACGTAGTGGGGGCCAGGCTTCCAAAAAGACGTGCCCTGTTAGTTTCCCGTTGTTAGTGACTGTCCGGAGCACAAGTTCGTCTGCTTCTTTTGCAGGGGTTATGGTGACGTCACAACGACGAACTCCGATTGGGTCCGATTGAAGGATAGTGGGTAGACCTTGAGCCAGGTTGCATCGAGGTCTACCTACTATCCTTTTAATCACAGCCAATCGCAACTCGGCGGCGTTTTCACTTCACCACAACCCCTGCGAAAGAAGCGGACGAACTTGCACTCCGCACGGGGAGCAACACTTCGCACAAACATCTCCCACGATGAACGCAGCCCCCCGCGACTCGGCGTTCGCAACTCACCGAGAGAATCTTGTCGCCGACCCTTAGTCCCGACCGCTCCGCGGGTCCTCCTTCCGTCACTTTCGAGATGAAGATGCCCTGAAGGGAGTGGAACGGTTTTGGGAGTCACGGCACGTTCCGCAAACGGTCCGGCGGTGCCGTGTCCAGAACGCTTTCTCGACCGATATGTTTGCCGCGTCCCAAAAAGTGGTCCCCCAATTTCCACCTAACGTGCGACGTAAATTGTTGCCACTTCGGGACCCCCTTCGACGTACGGGCAAAACGGGACGCCCTCCGGTCGAAGACGCGCTCCGGGCGTCTTCGCGCACCGTACCGGGGCGGCGAGAAGTCGACGACCCCGGCGCTCCTCACCTCGTCGTCCCCTTTGAAAGGAGTCGAGTTCTTTCCGCCCGCCACGCTCAGCCCGAGCCCCATGGAGTTCCGTTCCACGACTATCTTGATCCGCTCCTCCACCATTTCCGCAGACGCCGATCCTGCACACAAGACGTTGGAATCGATCAGGCGGATGGGCTGGGCCGGATGGATGGGAAAATGATTTTGAGATGCAGTTTCTTCTAAGTACCGCATTCTAGTTGCTCCTTCAAAACAGCTTTATTGAGTATCCGATTGTCAAGTTCTCGACTGCTGGATTGGTTGACTTGAGGTCCACTAGGTTGATTTACTGACATATTGTATCACCAGTTTTACTCACTTATCGTCAATTGGTTAAGCTGCTTTATTGAACTAGTGTACGACTAGCTCGCTGAATTGGTTAATTTGATTTATTAACTTTGTGAATGAAGGACAGATTGGCTTATGGTTGACTGGCTTAATTGACTGATGTTGACTCTTCTTGCTTACCAAGGCTGGAAGTCTTCAATAAACTGATGTATGATCAATCAGTTGAGTTGGTCATTTGACTTATCAACAAACGATTGGCTGGGGTTCCCTGGCTTAATTGATTGAAATTGACCATTCTTGTTCCCCAAGTTAGTAAGCCTCCCATGGACTGACGTAGACCAATTAATTGAATCGAACAGATTAAATAGATTCATCAACTTTGTGACTGATGACCTGACTGGGTTATGGTAGATAAGTTGAACCAATTAATCAATATAGACTATTCTTGTTCGCCCAAGTCGTAAGCCTCCAAGTCGTATTTTCACGAGAATCTCGAGTCTTCTGTTTTCTTCAAAGGTGGCTAGGAATTTCTCCAGGCAGGAGAGAGGGAGTTTGTGGACGCCCACGCCAGAGGGCGCACTCCAGACCACGTCACTCACCGTCCGCAGAGGAAGCGCCGGCACCGTCCAGCTCGTATTCTGCGCTATGCCCCAGCCGGTCCCGAGGGGGGGAGGGGGGTGGAGGGGGCAGGGGCTCCTCATCCTCAGGTTGACGCATTGCTTGCATCAGAATTGAGGCCACCTGGACATTTGGCCATGGAACCAGATTGCTCTTGTCACTTAGGTCATGTGGGCTTTCAATGCAAATAACGTGTCTACCACCAAGTTCCTAGCAACTACTCTTGCATTCGCCGTGGTCTTGTGTAATTGTGTAAGGTTGCGAGCAATTTTGCTTTCCTTAAACACTGTTGCTGGATGGGGTGGTGAAGTTTAATTGTAATGGGGGAACGCCAAAGGGGTGAACCTTTCAGTGATTGATGATTGAATATAGTACCCAAATTCTATGGTTCAAATGTGTTGCAGGCAATATTTGCAGGCTCTCAGATTGTAAGTTAAACAATGAGCTTTAAATTAAAAAGTGAAAGCCGTTTACAACTCCCTGTAACGCCGAATTGGAGCGCAGCTCTTGAGGAGGAGGAGGGAAGGGTACTGAGGGGAGGGTAAACCCCTCCTCCTCCTCCTCCTCCCCTCATTCTTTAATATGCTCCGGGGGGTCACCTGACCTCGGGGGGAGGGGGTCATGTGACCTCGGGGGGTCACCTGACCTCGGGGAGAGGGGGGTCACGTGATTTGGGGAGGGGGTCACGTGACCTCGGGGAGGGGGCCACATGACCTTGGGGGGGGGGGGTCACGTGACCTTGGGTGAACGTGGGGGTCTCATCACCTCGGGGGTCACGTGACCTTGGGATGAACTTGGGAGGGGTCACGTGACCTTGGGTGTCACATGACCTGGAGGGTCACGTGACCTTGGGTGTCACATGACCTGGAGGGTCACGTGACCTTGGGAGGGGTCACGTGACATTGGGGGTCATGTGGGGGTCACCTTGAGGGGTCACATGACCTTGAGGTGACCTTGGGAGGAGTCACGTGACCTCAGGGGGTTCGTGACCTTGGTTACGCCGACGGCGACGCCGCTCAAGCCGGAAACGGGCGCCTAAGAGCTGCGCTCTAAAACTGAGCAGTCCCGTGTTAAGCCACAGTACAGCAGTGGCGTAGCAATAGGGGGGAGGCCGGGGGGCCCTGGGTACTGGGCGTCCCAGTCACGTAAGGATGCCACGTCTGGCAGCACCCCGCACCTGGCACCCTGCACCCCCCCCCCTCCGCTTTAGTGGTTGCGGTCTCAAGAAGTGAATGGGGGAGAGGAGTACTGCGAAAGACCAAAGAGCCCCGGGTGCCAGAAGCCTGCAGTACAGAAGCCAGAAGCCACTGCAGTACAGTCGCAGCGATAGTAGCAACACATCACAGCGAAGACGCTGGGAATCTGCGTCGCAATTGCACACCGTGAGGTGCGTGAACAAAAGCAATCAAAACAAAATAGACATCAGACCATTATACTACAAACGGTTTAGTTCCTTTTCATTACGGAGTGCGTGAAAGCGAAGGCATGAGCTCTTGGCCCTGACAGTGCTACAAATGGCACTTTGTTAGAGGCTTTTTTTTCTTTTTCCAGAACGCATGCAGTGGGCATTGGGTACTACGCAAACCCCAAGTATAAAGCAAGTTGTTAACGCTCTAACATAGTTTTGTGGTAACGCCTCCGCTTCACACGCAGCGGGCCCAGGTTCGATTCCCGCACGTGGCAGGCAATCTTTTTCGAGGATTTGGCAACATCAACAACGGACACCCTACACCCTACTATGCCAACTACAACAACGACAACATCAACAACGGATGTCATTTCCAGAGGTGGGAAAAGCCCATAACAATTATCACTGTAAAAGAAAAGAAAAAAAAAAAGAAAAGGTACTAGAAAATTTTAGGGAAAATCTTTTAATTCCCGAGACAACAAAACTTCCATGTCGACTAGGGAGCACGGTTCTTCACGAAATCTGAGTCAGCCTGAAGGATAAGAATCGATCAGAGAGCTTCATAAAGCTGCCTGGAACTCTCGAGAAACACGAAACACGACAAACAGCCCCGATTCTGTGAGGAAGCATGAAGCAACCCAACAGAATTTGGAATTTGGGAGCTGTTCAAGAGACGAGGAGCCGCAAAAAAACAGAACACGGACAAAACGCACCTTCTCCTGGTCCTCCCGACAGCTCGTCACATGGACCCGCTTGTTCTTGAGGTGATGCGGGGTGTCGCGCCGATGCAGGCGGTTGTGGCGGTCTGCCGAGTCCTCGCTGCCGTCGTGAGTGAAACCTACGTGCTTGTCGTCCCCCTGCGGCAACACCAACACACCCGGGTTTGTAGCCCCAAAAGTGGCGTAAAAGCGAGTCTCATGAGAAATGCGACACTCTACACTCTAGCATTGGCTCGACCAACACACAGGTCGAAGTCATATACCGTAAATTACTTTAATTTCGCGGCCTCAATATTCCGTCAATTTTCCGGTTCTGGAAGGCGCTACGCTTAGGGCACTACGCTACGTATTCGTTACCATGGGCCGTGATATTCGTGGGATTAACTTTTTGCAATATTTTCCGAGCCGCGCACGTAAATTAGGTTCTCACAACGATTTATTAGTTTACAGTGAGCAATATAGCTTCGTAGGGACTATAGTACTTCTATGACCTGCACATCAAGGTGTTGCATGATACTGTGACGTTAAAGTCACGAGACCTCAGGATGTCGAGCAAGGTCACAAGCATGCACACAGCATGTGCCCAGCTCGTTCGCAGCATAATCTGTGCTTCTCCGAGTTTGTCAAGTACGGTCGAGACATCTGGTTCCTTTCTCCGGCCGTTTCTCACGTACAAGTTACCACCCCCGCAGTGAGCCGGACATTGTGTAATCGAACCCCGCAGGCCGCGCGTCAATTAGATGAGCGGAAGGCTGCCAACAGTAATGAAAGGGCAAATATAGGTGTGGGGATCCGAGCCAAGAAGTTCTTCCAAGTTTCCTGGCAGGTTGCACACTGTACCAGCTTTGCTTCACCAAACTTTTCTTACTGTGCATCTAGAGAGAAGTGACAACGATATGGATGACACAGTCTCTCTTCTGGCAGAGGATGTGAAGGACAGCCCCATAGTATTACGGAGCAGCCCGGCTCAGCAAAGTGCGTAGTTCACAAGAAAATGTCGTCACATTTAAAGGCCAACCTCGCCTTTCTACGGGGAAGAAAATCCCCTGCGTACCCTCCTCTCCTAAACTGCAAGGGGAGCCGTGTTGGGGCAAGTTGAAAGGTGAAGAGGATACAGTAAAGGAAGGAGCGAGAAGAAGGGGAAGGCACCAAGTGTACATCAGCCTTTAAGAGCAAGATAGGCACTCACCTTCTTCTCCCCTTCTTCGTCACTAGAGGACTCCGAACTGCTGCCGGTCCGGCCAGTAGCCACACCGCCATTCCGGGCGTTCCCAACGTGCTCCTCTTCCTGCTGCCGCAGATCCTCGTCCTCCGTAACCGCCGCCGTTCCATCCGTCTCCGCGTCACTCACGCTCCGGGGACGGTGTTGGTCTCCATCTGCGGGTGTAAGGAAGCATCCGACGGGCCCCTCGGAATTCTCTCTTCACAAAACACACCGTCATTTCGCAAACAAATTTGTATTTTCAACTTCGTTTTGTTTTGCAACTTTTTAACAGCAGCTGTTTGAAATTGTCTGTCCTAAGGACCGACGATTGTAAGCAGCTTGCCCAATTCCTACAAGAAAATGTCTAGAGAAATAAGTTTGGAGACGACTTAAGCCTTGCCTCGAATCCTCGCGCAACAAATTCCCAAAAAAAGCCTACCGTAAAATATTGGGCAAGTGCCCACTAAAAATTTGGAGATAATCGCAAAAAAAATGGGAAATGGGCGGTTGTCCGGTCGTCAATTTTACATATAAATGTACTGTGCGTATTTTGTCAGATCTTACAAATTTGGGAATGGGCGCTTAATGTAGAATGGGCGGATGTGCGGTATTCTACGGTAGAATCGTGCCAAAGCAATAACCTTCTTTCCCCATTACTTCCGGAACAGACCCCGTACGTCGAAGATGAATTTATCTGCGTTATTTAGAGGATTAGCCAGAACATTCGGCGAAGAAAACAATTAATTATTCAACCGCCAAAACTTTAAGGAGGCAACGAGCGGGTACTTGAGGCTAGGCAGCCGAGGGATGACCCGCCGCTCTCGCCTGTCGGCGACTAGACAAAAGAGCAACCCGCAATCCTCGGTCTATCCGGCCATTAATCATTAGGAATCTGCCATATTTACTCGAGTAATAGCCGCACTGTTTATGAAGAAAACCTAAGAGTTTGTTTTTCCGCGGAGCATGCAGACTGCCAATCACCGCAATCGACAGCACCGCAATCGACAGCATGACTCCAGCTGTATACGGGAGAGAGATAACATCTTCGTGCGAAGATACCATCTTTGAAGATTGCATTTGTAGAGAGAGTTGTGTTCTTGATCTAGTTAGTCACTAAGGTTATTTATGTGCAACGCAATGACTGGCTGCATATGTGTTCTGTGGGAAAGTCGACGCAAGGGCTTTGTTCATAAATAGTGCGGCTATTACTCGAGTAAATACGGTATCGACCCATGGAGCAACCACTTGACCACTGCCAGTGCACTAAACCTTAAAAAAAAACTTTCTCGACACCAAATGTTTCTCGATTCTCGTGGGCATGTCGTACCTCTGGTCTGGCACGGAGCCGTCTCGGTGGAGGACGTCGACTGCACCGATCCCGTGCTCGACCGATGCGGTCGAAAGCCGACCGCCTCGCCGTCCTGCGAAAACGAAGGTGTTTGAGCGACATGTCCAACCAGAAGAGAAATCGGCTCTTCACAATTGACTTCTCGACGGTACTATGGGGCCTGGAACGTGTCTGTGACTGGTGCGTCTAACTCCTCCTCAAACATAGTTTCTCGACTTCCACCCGACGTCGTCATAGAACTCTCGTACTGCAGCCTGCTGCGATCGTAGTGGTGGCACAGCGGCAAAGGAGGATGCGGCGGTATGCCGTTCTGCCGCGGGTCGCTTCCCGGTTTGACGGTCTGCGGAGACGACGGCGGCGAGAAGTCGAGATGCCGCGACAATGGCGGCCCCGGCGTCCGCTCCTCTTTTTGCCAGAACTAGCACGACGGACCGCCGGGATCACGACGTTCGACAGCACGGCGTGCCGGCTCCTTGGCGACGTGGTTTGGCGCCCCTTCGGGACAGTTTTGAATGCGTGGGCGGGATGAGACGCTAAACGGACCAGTCGGGGGTGCGTCTCGACCACAGTGACGGCGCTTCTTACGAAGCAAAAGCTTGGACGCGGAGAGGAAACATTGAGGGCAGATTTGTTCGACTAGACACGACAAAATGAGGTAGGTTTACAGAGAACATAGTTAGTGAAAACAACGAAAAAATAGGAGATGTTTACAATTTTGTGAAACGCCAAATTATTGAGGAGGGAGGGAGGGTATGAAGGAAAGGGTATGCCCCCCTTCCTTCTCTGCTAAGTTTAGTGGGAAAATTTTACCCTCATGACGCCACACTTACATGCGACGTCACACGTGTAGTCACACGTAACGTCACGAGGGTAAATTTAGCGGGAAATATTAGCAATGTTAGATGCGTGTGACGTGATGCCCTTTGTCACATTTCCTATAAGTAAGTCACACATGACGTCATGAGGATCACGAGGGTAACCCTCATAACCTTTGTGACGTCACGTGAGGGTAACTTTTACGACCCTCATGAAGGTAATCTTCGTAACCCTCACGACAATAACCCATGTGACGTCACGTGTGATGTCATAATGGTAAACGTTTAATAATGCAGCGTGCAGTTACGCCGACGCTGACGCCGGTGCTCAAGCCGGAAACGGGCGCCTAAGAGCTACGCTCTAAAAGGAAATGGTATGGTTGATGCGAAGCGAGCATATCAAAGATGACGTTAAGGATGGCGTCTATGACGTCCAGGACGACCTCTAGGATGACGTCAAGGACAACCTCTAGGACGACCTTCTCAAGAATGACGTCTGGGACGAGCTTCTGAAGTATGACCTCTAGGACGTCAAGACAACCTCTTGGGAAATGTCAAGGACGGCATCAAGGACGACCTCAAGAACAATGTTTAAAACGTCAAGGACAGCATTTAGGACGACATCAATGATGACATCCTAGAAGACGTGAAGAATCACCTCAAGGACGACCTCGAAGACGACGTCTCGGACAAGCTCTAGGATGACATTGAGGACGTTAAGGACGTCAGTTTACGTCAGCCTCAGCCACCGACACTTACAAGTTTACGCGACAGGCGCTTACACGAATGGAGCTTGCGCAACAGGCACTTACGTGACCTTGCACTTCAGCCACGAGCATTGCGTGACCTTGATTACGCTACCTTGAGGACACAACTTTTGAGCGTGCTTGGGCCTATAAAGCTATCACTTTAAAAAAACGTCTGTTGTCAGCTTGCCTCGTCCATGTGAGATGCCACGTGGCCGTCGATGTTCTTGGCCTTTTGCACAAACTTCTGGTGCCGTGCCTTCAGCTCCCTCGGGTGTGGAGTGTCGTGTCGGACGAACTGAGTCTGAAACAAAGAGCGGTACTTTGCACTTTTCTTCTGCCACAATCTGCTGGCAGCTGCGGGTAATGGCCCCGCTTGCAACGAGCCGACGTTGTTGTACAGGAAAGAGAGGAACCACTAAATTTAGAGTGAGGCTAAGACTACTAGGCTTTGACTTTTTTTCGATTGAAACCAATGAAAACATATAAACATATGTTGAATTAATTTTTCAATATTGTTTTAACCAAAAAACGTTCAGCCTTTCCACTCCCGTAAAGAACAAAAAACCAGCGGAGCTGTACTCGATACACGGTGTTCTTCCTCTTCGTCGTCGTCTGTTTTTCGCGCTGTTTCCTACGATGAATCCCCACCAACGCGCCCAACTATCCATTCTTTTATTATAGCTGGAAAGGTTGCCGCCATCTACGAGCGACGGTGGAAACCATACTGGTTGTCTGCTTGCCGCCGTCGCTTATAGATGGCGGTAGCAGTCCAGGTAGGTTTGTGTCGACATACACGGACACGATCCTGGGGAACCTAGTCCTCAACAGCTCCGCTGTAAAAGGTCAGTATCCTTTTTCGGTGAATAGTGCGCATACAGTCAGATAGTGTGCATTCTGTACAGCATGCAGACTATGGCAAACTGTGCCAAATGTTTGCAAAAAGAATTTCTTGTCCGGTGCTCCGTGTAACATCTTGTAAATTGCCACGCGAAAATGTGTCGAAGCGGCAGGGGTGGCCGGGTGTAGCAAGGAGTCGAGATGGCCCACCTCGAGGTCCGGCTTCTCCTCCACAGCTTCCTCCACGAACTTGACGGCCGATGAACGGTTCTCCACCTTTTGGTCCCAGCTGAGTCGGCTGTCCTGCTCCGTGCTGTCACGCAGCAGGTTCTCTGCACACATGCCGCGTAAAGTCTTAGTGAGGAAGCGAAAATTATTACACTGACAGAGACCGGGGAGCACCCCATCCCTACGTGGCGCTCTCGCCGGCACATGGGAATGGAACACTCTGCCTGGAGAGATTGTCTGTGCCACAAATGTGGAAACATTTTTTGGTGTGTTGCTGGCTGAAAATGAAAAAGCACTGCAGCCTGGAAAAGAATAAAGAGTGTGTCCCGCACAACTACGCTCCGTTATTTTTATTATTTTGTTCATCTTTCTTTTTTTTAACATATTGTTCTTGTTGGCATTTTTTGCTGGGAGCACAATGCTTCCAGATAGCTGTGCTACACAGCTCGGTGGCTATAGTATCCAACTGCCACGGCACTGACCCAAATTTGAGCCCCACGGAAGCGTCATTTGTTATGTTGTTTTATGTGGCGCTTTCTAAAGCATGTACAACATGTCCCCACCAAAAACAAAAATCGTAGTACACTGGTTTTTTAACCGTAAAAATAAAATATACATCGCCAAACGTTCACTCTCACCCAAATGAAGAGCTAGAAGTCCGAACAAGGCGCCAAAGTTTCAGCACTTACCGTCTTCTTATAACAAAAGTTATAAGCGATTTTCTGAATTTTGCAATGGGAAGACCTTAATTGGTGCCATAGAGCTCCGCATATTCGAGAGCCCTGTCGACCGCCATTTTCCCGTTGAAAATTTAATCGTGCCACTTCTTGACAAGACAACAGTTGGTGTCAAAACTTTGGTGTCTGGTTCGGACCCTCAACGCCAAAGCAAGAAGAACCTACGTGCCGCGAGGCATTTCTCCGAGCTAACTGCAAAAGGCAGCTGCGCGTCAACGTGAGATCGCTACATCAAACGCCCGCTCACCCATGCTCTCCGTGTGGTCGTCCTGTTGTGGAAGCAGGAAGCACGTGAGCACCTTGTCGCCCGTCGTCTCGTCCAGGTCCGTCTGGAACTTGAGCATCGGCTGAGACTGCGAACGCGGCAAACAGACGAATGTCGACACGGCGGCGAAACGGAGGGAGGAGCTCGAGGCAGGATCAAGTGGCAAACACTGGATCCAGTTAACTTGCCGGAACTACGGGGCCTGAGAATTGTCTTCGATTGGCGTTTTTAGCGTCCTATCCCGCCTATACATCAAAAGTGATTCCGAAGTGGCAACAAACAACGTCAAGCACAGGTGTCGTGCACCGAGAAAGCAGGCCAGCAGCTGCGATGTTCAATCGAATCGGATATGCCGCTTTCCGAACTGTGCGAACTCGTTCGGTCGCGGAAAGGAAAGAATGTGAAAGACAATACAGACGACGTGGGCGTCCCATATTGTCTTTCATGCCCCACTTTCGTTTCCGTATTCTAGTTCCCAACGCACTCACCTACCCAAACGGTTCGGTCAGTTTGGGCAAATCGAACGAACCCACTGTTTCTGCAAGACCAAGCTACCCAGGCAGAAAGAAAGGAAGCAGTATCGTATCTCCTGCATAGCTGCTAGCTTCAAAAAAATATGCAGCGTCCACAGTTTGAAAGCTTGCTTGTCGTGTTGCACAGCCCAAAATGTACTTATGAAGCGGAGCCACATGTCGGCTAATTTTGAGACTAAGCCTCTCGCTCGTCTAAATGACCGTGCCGCCAATCCGACTCTGACGGAAGTCAGCGAGATGATCTCACCTGATTTTTAGCCAGCCAGAGTGCCTTCAGGTTCAAGGCAGTCACTGTCAAAGGCAGATGCTGCAATCTGAAAGGCATAAAAAGGAATGTTTCGGCAAGCTTTGCAGTTCTCCGACCGCTTTACGACCCGTCGCAGTACGCTGCGGCTTAGGGCTGTTTCTGCAAGCATTAGAGCTTGCCCCACGTTTTTCTATACTCTTTCGTCAAAACACACAAAGAAACTTTTTTCCTTTGCAAAGGCAGCCAAAAATGTGCTGCCACACTGGGTGACATGCACCAAGGGTTGCAAGAAAGCCTGTTGCACTTGACAATCTAGAACTGCCTCGCTTAAGTACAAAGGTATCCAAGCATTCATACTACTCCCGAAGGTTCGCCGGTTGAATATTCACTCGCTGAACAAAAACACAAACATGAAAAAATAAAAAGGAAAACCCTGAAGGTAAGACCACATACGGTGAAACACCTCCAACTAAAACAAGCACGACGCACACTTTGAGCATCAAATCAGCCCTTCAGTTTAGGGTGATGCCATTCCTCATAGTACTCGATGCCAGCAGCACGTGTTCACGGGGAAAACACAAAAAATAGCCAGAAATGAAACACCTCCATAGCACACCCAGTGCAGAGAGCTCGTACTGGGAGACGCTCTTTCACACGCTCCAAAGCAATGAAGAAAAAAATGAAGGCCGTTTACAATTCCCTGTAACGCCGGTTAGAGCGCAGCTCTTGAGGAGGAAGATGGAAGCATACTGAGGGATAGGTGACTCCTTGAGGTCACGTGACCTCGAGGGGGTCACGTGATTTCAGGGGGTCACGTGACCTCAGTGGCTCACGTGACCTTTGGGGGTCACGTGACCTTTGGGGGTCACGTGACCTCGGGGGTCACGTGACCTCAAGGGGTCACATGACCTTTGGGGGGTCACGTAACCTCAAGGGGGTCACGTGACTTCAGGGGGTCACGTGACTTCTGGGGGTCACGTGACTTCTGGGGGTCATGTGACCTAGGAGTGTCATGTGACTTCAGGGGGTCACGTGACCTAGGGGTGTCACGTGACCTAGGGGGTCACGTGACCTCAAGGGGTCACGTGACTTCAGAGGGTCACGTGACCTCGGGGGGTCACGTGACCTCGGGGGCTCACGTGACCTCGGGGTGTCACGTGACCTCGGGGTGTCACATGACCTTGGGGGGGTCACGTGACCTCGCAGTTACGCTGACGCCGCTCAAGCCGGAAACGAGCCCCTAAGAGCTGCGCTCTAAAAGAGGCGTCGCGTCTGATGTCACCACCACCCATGACACCATCTTACGAAGGCAACCTATAGCCACTGACAATGTGAGAGCGACAGGGCGCCTATTGCCAACGTTCATGCTCCAGCACGCAACCTAGCACCGGAGGCAGGATGGGTGAAGCTCCCTCCCCAAAGTTCTCATCCCGTCAGTGACTGGAGTTCAACCTAGGGAGATATCCTTGTCGTGCTCGACGGACGGCTTTTCGAGGCAAACCAGAGCGAGGAAAGGACGTGCACATGTGGCTGTGGTTGCGTAACTTCGCAACATCAGTCCCATTGGCACCCATTATTTTTGTAAAAGTTCCCCGTCGGCTTGCGGAGCACCGACGCTAGAGCCCACCTCCCCCCCGCTCTGGGAAAAGGTTACGCGAGCTCCAACGTGCTGGCAAAACCGGAGAGCTTAGAATGCGTCGATCACAATCAGTCGCCTCGCAGAAACTGACATTGTGTGACTTCAGGTAACGAGATCTGGTTGCATGACGTCAATTTTCCCGCTATATTCAGTGGGGCAATGGACGTCACATGATTTGGTTGCATGATGTAAACTTGCCCACCAAATTTATTGGGGAAACTGATGTCTTGTGACAGAAGTTTCCCCGCTAAATTGAGCAGGGAAATTGATGAGACGGTTTTTCATGACAGTTTTTTGCAACTTTTCTTTGTGACATTTCTTTGTGAAATTTCTTTGCAACGTTTCTTCGCGACAGTTCTTTGCGACAGTTTTTTGTGACATTTCTTCATGATGGTTCTTTGTGATGTTTCTTTGGGACATCTCTTCATGACAGTTCTTTGGCAGGTTTCTTTGTGACATTCATTTTCAATGCCCTTCTCATAGAATTCGGCTGATAAAACACATGCAGCGTTAAACGGCGGGACACACCTGTTGCCCGACACGTCGAGCACGTGCAGTCGCCTGAGCGTGCCGGTCTCCGGTGGCAGCTTCTGCAGGCAGTTCTCGCGCAGGGAAAGCACCCCGAGCCTGGCCAGCTGCCCTATCTGCGGGGGCAGCTCCGACAGCTGGTTGCAGTCTGCGTTCAGGTTGGTCAGGTTCACCAGCTGCCCCACGGACTCGGGAAGTTCCGTGAGCAGGTTGTCCGTCAGAATCAACTCCTGCAGGCTCTCGCAGTCCCCGATGGACGCTGGCAGGCTGCCCAGCCGGTTCTGGTCCACCTGGGATGGTCGACGGGCACACTAAAGTCAGCACGTGCGGCTCGGGGTCAAACATGTGGGTTTTATGGGCCAAACCAACGAAAGACATCTGGCACACCACAGCGGAGGACTCAGGATTAATTTCGACCACCTGGGGATCTTCTGACATGCAACCAAAAGGTTGATTGATAGCGCCGTTTTTGCAATGAGCCTACATCAGCTTGCGGGCCGTAAAGAAACCCACCTCAAAATCTCACACAAAAACTCAAGTAGGGGGGGGGGGGGGGGGGGGGGAGAGTAAATTTTTGACTTGCCAACCCAGTTTTTCTCACAAGAATACAAAAAAGCGCAAGCAACACGGGCATGGCACAAAAAAAAAAAGGTGCTCAATCTTTGCCAAGTAAGCACCATAGGCAAGATGAATAGAAAAAGCACTTAGTACTTGTCAAGCAAACAACATAGGCACAGTGAACCCTTATACAACCGCTTCTCAGGGAGGGATTTGCTGGAGAGGTGTTCCTGGATGAAGATGCAAAACAACAATGAGAGCTTTAATGCCTTGGTGAGGAAGAAGTGCCCCAAGATGAAGTTCGCCTCTTTCAAGACTGTGGAGTGTGCCGTGGCCCTTGCAGTCCTTGAGTTCAACCTGGAGTCTCGAGGGATCGAGGAAGCTCTGTTGGAAATAGGCACCCAGCCAGGGAGCTACCAAGCATCGTAAGGAGAGAGGGCCACCAAGATGAAGGCTGCGAACGTCCAAGTGAAAGCGCTCGAGTCCTCCAAGATGTCCCACAAAAAAAGGAAGATGGAAGCTGTTGCCAAGGCACAGAGGAACTGTACAGGGGAAGGGTTGTCATATGCCTCTGGAACATTTTAGATGAAATGGCAAGCCCCATCTAAAGTAAAACACCGTTTAACCTTTCAAACATGTTTTTCTCGGCTTGATGTTTTCAGCATTTTTTCACAGCTCTAAAACTATTTTTCAACGAGTTTAGTGCCCCCATGTCTAATGGATGGATGGCTTTTCTATCATGAAATTTACTGCAGAACTCGGCTATGCACTTACGTTTTGCAAATTTTTATTTGTACACACAGAAATGTTGATTTATGTGAAACAAGAAAAAAATTAAAAATTGATACTATTATTGAAAGTTAATTTTTACATAAAATATGGCCTTAAAAATTACTTCAAGCCCACTACCGATTACTTCAGTCATTCAGTGTTATATCCCAACAAAGAAATTATGCCATTCTATCTGTATTTTTAAACGATAGTTTTTTTCCTTTGGCACTGCTACATGTACATTTGTTTTCAACAAATAAGGCTGTAACTTGTCAAAAAATAGACCTTTTTGGGTTGAAAGTTGGCGTAGCCTCCTAAGTTTTTATGTTTAATATACGCTCAAAATTTCATTGACCTGGCACAAATACTTAAAAGGCAACTCCACTTCATTTTTCATATTGAAAAGCTATGCAGCCCTCTTCAGTATCATCTAGGAAGACCGGATGTCAAATATTATGATCTAATTCCGTCAATACATTTAATAAACTAGCCAGCAAACTTTCAAATGAGCCAAGTCGCCGAAATCTGCTAACTCTAGCGCTGATTATTTTGCTATTGACAATAAATGTGTAGTCTGCCATACAGCTTCATAAAGGTACACAATTCAGGCTACTAAAGCAGGAGACACATGCACTATCAAACGACCACCGTGTCGGTCGCACTACGTGCCGGGCGTTTCCCAGTGTACGAGATATATGTCTAGCGCCTGTAGAAACCAGGCACGAAGACTCAGCTATTTTCGGTGAAATAAATGTGCAGTTGGAGCTTTATGTGCCAGACCTACGAAGGGCATCTCGCAAGCCCAAGCGGAGGCCTGATGATTAATTTGGACCACCCGAGAGTCTTGTGACGTGTAACCGAGATCACGGTTACACAGTGCCTTTCTGGCAATAAGCCCGCATCAAATCGAGGGCACCTCCGTCGAGATTCCAACCCGAAGTGCAAGCTGGGGCCGCAGTGGTGCAGACATCATTGGATGTTGTAGCAAACTACATTGGCGAAAATTATGGAGCAGACGATACTTGCGCTTTGCTCTACGTTCGCCCGCCATCGCATGGAGGATCGTGTGGTTCGACGTGACGTGGACATGACTCTGACAACTTGAGATCAATGTTGCCCGTCGCAACCGAAGTTTCAGTTTCGATGTTTACTAAGATTACAGAAATAATATTTCACATTTTGCGAATTTGAAGACGTAGGGCTGTTTAGTAATGCTTGAAAAATGGAATCACATGTAAGCCTAATTTTTTTGGAATTGAGCGGAGGTGTTCTTCAATATGTAGACCCTCCAAGGGAGTGCCTCCCCAAATCGAAACTGTGGCGCAAAAGTACTACCATGCTGAATAAAGAGATCAGATACATTGTCTTCAATGAAAGCAAGATAGGGAGATGAAAAAAATATAGTTATATTGCAAATTTCTTCAGATCGGGGCTCATTAGACTAAGAATTCAACTGTATTTCCTTTTTTTTTTCTTTTTCGAGCATTACTTTTTTTTTTTTGCTTTAAAAGCTTTTGGCAATGTTATAAACAACTATTTCTCATAGACAGTATGTACACTTGACCTCGCAAACACCGCAAACCCTTCGCTCTAGCGAAATGCAGTTTGGGGGTGACCTCACGTACGGCACCGGCGTGCCAGCGCGTTCCCTTGTCACGCGAGAACACAAGAACTTGGTCGTTGGCAGACGCAAGCATGCGAACGAGACTTAGCGTGGGCAGGACAAAGGGAAAAGGCACTCCCAGACCTCGCCCAGACTTTCCAAGACCCCCACCTTGAAGATGGTGAGCTTGCGCAGGCGACCCATTTCCTCCGGCAGCACTTCCAGGTAGTTCTGGGACAGGTGGAGGTCTGTCAGGGACTCCAAGTCACACAGCTCGTCCGGCAGAGAGCTCAGCTTGTTTTCAGACACATCCAGGCACATGAGTCGCCTCAGCTGCCCGATTTCCTGCGCAGCAAAAACGGCCGGACCCTTGTGTTCCCCTCTACGGAGGTGGCAAATGGGCACTTCGCGGTGTTTCCTTCTCGGGCTAGGGGACAGGCTATTGACAAAATTTAGAATCATTGCAACTCCTCGTTTGGATTTTGTTTCACTCTCGGCAAATTAAAGAGCCACCTCCAGGGACCGGAAGAAAGTGTTAATTCAACTGAGATTTCACCACGGAGACGCTACGCTATCTGTGCCGAAATGTCTCGGTGGCTCCCTCTTACGCTTCTATCCAATGTCACTTCCAAGATTAGCCTCGCTTTGACATCATGAATTGTCATCCTGACTCCTAGTCCTTCGTTGTGATTGACAAGTTGAATATTGTGTGTAAAAATCATCTTGAAGCCTAGTACCACCTTCCATAGCAGAGTTCCTTTAATAGTTCTGTCTTCTGCAGATGAGGCGAGTGTCCAGTGTTCCTCATAATAAAGTATTTGATAACAATCTATGCTATGCAGAATCAGCCGGACAGTTCAGAGAACAGTTTTACCTTGGGCAATGTTGACAGCTCATTCGAGTCAAGCCAGAGCTCCTGTAAGCTGGACAGCTGGCCAATAACCACGGGCTGTAAAGAGATACAGGTGAATATTACACAACAGCCCCTGCCTCCATAATTACAAAATTTGATGCTCAATCTGTCCCCTTTTTTTCCATATGACATCAATATAACTCAATCTCATTTCCAATAATGAGCTAAGGCATTCTGCAATTCACAAAGGAGTGGTGGAATGAATATCAGTTAAGTTTCGGAGTTGAAACACACAAAACAATGTCCCATACATCGGATAAAATGCCAATGAACTGGTCTTCCTTCCCCGGTTCAAGCACTCCACCGTTTTGGATGACCCAGCCCTGCTCGTGGCTTAATTTGTGCCTCTGCCGATAGGTGGCAGCACTGACTCTTTAAAATTTGCTCCCATTCTTTTAGTGGCTAAAAAGTTGCTTTTGAAGGCAACAAATCTGATTCGAAGACAACAATTAAAGGAACACTGACACCCCGAAAATGTTTATTTTTTTTATTTTTCGCCAGACAATTTAATATGGTGACAGGAGACTACCCAATCAATCTTTTGCTGCAGAGCCCCGTATATTTTTAGTAAGGCCAAAAACCTCAACTGCCCAAAACCAAAACCGAAACACAAGCACGGAAACTCAGGGGCATATGTGGCTACACCCGACGGCAATTTTTTCCGCTTCGTTGGATCGTGAAGCAGACGATGGCGATGATAAATTTGCGCGCACCGTTTGCCATGCGATTGTTTCCCACTTATATCCCTTCCGCTCAATGTTCTGCACTTGAAGATGGATTGGCTGGTACCGCAAAAATAGGGCTCATGTTCTTTTTTATTTTTAATACTGAATGTGTTCCTTTATGACCCACGACTTTGAATATATTTGGTACACACAGTTTGAATGCCACGTGGCCATGTAAAAGAGAGTGAGAGCGCGACCAAAACTGGCCAGTTCTCGGCTGGCTCTTTCCGGGCGGAAAGAAAACAAATTTAAAGCCGCAAACTATGTTCCGGGTAGTTGAACTCTTATAGGTCATGTTCAAATAAAAACCTCAGTAAGCATAAATACCCTGTCAATGCCCCTTCAAACAAGTAAAAGTAAAAAAAAAAAAAAAAAAAAAAAAAAAACTAGAAACGGTTTTTTTTTTGTGTTTTTCTGGACATTTGGTTGCTAAGTTATGGTTGCTACAAGCTGGCTGTTCAGCCTAAACAATAGGTGAGCGACAATTGCCAACTTCTGGTTTTTGAGCATTTCACTTCACACATGGAAGACGACGGTGATGATGTGCAAGTGAAAGCACTGTACTAGTCTCAATCTAATCGTATCCTACATCTGCCCGAGTGCATGCCCAGCAAAAACACAGTTTTTGCACGACGTAGCAAAAGAAACCGGAGGTGCCAAATGGCTGCAGATTGGCCAAACGTTGCTTACCCTTTTACAAATTGCCAGAAGCAAGATGACAAGCCAGGGATCAACCAGACAGATCAAAAGCCACAAAGCCAAACCACAAAAGACTGAAGAAAATGGGACATGGTGTTAAATGCCACGTCCTGTTGACCTCTGCCAATTTTGTCTTTTTGTTTTTAGCATTGAACTTTCTAGATTTAGCTGTCTCATGTCACCCTTATATACACCCTAGGAAAGAACCCCACGAAGGCATGCCAAGTTTATACGAAGTGTTATTGGAGACGACCGTCCGGTTGCCTCATACACTCGTCGCCATGTGAGGAATTTGTGGGCAACAAGCGAGACTGGGGTGGCCTTTACAAGATTTAAGTGAGTAAAAGTGAAACAGGATGCCTCACCAGTTCTTCAAAGTCATTGCTCCCAAGGTCCAGCCGTTCTAACTTGACCAAAAAGGCGAAGGACAGAGGCAGGCCCTTGAGATAATTCTCCCTCAGTTCCAAGGACATCAGATTGGAGAGACTGCACACAGCACCAGAAACCCTTCCAAGCCTCTTCCAAGTGGGTCCCATCAACAGATGCGCAGCCAAGTCACAAACAATCGTCGTGTTTGACGAACTGATATATGTGTATCGTCAGTTTACCTGAGTCCCCCATCGTATAATGCATTCTCCAAAGACTGAGGAGAATAAAATAAATTTGAAATGAAATTGCACAGCAGACATCAAATTGAAATGCAGATCACTCTTGGCAATGCAAAATTTCTGGAAATGCCCAAATTTGGTTACGTTCTAAAAAGAGCATCGAGCTATACACGTTTGCAAGTCCGGCTTCTGGGCGCTGCCATCTTGCTCGCTGGGGTGCGCTTGGACGCGTCCTAATCCGATTACGAAGCCTTGCTAAGGCGTCATAATCGGATTGTGGCCGCGCCCAAGCGCACCCCACTGGGCAAGATGGCGGCGCCCTGAGACCGGACTTGCAAACGTGTATAAACATGCTTCAAAAAAACAGACAAAACTTGCAAACAAGTGCTGCTTTGATAAACGTCGATGCCTTAAAATCACAAAATTCCTGGAGGTAGCCGCTGCTAAACTCATTTTCATCCCCGCCTATACCATCGATGGCTGCACGGGGTGGAGAGGTAAAGGGTGCAATAGGAAGCTTCAACTTCCCCCTCCCCTCTCCCCCCTCTATGAAACCTCTATGGTTCATAGCTTTCACTGTTACAAGAACACAACCCCTTCTTCCTCTAAGAAGCACAAATAGTATGGTTTAACCGGAAACCAAAACAGTGGCTTTTGTCATGACCCACAAGTCCAATAAGCTGTTTCCTGAATGAACCCAGACAAGGTAAACAGCAAGACCCTTTTTATCAATGTTCGGAAATTTGAAAGAAAACCGAGGTACATTTACCCTGTGCTCTGGCCAAACTCAACCCCTTGCCTACTCATTTTTTCCTTCAAGGAACGCAGAGAAAATTTTTTATTTTAAACAGTCAATTTGCATTAAAATAAGACGAGAACATTTCCTCGACTTCCAGGTGTCATATCTTGCTCTAAATCATGACTTCTGGTTCGAGTACCACTGACGTGCAGAAGCTGAAGTTGATGGAATGTTTGCAGGATTCACTTTGTTTTTATCAATCCTGTCACTGCCCATCAAACTATCGTCCGATTCCTAAAAATTGCAAAGGCTGAAAGATTTGTGGTCACATACACCCAAGCATTAATCCCTTTCAAAAAGAAGGTTATGTGTCTTTTTGTCCAACAGAGCGGACCTCCACGACAAAAGCCGCGTTGTTTTAGCACGAACGCTTACAAGCGACTGCTTTTTTCTTTCTTGGCTACATGAAGCGTTCTCTCTCTGTCAAACTGCAAAACAAACAGGCAAACAACCCAAGCTAAATGGAGCAACAGGGGTGGTTTTATGGTTTTGCCATCTGCCGGAGAACGCGCTAAAGAAGCCTCGAAACCAAGACACGTGGGTCACACTCGTGGTCGGGCTTTATTGCCCGTAAGGGTTTGGCACGAGTGACATTCGTTGTTAGTAGGCAAGGGTTTAATACAATCTTTCTCTTTTGGCATTGGAGCTTTGAAATTTTAAGTTTATTGGATAAATTCAAACTAACAAAAGTTTTACCCGTGAGTGTTTTTTCAGAGTTTTTCGGATTTATTCGAAAACACTGAATTTCACTCATACCCTTCAATATGCTTTGCTTGCACAAGCAGAAAAAAAAAAGAATGAAACTATGCATTAATTTCTATTTCTTTTAAATATTCTATGAAGCAGCAGTTGTACCGTGTTTTACACTACAAACTGACCTCCTCTAAGGAAAATTATGACTAATTGCGAGAAAGGCATTAAAAACAATGCAATGCACTGACCCTCCGAAATCGTGAGGCAGTTGCGTCAAGGAAACATCGTTAAGGCCCAACACCGTCAAACTTCGCAGCTGCACAAACCCGGCCGGAAGTCTGGAACGAAACAAACACCGTGAGAAAAAAGAGCAGTCGAAGACAGGGGCTCCGAAAGCATAAGCCCCCTTAAATTTCCGCGATGCTCACTTGGAAAGAGGATTGCTGCTAAAATCTGCACTTTGGAGTGACTTGAGGTACTTGATGTTTTCAGGAATTTCTTGAACATCTGCAAAGAGAAGACACTCTCCATCAGCGGGCAACTATACTGCGGCGGTGGCTTCGCCACACGGCTTTGAACAAACCCAAAGATAAACTCAAATGGCGAATAAAAAGAAAGAAAAAAAAAAAAAGAAACGAGCAAACAATCAAGAGAGGGGTAGTAGTGACGTAGGTGGCCAGTGTCGAGAAAAGGAGTGCCCAGTCCAGGATGGAATAACAAACAAACATCAAGGGGAACCCCTGCCTGCTAAAGCCTAGTCCAGTACCATCAGCAATCTTCCAAGGTAAACAGCAGAAGGCTCGCAAAACCTGGCATCTTAAAATAAAGAGCAACGCAACCCCAAAACAGCAATGGGCCGAGCTAAAATAAGAATGTAGAAAAAGGAACAAAAAAAAAGCCTTCCAATTGTTTTGTTAAATTTTCTGTGGTCTTCAGTCAAAACTAAAGACCCACCCTCCCGTTCTGAAATCATCCTGAAATCTATGTGCAATCGAAATGCGTTACCTCGAATTAAAGGGAGCGCTTGTCTGTTTACAGCATACAGCACAGCATACAAACCCCAATCCACAGACGGTCTAGAAGCCGCTTTTTTCCTCCTGCCGCCGCCGCTGCCGCCGCCGCAACCGCAATGTTTACAGCGCATATCCACAGGCGCACTAATTCCGCGTCTCCCTCGCAGAAATCCACATGCCCTACCCTCAGAGCGCACAGCAGTGACTAACAATCGAGGAGACCGTACAACAACGAATGGAAGAGCGGAAGGTTCCGAAGCACAGCTGCGTGAGAGTTGTGTTTTTCTTTTTAATCGGTCTCTGCTCCGCTTTGCAGCACATGTGCCAGGGAGACCTTGCCCCAATAAAGGCACGTCGTGGCAGAGCGGCGGGCGTCGCATCAGGCACAATGTGCTCGCGTGTCGGACACCTAAATGAGGACGCCGCCCAAGCGTGTGACAGCTCGTGATCGAAGTGATGATGCTAGAACGGCAAGGATGCGCGAGGCTTTTAATGCGCGTGTGCGTTTGTCTTGCTAAAGCTGATCTACATTTCTTAGAAAAAAAAAAAAACCCTGCAGCTGGTGCACATGGTTGAAGCTGGTTCCCATTTACGAGAAGAGGAATATGGGTGACTTGCTGTCGACGGTCAGACGTGGTTCGATGATTGGCAATGTGGCAATATAATACTTTAGAAGTCTACAAGTAAACCTACCAACTGAAGCCAGACATAGGTACATCAATCAACAAAATGGTGAGTTAAGCTAGTTGGTTCATTACATACTTAAAGTGCCAAAAGATGGGGAAAAATGATGATGAAATGAAGCACCTTGTGCTGTCGTCTTTACTCTGTCGCTGTCTTTTGGCGCATTTAGTGCATACATCATCCAACATGTGTTGTTGCTTAAATGAGAGCCACTAAAACAGCGGATAAATCACAAAGGTAGCCGAAGCCGGTAGAAAGAACCCAAAAAGGAGCTCCCAAGAAGTCGCAGAGTGGCAGGAGACTTTTCACGGAGGAATTTAACTTTGTCGACCCCGAAGAATTTAAGGGTCTTGGAGAAACGTTTCCCTGACAAACAGACATTGCAGGTTACTCGGTTTTTGAAGATCTTTTGTTGGGCTCTGGCAATAGGAAACAATGTGGTGTCCCATTCTCCCATCAATCAGAGTTGCTGTTTGATCCTAAAGGCCACTTACAGTTTACCGACTGGCTTTAGTTTCCAGTTTGTTAGTACCAACAGGTATTTCGATTTGGCTCTGGATGTGACTGGACTCCGTATTTGCACGAATATAACGCGAGTTTTTTTTCGAAATTACGTGCTCCAAAACGCACCTCGCGTTATATTCGGAATCGAGTTCAGCCACGAGGTGCGCGAGTCTGGAGAAAGCCAGAGGAGAAAGTCATCTCTCCGGCTCAATGCAAAAGATCCAATGGAAAAAGAAGTGGGGGTGTGGAGGGGCATTTTGTAGCCATTGGGCCACGTGAAGGGGCGAATAGAAAACATAAAAAGCATTTTTATCGCTTTTGTGTTTTTACAACGCGGGCACGCCGCACGCGCGCGCGCGCCATGCGGGATTGCGGGCACCGGCCAATTCGAGCCAAGCCAAGCCGGGCCAAGTCAAGTCAACACAAGCCAAGCCAAGACCACCGACCGCGTTTATGCAATCGTGCAACACGAGGCATTTGTTTACGAAGAAGGACCAGAACAAGAAGTGTGATCGTGTATCGGGTTCAGCTGTCTTTTCTTTGCCTGCGCATTGTTTAGTTTCTGCTGCAGAGTGGTCTGGTGTTTGTGCTTCTGCTTCCGCGCCTTGTTTGGATTGTGGGCTGCCGAGGAGCTCGCAGGGAAGAAAAAAGAACTACCAGACAAGCAGGTGCCGTGCCGCTGCATACCTGCGTAGTCGCCAAGTGGATTGTAAACGGAAGGACCTGAGTAGTGAGGATGAGTGCAGTCAAAACATAAACTGATATTTCTTCTATTTCCATTGACTTTTCACTTCTGCTATGCCCCCGAGTGCGAGAAATTGACGCGGCATCGGTTCGCGTTATAATAGTAATAATATTTTTTTTTCTTTTTGGGGGCATCAAAAACTGCCCTCGCGTTATATTCGTGGTCGCGTTATATTCGTGCAAATACGGTATTCACTACGCCAGCCCAGAACTATTAGACAGTGTGAAGCAACAGATCACCTACAGTGGGTAACCGGCTAAGAATTCAGTAGAGCATGCACTCACTGCCTTTCGCTGGGCTTTAGCTGCATTTGCAAAGAAGTATTTCGAAATGTAGGAAACTCACACTGGAGGCGGAGCGTCTGCTGAATTCTTAAAGGGCCACCAAAGTGTTATTTTGAAAAAAAAAAAAAAAAAACGAGATTATATCGATATGCATTCAATTATTCAAAATGAAATCAAAGAGTGCGACGTGCCCCGTTTTTCGCAATTCGACGCAGAACCCAGAGGGTGTAGTTGGACGGGCAATGGCCAACCGCGAGCGATTGCTTCCCGAATGGCAAGGGGGCCAACTGATGGTGTGCTGTCCTTCAAATGCATGCGATTCGTGCACGAAAAGTGATCGCTCACGATTGACTATCTCAAGTATGATGACGCCCTCTAGCCTCTGCACCGAATGGCAGAAAAACGGACGTGTCACAATCTTCAATCCCCTTTTTAACAGGGCAATCGGACCCACACAGATATAGCCTTCGGGTTTCTAGAATGCTTAGAGACAACAAACTTTGTTGGGACCATAAACGGACAATCTCAGAAACCACTTTAGTGACCCTTTAACCAGTTGCTGGTTCTAGACCTAAACGTTTGCATCACTTATCACCTGGGCGAAAAATGTGGACGAATAGGTGCGTCTGATGTGCCGCACAGCAGAGCAACAGCACATGCTCAGAAGGCCTTCCATGGCCCAGCAGGCAAAGATGGCAGCGCGCAGAAGGCAATTTTTGTGAAGTTCTATAGACGCCACAAAAAAAAGTGTCTAGGTGGTGGAGTTTTGCCTCCACTCCGTGCCAAAAATCCAGCCCCTCCCCACATGTGACTCCTTATGGAATACAAGGAGCCATTTAACAGGTCATTCACACAAAAATCAGAGCTGCTAAACAAAAATAAAAAAAAAAAACTTGGAAAAATTTCAACATTAGCTACCTTCCCACAATAAAAGGACCCGGTACTTCCGGACCCGACACCAGAGGGTGCGAAATTACGAGGTCGTAAAGCATGGCACGCGTTAATGCAAGCCAATTACAACCTCAGTCTCACGCTGGCCATTTTAAAACAGAGGCCTCGAACACTCTTCTTTTTTTAAGTAAACTTGGAAGCTGCTGCTATGTGCACCGAGGTTGCAAAAGGCGTATTATTTGCCTGTTGTATCGCGTCGGCAACCTTGCCAACTCTTGTATGTTTTGTTTTGTTGCTGAAACAAAACAAAGTAAAAGGCACTGTAGTATCGGCCTTCCTTCGGCTGATACTACAGTGCCTTTTACACAGAAGCAAGTGTAGTTGAAAAATGAAACGTAAGGTTGAAATACTTTCAATAATTACTTTGCTATTATTAGTCCTTTCACGAAAGCACAGGAAATAAGTCTGTGAGTTACTGGCTCGGTCAGACTGCAGGGGAGGGCACTTAAATAAATAAATGAAGGTTGTCAGATGGCAGCCCCCCCCCCCTTTTTCTTTTCCTTGCAAAGTTCTCTATTTGTTTCCTTCGTCTTATTCATATATTCCTCAGACCCAAAATGAGAAATTAACTAGCGGGAACATTTCCGCTGCTCTTGCATTCAACAAATAAAATAATAAAAAAAGGAAACATCTTTTTTCTAAAAACAAAAGACTGCAGGGCGGCACTCCAGCTCAAGGAGAGCATAACACGACCCAAACAAAGACAAACAAGCTACAAAAAAAAAAAAATCTGCATACGCAGCAAGGCTTAAAGGCCGCCACTATCAAGGAGCCAAGAAGCAAAAGGCGGCTTTTCCGGTCCGCGTCCCCCGGACACTCGGGCGGCATCGGCGTGGATCGAGAGTCACGTGCGTGAACGAAGAAGACAACCGAATTTCCGGGTGCCTCGCGTGCGCTACATCGCCGCGGGGACGCGACGTTGCATTTCTTCTTATCGCGCCGACGTTCGCAAATGCGGTTAGCGGGGCTGCGGAGGCGAACCGGTGAACTACGCCTCATGGCTCCAGAGTTCCAAGTGCGAAGCCGAGCACCGGTGTCGCCTTTCTAATGTGAGCTGTATCATAAGACAAAACCTGCGCCCTGGTCCTCCACCTCCTCCTCCTCCTTCTTCATCTTCTTCTTCATCTTCATCATCAGGCAAAACCTGCACCCTGGTCCTCCTCCTCCTTCTTCTTCTTCCTCGTCTTCTTCATCATCCTCTTCATCATCATCATCATCATCATCATCATCATCATCATCACCACCACCACCACCACCACCACCACCACCATCATCATCATCATCATCATCATCATCATCTCCTCCTCCTCCTCCAACAGGCATTGG